GATGAATTATGGTCTATGTGCACAGCAGCAGACAGAATGTTGTTGTTGGATAGACCCTGCTTTCTCAGTTATACACACTTGTTTTGCAGCTGTCTACCAACATTTTTTGACATTCATCTTAACATCGACTGTCTGATATGTGGCCACATTAACCTTCTGACTCTAACCCATGACCCCCATTTTCTCTCACATACAGTGAGAGTTTTTTCCAAGCTAGAATACTACCTGATTTGCTGCTGAGTGGTAGTTAACGCATTGATTTAGGAATTGAATGATGTTGTGCCTGTAACCCAACAAATGTTCAGTTAAAATGAGCACAAACAAACAGAGTTGAGAGATACAATGGTAAGCCCTGAGCTTTTGAGGCCTCTGAAGTTCTGGGATCCTGGTGCCCAGTTGATAATCTAGCCTTGGTCCTGTGTGACATTGCTGGATCAAAGGTCCAGTGTGTAACATTTAGGAGGATCTATTGGCATGGAATGGTGTATAATATTCATAGGTATGTTTTCATTAGTGTATAATTACCTGAATATAAGAATCACTGTGTTTTTGTTACTTTAGAATGAGCTGTTTTTATCTACATATGCCGCGGGTCACCCTACACGAAGTCCGCCATGTTTCTACAGTACTCCAGAACAGACAAACCAAACACTGGCTCTAGATAGGACCTTTTTTAGTTTCTCTTATACACTTCACAGCCCATTCTCATTCCCAGGTTGTGAAATACAGACGCCAGCTGTGTTCAGTTAGTTGCAAACTGAAACTTCACCACTAAATGCCACTAAATCCTACACACTGGTCCTTTAAATATGTCATTCTGAAATAAAACCTTATACTGAGTAAATGTCCAACCCTAAAAAAAGGCTCCCCGAATGCAGCATTTATCTCCCAAAACCAATTAAATAAAAATCTGAATTCTTGTGTGGCATCTTCAACATTATTACATCTACTTAAAGGAACACTTTCTCACCTTTAATATTTTTAGAAACATATTTTTGTGTACCGTTTATTTGTAATACAAGAACATGCGTGACCATTTTTTCCCAGCTTGAAAACAGAGTAAAAACCAAGTGCACCGTAACTTGAAAACAGAGTAAAAACCAAGTGCACCGTAACTTGCAGTATGCTACCAACCAGCTCCACGGTCTCGTCAAAATATGGTCACTTCTAGCTCCAAAAAACAAAGAATGAAAGAAGAATGCCAAACTTGAGGCTTCAAAACAGTACTCTATCAATGGGTGACGTCACTGTGGGTTTACACTTGCTATAACCCAAACTGGGAGCCACATTCATCAGTAAATAAGCATATTACATGGATTTATTCAGACAATATTTTCAGGTGAAATGTCTAGATCAGTGCAGTCTGACTCAACAGATGCTTCAGAGAAGATGAGCAACTTTTTTTCACCCTGGATCTTGTTGCTGCTAACAAAATTCTTATCTTGTATATTCTCCAACTGCATTCCAGTCTGATCAGAAGGTTAATGAACACTAATAAATATAAGACAACAATAACAAAGAGCTTATTTAATCTAGTCTCACTTAAGAAATACTTTATGTGATCCTCAACACTTCACGACCTCTCAACACCATCTTCACTTTCATATTAAAACTGAACACAAGGTGTACTGAAATGACTTCAAGGAAATTTAGAACACAAACCAATTGTAACAATGGTTCACACTGCTGTGACTTCTCTTAACCATGCAGAATTACTGGTATAGTCCTTTAAGGCAGAACTTTTTTCTTTTCATGGCACAGCAGTAAAAGGACATGATGTGAAGAGTAATGTCAAGGTATTAACTGGAGTAATTGTTGCATCTGTGCATTACTTTAGTTAGGCTTCACATGGACATTTTCAAGTAAACTATATTTATTTTATAACAGGAAAACTGCATTTTTCATGGTCTGCAAAAGGGATTTCTTCCAGCATAAACAGGCACGAAGCATCAGATATATGGAGCACCGCCTTTCGTGAGTCTGAGTGTCGTGCCTGTTGTGGTTTTCATATTTAATAAAAGATTATCCCCCTGTTTGGGGAAGGAGATTCTCAATAAATAATTGATGCCTTTTCATTGAGATTGTAAAAACGGAGGAGTTTCCTGTGTTGGACGAAAACAAACTGAGCATATGTTTCTTGTGTTAAATTCATATTAGACTGTCCCTCCTATAGCTGGGTGGGCTCACAGCTGCATCAGTCCCAGCAGACCTCCCTCTCAACCAGGTCTTGCTCCAGTTGCAGAAATGGACACGCAAACTGAGAAACTCCAGGGTTTGAAATAACTGCTCTAACTAGGTGTGATCATTCCTTAGGAAGAAACCAAACCGTGTTAAAGGACAGCAGCCCTGCAGCCTTAGAGGCACTTGATCTTCAAGGTGTCAGTCTTTTATTTTAACACTGTAACAGCAACCACCTGAAGACCCTTTTTTTCTAAGGTTTTAGACTGTATTCTATTCTGTTCATGTCACAATAATGATATATTGCCCAGCTCTAACCTGAATTACATTTACCACAGGGTGTTTTTTTTAAATGAACACAATAACAGAAAAGACAAGTCGAATCTATCCTTAGAACATAAAACACAACGCACATGTTCTCTTCCGTCATGTTTAACCATCTAATGTTAATGCTGAGGTCCGCCATTTTGTCTGCCACCCGGTACTGTTTTGTTACAGGTGTTAGACTTAGTTTTACAGTTCCGATTATTGATTTTTTTTTTGCATCGAGACATAATTGTTCAATGATTTTAAGAATATAACTTTTTTCCCCATCCCTAAAATGGAACTTTGGAAAAGCGGTATTCAGTTGGTTGCAATCTGTAACTTTACCACTAGATGCCACTGTATCTGACAGTGCTCTGTGCTGCAGCTAAAGTTGAACCAGGACAAACTGTTTTTGACGGACTACATACGTTTTCTCTCCCTCTGCAGCGGCACCCCACTGTGCCAACGCAGTGGTCTCGCTGAAATAAAAGAGCACCCTGGATTTTTTAACACGACGCTATTGTCGTTCTGAGCGCAGCCTCAGGCAGCGAGAATTCATTCCAGAAGAATCTCATTCACCACCAGAAAGGCCCTGGGAGAGGAACATTTCTGCTGGAGTTACACAGGAAATGAAAGGTCAGGCTAAGCAGTCGGAGCAGAGGTCTCGATGGATGAAAAGGGGGCAAAACTCCCCATAAGAGCAACCAATCTTTCATTACAGCATTAAAGATGTGACATTTTGGTCAGAGCGACCTTCATCAGATACTTTAGACTCTATCTTGTAAGCTTATCTACTTCCACCCTTGACTGCTCCCCAACACTGAGAAAAAGAATACCAGATTGAAGCTGCAACTTTTCTCAGACAGGTATCGTCTCCCCCCTCAGACGGTCCAGCTCTCGCTCCAGCCCTTGTCACTCATCTTGGCGGGCTGTCTGTCTTCTTGCCTGAGGCTGAGGTGTGCAGCACCTCGCGCCAGCACGTCTAAAGCCGTCAGCGCCGGTGTTCAGCGTGCGTTTAAATGTGCTGTTTAGTATTTTTTCCCGCTTGCCTCAGCTGTCGCGGTGACTTCCCACTCCTAGCCTCACCTTTATAGCCACGACAAGCTAGCCACTGACCACGCCCATACAGTAGTGCACCCAAAAATGTCCTTAACTTTGCTACAATGCTAGTTTGAGTCTGAAAAGGAGGTTTCATCTTTAACGTGTTGGTGTTTCCTGTGTTTTTTACTTTTTCCTGAAGGCCTCTCTTTCTGACGTGCACCCTTTTTGCTCTGCTATCTCTTCATCTTCGACTTCATCAGAGTCGCTAAGCAATGTAGGCAGGGAAAAACAGCCGAGATGTTGATGTCCAACTTGCTATTCTCCTGCTGTGAGCCGGTCAGGGCTTTGGTAATGAGAGCCTGGGGAGTGTGTGCGTGTGCGTGTGCGTGTGGTGTGTGCGTGCGTGTGTGTGTGTGTGTAATCTTCCTCGAGGACTCTTGCTGAGTGTTTGTGTGTGTTTCTGTATGTGCAGTTGGAAGGGAACCAGCTGTGTCCATGTGGTTAAGGATTTGTTTGCGTGCGTACCTACATGTACTGTGTGTGTGTGTGTGTGTGTGTGTGTGTGTGTGTGTGTGTGTACAGGTGTACACACAGAGGCATATTGTGGAGCAAGCGGTAAGCCGATGATAAGCGTGAACATACAATCCCCCTCCCACCCAACCCCTTTCTCCATCCTCTCCCTCCCCGCCTCACCTTCCTCCATCTCTCTTCCTCCTTCCTTCTCCCGTCTCTCCCTCCCTCCCCCTTCCTCCCCTCTAATCGCTGGGCTAATTGACTCAGCCAGATTTGGCAGCAGGCTTATTGGTGTCATTTCACACAACAAGGGATGACCTATGCAGACGGTGCAGCGGTGACAGTTAAGACGGAGCACTCCCTGCAATGTTATGTTCACCAAATCCAATCACACACACACACACACACACACACACACACACACACACACACACAGCATTTCCCTCAGCTGATGAAATGACCTAGTAACTGCACTTTCATGCCAGTGTTTGACCAAAATTGGAGTCTGATTTTTTTAAACTGAACCTGTGGAATTCGATATCTTCAATTTCAGACAATTGCCTGTCAAGTATTGTGAGTTAAGAGGCTGATTTCTGTGCAGTTTACCCGCCTGAGCCAACACAGGGTGAGAACCAGAGGGAAACATATTGTTTTACACACAGGTCAGCTTGTTTTTTTCAAGCCTAAAGCTGCCTTTTTTTTGTATTAAGGCCGTCTTTCTCACTGAGAGCATCCTCGGGCAGGCCTGAACTTCCCTTCATAGCTGTGAAATTTAATGACACTGCATTGGTGTCAGGTAAACAAGGTGTGTGTGTGACTGTAGGTGTCTGTCTGTCAGGGGGAATGCATTTGTATGTGGCTTTCCCTGATGATTAATGCTTCAGCGTCACCCAAATTCTGCCTGATGGGTGTGTGTGTGTGTGTGTGTGTGTGTCTGTATGTGCAGAGTAGACCGCCCTTACCGCTGTGCGCGCTGAACCAGCGGGGTGCGATGTGCAGGGGCAAGGTGTCAGCCAGCGACCCCCGGGACCCCAGATAGAGCACCCCGTCCGTGTGGTGCCCTCCGCCCCCAGTGTCCTGGTAGCCGGTACCGTGGGGGGCGGCGGTAGTGCCCCCTGACCCCCCTCCGGCTCGATCCGAGTCCGTACCTCTTGGGGTGTAGAAGCCGAAGGGCACGGCGGGACTGTGCTCGATGCCCATCCCGGCCACGGAGCTCACCGAGCGGCTCCGCAGGCCCATGGTGCCGCTCGGCCGGTAGTGGCCGAAGTGGGCCGAGGGTGGCACCGCGCTGTCATCCGTAGAGACACCGGGAAAAGCACCCCGGGGCCGACCCGCCGTGCTCTGCTTTCCCCCCATCCAAAGCGGGAGGCAAGTGGGTGGGGGTTCTGGGTTGAAACAGGAGGGGGCTCGGCTCGAACCGCAAAGGGTCGAGAGAGCCGAAACAGGCTGTCGCCCCCCTCCCCTCGCTCCTGTCTGTCTCTCGGCCTGCCTGCCTGCCTGTCTGTCCGTGTGTCTCAGCAGGCTCGTCAGCTCTGACTCTCTGCAGACGCAACAGCCCGTTTCCCTGCTGAGCGGAACATGAGCCCGCCCTGACGTCTGGATTCACCTCACCCGCAGACAAAACCTCGACACAACCGGGGAGGAGGGGGGGGGCGGCCGACAAGCCGAATGACGCCGAAAGCCCAGAATGACAAACAGATACACACCACGCTCCCCTCGCCGTCCCAGGTGATTTAGGACGGCTGTATCATTGCAGGCGGGGACGCGGCAGCAACACGTTTATCCCGCCCCGGCCGCGGATCACAGCAGCGCCGCAATGTTCACTCCGCTGCTCTCGCCTCATCTGATCTCAGACATCGTGACAACTGTTGCTGTCTGTCTGACCGCCAAAAAAACGACGATCTGTCTGTGACAACAACAACAACAAAAATAAATAAATGACGTCGCCGTCCGCGATCGTCTGCTGTCCGCTCCGGTGGTCTCCAACCAGCGGTCGCTCTCCCCCCGCAGATCGGGGTCACAGTGAAGCCGCTCCCCTGCGCTCAGATCCGCGCTCCGCTACTCTCTGCTCCGCCGCCGCCGCTGCTGCTGCTGCTGCTGCTGCTGTGGCCAGACAATGGAGGCGCTCAGTGCGCAAGCTCGGATCATAAATACAGACAGGACAGGAGACAGTGCTGGGAGAAGGCAAATACACTGTTTTAATTCCTTATCGAGGGGATTTGACCAGGAGCGTTTCCAGACTTTTTTTTTGACTGGGGGGCACAAGTGGGGCACTGATTTATTAAGTGGTGGCATTATGTGTCTCAGTTTTCCAGTTATTCCAAATGTATGTAATTCCAACACTGTTTATGGACCCCAGTATGCAGAAATATTCAAAACACTGCATGGGATTAGGATTAAGTGTCTCCAATTTGTGAGTACCCATAGAACCCATCTCATTCAGATATTTTTAAATGTGAGGTCAAAGGATCCCTTTGAGAATGGCCATGCCAAAGCCTAACTTTGGAGCATTATTAAGACCTCTTCCTGACATGCGAGCATGGCATGGTTGGTACCAATAGATGACATCTAGATCCATATGATACCAATATATTCACTAGCTTTAAAGCTGGCTTTAAAATGGAGCTACAGCCTCTGGAAGACGAGTGGAAGAGATAAGGACAATGGAGTGGCACTTGGGGGGGCATATCAGATTTCAGGGGTGGCCAGTACTACCGCCCCCCCCCCCCCCCCCTCTGGAAACATCCCTGGATTGGGCTTAGATATTTTCTGTAGTGTTCAGGATATGACAATGTGCAGCTGTGGACATCAGGTAGGCTAGTCCACCTTTATAGCCCAAACTGAGCCTAAATTGGATTTTGTTGTTTTTAACTCTATTTTGTGATTGATAAATATCACAAACAAACAAATATTAGGCAAAAATCTCAGGACGGCATTTAGAAGTTATGTCTAAAACCAAAAGGAGTGTTGTGATCTATCAAAATGCTTCCTTTTAAACACATGTCACTCATGTGTATTATCAGTTTATTCACAGTGCACAGAAGGCAGAGCCCCCCAACCTGGGGTTTTGGGCCCCCATTTGGGACCGCGAGGCCTTCTTGATTTTTCTTGACGTGCAGCCCGGACATTGAACTGCTTGCCGTGAGTCTGTGGCCATATTATCTGCCGAGGGAGTTCTCACACGTGATCATCCTGGTTGTTTACATTCCTCCGACTGCAAACGCGGTGCACGCGAGTGACGCCATCCACCCAGACACATTCATTGCGATATCTGGGGACTTCAATCACATCACTCTGGCTGCAACACTGCCCACTTTCAAGCAGTTTGTGGATTGTCCCACCAGGGAAAACAAGGCACCGGACCTGCTGTATGCCAATGTTAAGGAGGCTTACAGCTCCACTGCCCTTCCTCCTCTTGGAAGATCAGACCACAACCTCATCCACCTGCAGTCCCTGTATAAGCCCCAAGTCCACCGGCTTCCTGTGACCACCAGGACTGTGAGGAGATGGTCACAGGAGACCAATGAAGCTTTGCAGGGCTGCTTTGAACTAACAGACTGGGAGTTGCCTACAGTGACTGTACGCTGTTTCCCCAATAACAAGCCATGGGTCACCAGAGACATCAAGGTCCTGCTGAATGAGAAGAAGAGGGCCTTCAGAGTTGGGGACAGGGAGCAGATGAGGCCTGTTCAGAGGGAGCTTAAGGAGAGGATCCAACAGGGTAAAGACAGCTACAGGAGGAAGCTGGAGCACAAACTCCAGCAGAATAACTTGAAGGACGTGTGGAGCGGCATGAGGAGCATCACTGGCTACAAACCATCTGGCAGCCAGACAATAGGAGGTGGTACTGAAGGAGCCAACGAGCTGAATCTGTTTTTCAACAGATTTGATGAGAGGGCTCCGGACTACCCCTCCCCCAGCTCCTCTACAACCCACCCACCTCCAAACCTCCAGCCCTGCTGCCCCCCCCCCCCCCGCCGTTCCTTCCTGACTATGCCCTATCTGTCCTCTCCCCCCCACCATCACCTCTCCCCACCCCCATCAACACACGGCAGACAGACCTTCACTGCAGAGCAGGTGAGGAAGGAGCTGCTGAATGGACTCCTGCAGCACATCTTCAACCTGAGCCTGAGTCTGGAGAGGGTCCCTGTGCTGTGGAAGATATCCAGCCTGGTACCAGTACCGAAGACTACAGACCGGTGGCGCTGACCTCTCACTTGATGAAGTCCCTGGAGAGGCTGGTCCTGTCACTTCTTCGGCCCCTGGTCAGCTCATCACTGGACCCTCTTCAGTTTGCCTACCAGCCGAGACTAGGAGTGGAGGACGCCATCATCTTCCTGCTCCACCGTGCCTGCACCCACCTGGACAGACCGGGAAGCACTGTGAGAATCATGTTCTTGGACTTCTCCAGTGCGTTCAACACCATCCGGCCTGCTCTGCTGGGGAGTACGCTGACGGCGATGCAGGTGGACCCTCCCCTGGTTTCCTGGATTACGGACTATTTGACGGTTCGACCACAGTATGTCAGACTGCAGGACGGTGTGTCTGACACTGTGGTCAGCAGCACTGGGGCTCCACAGGGAACTGTTCTTTCCCCCTTTCTGTTCACCCTGTACACCTCGGACTTTCAGTTCCTCTCCGAGTCCTGCCACCTGCAGAGGTTTGCGGACGACTCTGCAATTGTTGGCTGTGTCAGTAAGGGGAAGGAGGAGGAGTACAGGGGCGTTGTGGACTCCTTCGTCAAGTGGTGTGCAACTAACCATCTGCATCTCAACTCCACCAAGACTAAGGAGCTGGTGGTGGACTTCTGCAGGAGGAAATCTGTCCCTGCACCCATCTTCATCAGCGGTGTGACTGTGGATGTTGTCCAGGATTACAAATACCTTGGAGTATACCTGGATAACAAAGTGGACTGGGCCAAGAACACTGAGGCTGTTTACAAGAAGGGCCAGAGTCGACTCTATTTCCTGAGGAGGTTCCGGTCATTCAACGTATGTAACATCATGCTGAGGATGTTCTACCAGTCGGTGGTAGCCAGTGCCATCTTCTTTGCTGTTGTGTGCTGGGGCAGCAGGCTGAGGGCAGCAGACGCCAAGAAGATCAGCAGGATCATCAGGAAGGCTGGCTCTGTCCTGGGGGTCCAACTGGACTCTTTGGTGGTGGTGTCTGAGAGGAGGATGCTGTGTAAACTGCGCAGTATCCTGGACAACAACGCTCATCGCTCACCCTCTCCACCAGGTGCTAACCTCGAGCAGAAGCACCCTCAGCAACAGACTCATTCCCCCCCGATGTAACACTGTATAACTCATCTACCTCCGGTCGCGAGAGGGACAGTGGAGACACTGTGCCCTGAGCAAATGTCACTTTATAATTTTTTACCCAATTTTCACTCATCACTTTATTTAGTTGTACTGTACCTTAGTTAATTTATGCTGCTAACGAATGCTGCTACAATTTTTTATCACTTTTACCACTGTTATCACTTTATCCAATCGCTCCTTATCACTTGTTTAGTTTGTACTTATTTTATTTCAATTTATGCTGCTAAAGTGCACGGTGCGCATATTGTATATACCTACCTTTAACTGCAATTTTTGTTGCATTTTGTCACATTTAGTTACTTGGGGGTTTTTTTCTACTTATGTTACCTGTAAGTGCTTGCATTTTGTTGCATTTAGTTAATTGTTTGATTTATTTTATGTTAGCTTTTATTTTATTTTATTTTATTTTATGTTGGCTTATTTTTACTCTAACCCTGTATTACTTTCCCACCTTTGTACTGAAACTGTTGCATTGTAATTTCCCTGTTCTTCTTGAATCTTGAATCTTGAATCTTGAAAAAATTTAAATGTAAATAGTCTAACAGGACAATTGCAATATAATGTGAAATATGGATAAAATATGTCAGAGTCAGGGGTCGTCAGTTCACTAAATGATGAAAATGGGTCACTTAAGGAAAAAGGTTGGGAACCACTGAGATAAGGTTTGGAAAATTAACATATCTGAAGGGAATCCCCTTTCTTCACTTGACTTCTGTTAATTGAGGAGTAGAAATAGAGATATGTCTTTTCCATTACCCATGATGCTGCTCTGTTCTCACACTGCCAGGCCTTCAGACAGCATTTGCTTGTTATTACCCAGTTATGCACAGATTTTTCCACCATATGCTAAATTATTGGGATTACTGGCTCACATGTTTTGTTTGGGATTACTTGGTCTAATCCTGCGCATGTGTGTGTGTGTGTGAGTGTGATTAGGCTGGTTTTATTCTGTCTGGCTCTTTGTTTCTTCACAAAATCAGTCTTGTACAGTCTTCTTGGCCTTGCTACCCAATAAGGTAAACTGTGGTAAAGTACTTACTGCAATAGGTGTTAATCTATCCTGCTATAATGACAGCAAGCCTATAAATGGTCCCCTCTCTGCTGCTCAAGCATGGAAACACACACAGCCGCACACATAAACCATACACACAATTAACTCAAATGGTTCTAATATAAATAGACCACAGGGAGAAAACACATAAGCCTACAGGGCTATAGGCCCACTCTCGTCTGGTGGTTTAATGTGAGTGCTTCCTGCCGTTATAAGATATAGGAGCTCTGAAGGTTTACCACACACTGAAATCAGCCAATGGCACAGATAATCCTAGAACTAACATCAGCTGCAGTTCTCTCTTTCAATAATAAGTAAAGGATACTTTGTGTTTTATGACACAGAGGAGAAAATAAATATCTTAAAGGACCAGTGTGTAATTAGTGGCCTCTAGCGGCGAGATTGCAGATTGCAACCAACTGAAACCCCTTGACTCAGCTAAGCGTGTAGGAGAAACTACGGTGGCTGTGTAAAAGGCTGCAGGCCCTATTTAGAGCCAGTTTGGTTTGTCCGTTCTTGGCTACTCTGTAGAAGAACACCCACTCCCTCTGTAGATAAAAACAGCTCACTCTAAACATAAGCACATATATTGAAATTTAGAAAAAACTGTCATCATATAAAAAAATACCATGTGCAAAAAGTTAAAAGAGGTTGACTTTTTCATGCATCCAGAACAGTGAGATCTGCATTCGTATCAGTTTACATTTACAACACTGCTATCTAGTGGTTAAGGGGTTAAACTCAAAAATGTGTGTTTGACAATCAATATCACAAAATATCTTGTCATTTTCTTACTCCCCTAATACATATGAACATTCTATTCCATTGCTGCCAATAGGTCCTCCTAAATGTTACACACTGGATCTTTAATTTTAAAGCCCCCCTACAGTCAGAGATCAGTGTTTCCTCTAGTTCCTACAGTGTGCTGTGTGAATGCTGTCTGTGCAGAGTTTAACACTAGAAGGATGTTTTCACATTCATCTGCTGAAAGTGGAAAGTTTCTCTGTGCTCATTGAACATCTGATTTTAAGGGGCGGGGCCTACCAGCGTGATCTGTGACATCACAAATAGTAAGGAAGTCAGTCCTGGTCCAGTATCAACTTGTACAGTGTGATGTAGAAACTTGAAGCCACCAGTGCACATCCACTGAGAATGGACTTTACAGTGAAGTAGGAGACATCTTATTATTATTTTTATTATTATTATTATTAATATTATTATTATTATATTAATAATGGTTTAAAGCATTCTTAGTTACAGCTTATAAACACTTTATAAAGGATAACTTACAAGAACAAAATGTATTCTCTGTATTTAACAAAGAAAAACACAAAAATCAACATTTTATGTATTTATTTAACTTCATATAACTTGCTCTCCCTATATTACGGTCTAAATGTGGTTTTAAAGCCTTTTCTACAGTACCAGATTATTATTTTATAATTATGGTGTAGAATATTAGATAGATAGCTTTTATTTTGATTAACAGGCAACATTTTAAATATTAGTCTAAAAATATCAGGACAGGCCTTTAAAAACAAGTACAATATATAATGTAATGCTAGACTCTAAACTGCACTTCGTTTAAAACCTTCAAAATTCACAGGAATTTAAATGAGGACATGTCCTTGGTGTCCTCAATAGTAGCTGCAGCCCTGAGTGCAAACAGCTGACAAAAAAGGCCATTGTCAATCAGTCATGCTGTACATGTGACAGTGATACCCCAGAAAGGAGCTAGTGCAACAACAAAACGCTAAAAGGGAGAGCATCCAACTCTTTAAACTGATAAATACAGGTGCTGGAAGCTGTTCAATTAATGGCTGAAATATGTGATAACAATATTTATAGACCTACTAAGGCAGAAAGGAGCATTTTATTATTAAGAGACACTTTGTCTCAGTCTGTCCCCAGTGAGCTGAGGGGATGCACTGCTGACACTCTGTGGTGGAGCAGTGTATTACAGGAAAGAGGATATTAACCTACAGTCAGAACACTGTGTTGTCCTGCTCTGTCAATGTCCATGATGTGAAAGCAGCTTATTTGAGTGTCCCCATCAGAAAGAGCCACATCACTCTGAAATGTGTCTTGCAAAAGAGAAACCAATGATGTCTCACAACCATCCAGAAATATTCTGTATTTTTTCTCCGCTACTGGGAGTTAAAGCTGCAGTAGGTAACTTTTATAAAAATAACTTTTTGTCATATTTGCTGAAACTTTCACTTAATCCTGACAGTAGAACATGAGACAGATAATCTGTTAAAGGTTGCCAGGTTCCTCTGGCAAGAATCCACCGGGCCTGAACAAAAACAACCAATCAGAGCCAGGAAATATAATTGATTGTTGAGACTCATTCCCAGGGCATCATATATTAACTTTTTGGGTTGGATGCTTGAAGATAATGGACTGGTAAGTCATTTCCAAATTGCTGTATTTGGCAACCTGGGATCATCTTTCTTGGCTCTGATTGGTTGTTTTCATTCAGGCCCGGTGGATTCTTGCAAATGCCATGAGGAGCTCTAGGAGGAGCCAGAGGAAACTGATTGTTTCACAGATTATCTGTCTCATGTTCTACTGTCAGGATGTAGTAAAAGTTTAAAATAATATTATTATAATAAGTTATTTTTATAAAAATCTAAAATACACATCCTGTTGTGCAGCAATTCTCTGAGGCCAGCTGCTATAATCCCTTAAAGTCTCTGAGAACTACCAACTGTATAGCATCCTGTTACACTATAAACATCTGACACTGCGCAAGCTTTCATGCAGATTGTGTCACATACAGTATGTGTCATGTAGTTATTCCGCAGTATGTCATAGTTTTCAAATCTCTAAATGCTATATGTCACACAACGTTACATTCATATACCAAGGCACCAACTAATGATTATTATTTTCCGTTAATCTTTTAATTGTTTTAATCTTCACATTGTTTGTTTCATCTGTCCAAACACCCAAAGATATTCACTTTACAATCAGGGAAAAGTAACAAATCGGCCAAAGAATTAACATTTTGTGCTGGATATTAAATAATAAGTTATCAAGATGTGCAGAAACAAAAGCAACAAAAGATTGAGATTCAACACAATAATCAACTTTTCTTTAAAAAGTAGAAAATCAGTCATTGGCAAAAGATTCAATTACTGATTGTTTATTTTGTCATTGTAAGTTTAAAGCAGTGGTTCCCAACCTGGGGGTCGCCAAAGCTTCACAGGGGGGTGGTGAGGCCTTCTAAATTTTAAGGGGTGTAAGATAACTTACAAATATACACTGTAGTAGGCCTATATCTTAGTCACACAATCAAAGAGCTTATACAGGAAACACTTTATATGCAATACATTAAAAAAAGCCATTCAGTCTGATTAAGCCATTAACAGTGAGCAGATTGTGATGAGACTCTCTCTATTTAGTGACTTTCCTTCAGACTCAAATACGGTTTATAATTCTCTAGGCTGCAGAATTTTCCCAGGATTCATCAGGTTCTTTGGGTCGAGGGCATCCTTGAGACTCTGCATGACCTGGATAGCCATGTGTCCCATCTCCTCACGCAGCAGCGCTCTCTTCCCTAAACCCACTCCGTGCTCCCCTGTACAGGTCCCGTCCATGGCCAGGGCTCGCCTGCACAGAACACAAACCACATTGTTTTACTGCTAAAAATCGTACTGATATCACATTTATAGAACAATAATCATTAAAACCAAAACTAATAATACTACAATATTTACAGTGATCTGTAACTTGACCTCCACTACACCAAACTCATGCCTAATTTAAACCATTCTTTAAATTCACATCTTAATGTGAATACTCACTTTATACCTTAAACATATGTCATTTCTGGAGTTCTCTCACATGAAAACAATAATAAAAGACAACATTTGACAATGTTGTGAAGTAGCATAGGAGTTGTTTTCATTGCATTCGGCTTCTCACGGTAGGTTTCCTTCTTTCGCTAAAACCTCTTCTAAAAACACTGAATAAAGCAGTTTTTGCTTAAAAATATGTTTCTCTGATGTCATTTGGTGGATAAAGGACGTCCCGGAGGGGTTGCGAGCCACATGACACACACACTCAGAAATAGATGTCCAGGCTGACTATACATTTTTACTCAAATGGTACCATATCAGGTCCATAATGGGCCCTCTTGACGACCTTATGATCCACTGCGAAGTGCATGTACAGTAGCTCCTGACACGTTTCTTCAGCCTGACAGGTACATTTGCTAAAGTCACTCAATAAAGAAAACCCCTTCATCAGGATAAACGTAGGTGCAATATGTGAGAAAAGTTTGCCATAAATGCATGTATATTTGAAATATTTAGTGGGCTAAATATCTGGGTGTGTTGGAGACGACTGGAGGGGCCATGCAATGAGCTACAACCAGTGTAAGCAGACACAGGTAGCCTCTCTCCCCAGCACCAGACAGGAAGCAGTGAACCGGTAGTTACTTTGGTAACAGCTGCAAAAAAACCTCAGATACAGAAACACACATAATGGACGCTGATGTAACAGTGTTGTTCAGTTTGCTGTGTATCTGTTCTACCAACCAGCAGGTGAATGTCAAGTTTGTACAGAATACACTTCCATCTTTTTTGGGTAATATTGATCAGAATTCACTTTATCTTTATGGATTATATTGATGCCAAATTGACCAGAAGACAGTCGACAGTCTTTAGCCCGTGTTACATGTTTCTATGGACATATTAGGAATTGTTAAAGTTGAGTTAGTTAGTTAAAAGAGGTACATTTATTTTTTATAGAATTTACCTAGAGAGCAGTAAGGTCTGGTTGGCTTCAGGGCAGAACATTTACTGAAGCTTGGAGCATACGTCCTTTAACCATCCTTAAAATATAATGCTGTTATGATAAGATTCAGTTTAACATAAATAATTGAATTCAGTACATTAAAATCTGGACTTTCCACGAATGTTGAGTAAATGACTGTACAGTAAATGTGTCAAGTAAGGATGAGCGTATTCTTGAACCGGATCTCTTTTTGGCATTAGTTCAGGAGGTATCCACATGGAGAAAAGTCCCGTCTGCTGGTGGATTTGTGAGTAAGGGACAGGTGTGATTCCCTTTACCTGGCCAGTCTCTCCGTGAACAGGTGGACCCTGTGCTGCTCCTCTGGGTCACTGGGGTCCACCACCATCAGACAGTGAAAGTTACCATCACCCACATGACCAGCTATGGGACCTGAAGGTACAAGAAGATAGCATTTAACTAAAAACATACAATATCATTGCTGTTTTACTGCTCTCATGATGCATCAGCGCTGCTTTTGTACTGTGTGTTAGTGCAGCTGCTGTCTCCATTGCTTGTTCTTGTGTTTTGCAAAGAAGAAATAGCACATTTTTCCCATTTTAATATCACGCAGAATACTATTTAATTCGCAATTTTAAATTACGAATCACATCAGTACTACCGAGTTTTAATTCACATTAAATTATTCGGTGCTGAATTATGTTATGTGAGATTTTTTATTATGTCCGAACCCTTAGTATGAAACCAATAGTATGTGAATAGCATACTGGTTACAGGGAAATATGACAGCACTGTGGTAGTAAGGTGAGTTTTGACTTATAAAGTAGTATAAAGCATAAAGTACCAAAAAAGGTACCGGTTCAAATGATTTATGTTTTCCTAACAAGTAATGAGTAGATATCGTGGAAAACAGCAGTATGTCATGTTACTTTTACGTTCAGTCATAAGGCCGCCACTTCACCTGCTGGGTTTATACACTGTTGTCCTGCCTGTGTCAGATATATAAGCTAGAGTTACATTTTACATTAAGCTGCACTGTTCTGTGCAGTGAGTTAGTATTTTATCATATTTGTAACAGCACATTCAATTCTCTGCATCATATCTGACCCCCTAAATTACTTAAATAAGTAGCAAAGCTGCAGTATGTAATTTCCACACACACAATCAGTGCATGAGCCTTGCCAAGACCACGTTTCCTCTCACCATGACCCGTCTTCTCAAAGACACCCATCCAGCACTCCGCGGCCCCAGGGCAGAGCGCCTCAGGCTGCGCAGCGTGCAAGAGTAGTAACTGACACTGCATTAGAGGCTCTGATTGCTTGGATTCTTTCAAATGACATTAGGAGCTGTGGTTATAGTCTGTGGATTATAACTAGGTCACGATTTCAGCAGAGAGACATTGCTTGTGTTTTCCAAATGTACTTTTCTGGTGCTTTGAGCCCCACAAGCCGAGTGCCATCTGGTTCCAATATATCAGAGAGAAGGAAGATCCAAATCTTCAAATCTCTAAAACTCAGCAACTCACACCAAAACAATCCAGATGGATGAATTGCGCTACAGGTAAGTGTTTCTGATTGCTTTAAAATTGTTCTCTGCAGTGTACTTACCTGTAAGTCTGTTCTCAATCAGGTCCTCCTTTGTCTCCACTATGATCTGAGGCAGTCGAGACAGAGGGACACACACATCTGTAGCGTAGGCCTGTGGGACAAACACACACATACATACACAAGGAAGATAAGGTCACAGTATTGGAAGAGGTTGTCTTTTGCAATCACTAGGATTTAAAGCTTTAATATAGTGAGACGTTAAACTGCCACACAATGGTGATGGTGTCGGTGTAGCCTTTCAACCAGAGGACTAATTAACTAGTCAGTTGTTCACATTACAACACATTAAAGCAGCATCCAGTAACCCTGTACCTTAAGCTCTAATGGTATTGAGTTTTCAACTCAGCAGTCACAGTGGAGAGTAACATTGAGGTAAGTGGTAATAAATATGATACTGCCAGCTACATTGTAAAACCAGGTAAATTTACTTAAATGAAAAATTGTTGAAAGGGAAAAAATGTAAGTGAATGTAACTCACCTTTGTAAGTTAAAAAAACACATTATTGATTAATTAGCTTTAATCATTTTAATCTAAGTAAAAAGTACTTCAGGAATCAGGAATGTTTCTGCAACTTCCAAAATAAGTTAGGGTCACTTAAAACTACTAATAAAAGCTGCTTAATCAAGAATCTGTTAAATTAAAAAAATGTGTTTGTGTTACTTACCATTTACCATTTTTACCAATTCTTTGTTTAAATAACTTATTGCGTTACAGTGTGGACGTTGTTTTATGCCTAATTAGAATAGTAATAATTAACAATATTACATCTGCCTGAACCAAGGATCCTCTTAAAGTGTTACCAATGGTGGTGAAATGTATTATCTCACTTGTCTTCCCTTTCCCTGAATATATTTCATATACTCTTAATGTTAGTATTTTCTCATACCAAGCAAATGGTAACACAGAGGTATTTTATTATAGCGATATAGCTAATATGGCTAAAGTGGCAGGTGCCTTCCTTTACCTTGCAGCCAGGTCTGAGAGCCAAAGCAGCGTACCAGGCATCATGACGAGCTTTCCACAGACGGTTCCGTGTTTCTGTATCTCTAGCCCACTGAAAATCTGATCCACCATTACTCTGAGTGATGTCCTCTGTAGAAACACACACACACACACACACACACACACACACACACACACACACACACACTGTTATGACACTACTACTACGGTTGACCAAGTACTCGGCTGAAACGAGTATCCTGTACAGATAATATACTTCTTATGAGAATCATCAAGTAAAATCTGTTAAAAAAAAGGATAAAATATGTTAATATCTGTACTCCTAAATATACTTTCATATACTGTGCAACAAAGCCTAATGCACTAACTACAGATTTAGGCAAAATGTAGCTGGGAGCAGAAGCTGACAACATTTATATTTCCATACAACACTTTTTATGCAATAGACGTATGATTCCAAAGAAAAGCATGTTAAATGTGCAGTCACAAAAACAAAACCAAACAGTCAACTACAAAGCCAACGCAAGGGAGCCAAATCCTGTAAAAGCTATCTGGAGATAACAACGGCTAGCCTTGACTAAAGTTAAACTTACTTTTCCCCCTTAGCCGTTTTCGGTCAGTGAAATAGATACATTTTGCTAAAAGTATGTAACTTTCAAGGAAAGACGCAATTCTTACAGTATTTGCCTTCACTGCTTACAAATGCATTATGTTTCAATTCAGCCCATGCTTAATTTAATCAGCAAGATTACACTTATTTCATAATTCTGTGACAAAACATACATTTTCAAATAAAAATGAATTAACATTCATAATAATTTTATTGGTTAGGTTTTTATCCAGCAGCAATAGTGTGTGACATGAGTCATTAGAAATCTGCGTTGTTTGTACGCTTTGTTTACTCACACACCAGTTGTGTTGACCTGTTCCTCGAGGCTTCGCTCAGAGCCGTGGAACTCCAGGAACAGCGTCGGGGTCACAGGGTAGGACAGAGAGCTGAATCTGTTGCACGCATCAATCATCACATCATCCAGAAACTCTGGTATAACACACACACACACACACACACACACACACACACACACACACACACACACACACACACACACACACACAGTCAGAACACAGAGAATGAGACTGATGTCAGTGTTGTGCAGATAGCAGTAGATAAATAGGCCATCCTTCTGACCAAATACAACATTTCCAGCTGCCAATGACTGATATTGATTCTATTCTCACAGTTAATTTGATAACACACTTCTCCCTCCTGGAATATATTATCCTCCTACTGCAGGTACCCATTTTCTTAAGAGATCAATAAAGTTTCATCTCTTCCTTGTTCTGTCTTTAAACCCAGTTCTTCCAAACCACATTCATTTTTCTTCTACCTCTCTGTGGCTATTTTGTCTTTCATTAATCCTAATAACGTCAGCTTATCGCTGGACTGATTGCATTCACATGGCTAACACTTAACACACACATTTAGATCCCCTCCATTGTGTATTTGTGGGCCGGAATAGTCCTGAGTAGCCCGGAGATACCACTTGCAGTTCATTTGTATTTGATTGCATCTTCAGTCATGGCCACATACTGTGAGGAAATAGGCAGATTATCAAAAGACGTGATCTGAAAAGATTTCTTGCTCTTCTAAGATGCTGAAAAGTTTGATTTCATTGTTAGAAGTCTCTTTATACATCTCAGATATAGAAAGCTTTTGCCAATTCAGCTTCAAGAGCTCCTCTCTTGATGTCTTCTCTTTGTAGTAGTCTTTGTCAATATATGGCTCAATTAAATCTAACCATCCCTTTTATTAAACTGCATTATCCCCTTTTATGCACATGCTGAGAACAAACAGACACTGGACTAAAATTGTGTTTTTAAAGATCCCTTCCAGACATGTATTAAGACATGTATACAACTAGTCTGCTTGAAACAATAATGTGTGTCTGACGTGTTTTTTCTGTAAAAGTACAATTTCCATAATCAAATCCTTAAAAAAGCATCTACTCCTTCTACCTCATTATGAAGTTTTCTTGCTGGACACAAGATGTCTCCTACTTCACTGTAAAGTCCATTCTCAGTGGATGTGCACTGGTGGCTTCAAGTTTCTACATCACACTGTACAAGTTGATACTGGACCAGGACTGACTTCATTGAAACACTGATTCTTGAGTGGATGGGGACTTTAACATCACCTATTTATGACACATGTCCATCTTAAGTATGCTTAAGGGGAAAACATCAAACCAGATCTCGTCACTGACCAATCACTTATTTACAGTGCATGACAAAAATTCCTCCCAGGTTTTAAAAAGATGACACAAAATGTCAGTCAAAGTAGATTAATTGCAACAGACAGTTGAGCCTTGTTTAGACTGGAGTCAGATGTGGCCAATGAAGAAGACCATGAGTTCTAATCCACACCTGTAGGACATTTTAGCCATGCTGTGATATGCTGAGCTGTGATCACACGTATTTCACTTAACTCACCCAGCAGGGGATGACCAATCGGACCCGTATTACAGCATGAAAGTGGGGTCAATTCATGATGATTTCCACCCTTTAGCCAAGCTGTATCATTACTCTGTACTGCTTGTACAGGCAACAACAGTAAACGTGACATTTTTAAAAGAAATGTCCAGCTCCTTTGTTCCTGTTCTAACTGATATCTAACAGATGCCAGTCACATGGTCTGCAGGTAATTGTGACCAACATCTGAAAAATACCCACACACCCTTTACCTGGGTGTATGGGTGCATACCACAATTCACTATGGTCTACTGTACAACACCAACACCTATTAAAGGCATACTAGGTAGGATTTTCCAGTGTGTGGGATTTAGTGCCATCTAGCGATGTAGCTGCAGATTGGAACTCACTCTTTTTTTTTTTTTTTCATGATGGCGCCTGTTACAACGGCAGCCTGTTATAGCAGCTCCTATAATTGTTGTAGTTTTAGTGTGTTTTCAGTGTGTGTTTTTAGTTTTTTCTATTTTTAACAGTTTTCTTACTTTCTTACTATTTTTTCACACGCGTTTTTGAGCACTTTTATTTTTGTTTGCACTGGTCTCCATGGCGACAGGGAGTCGCATTGTTTACACCCGCAACCAGATGATCGCCCTGAGGCACCCCAGCATCCTGGCTGGAGAGAGACCCTCTATACCGGAGGAACTGAGGAGGAGACGGCGAGGCTGCAGAGTGGGGGTTAAATGGAGGATGAAGGAGAGGAGGTTTAAACTCTACATCCCTGCAATCATCACTGGAAACCTAAGGTTGCTGGCAAATAAAGTGGACGAACTGGAAGCCCTCACCAGGACACAGAGGGAGTACAGGGAGTCTAGTATCATGTGTTTCACGGAAACGTGGCTACACGAGCAGGTACTGGCTCCAAAGTCAACATTCCCGGCTTCCAGACGGTTCGAGCCGACAGGGACACCACCGCGACCGGCAAGAAGAAAAGAGGGGGACTGGCCGTGCTCATAAAAACAACAGGTGGTGTCTGTGTGAAAGAGCGTGTCTGCAGCCCGTACATCGAGCTTGTCGCCGCTTTCAGGGGGGAGGTGTGGGTGCAGCTGAGGGGAATCAACCACGAGCCAACGAGTTGGACCAGTTTTTTAACAGGTTTAACTTCAGCTCCCCCACCCCTGGCAGCCCCTCTACTTCTCCTCTGAGCAACAACCCCAGGACACTATCACACCCCCCAAAGCCCCCAACAAACTCCTACAGCAGACACCACCTATCACCATCCCCACCCCCCCCGACTGACACTCACCATGGACTCTTCTCTAGCGTCTTCAACACCATCCAGCCCAGAATGCTGAAGGCCAAACTGGAGAACATGCAGGTGAGTGCTCCCCTCATCACATGGGTCGATGACTATCTGACGGCAGACCGCAGTTTGTGAGATTACAGAACTGTGTGTCTGACCATCTGATTAGTAACATAGGGCCCCCCCAGGGAACTGTACTGTCTCCCTTCCTCTTCACCACCTACACTACTGACTTTAAGTACTGCACTGAGTCGTGTCATCTGCAGAAATACTCGGATGACAAGGCCATTGTGGGGTGTCTGGAGGGCGGGAGAGGACTGAGTACAGGGACCTGGTTGATCGCTTTGTGAAGTGGTGTAGGGTGAACCACCTGCAGCTGAATGTGGCAAAGACAAAGGAGATGGTGGTGGACTTCAGGAGTAACAAGCCCCTGCCCTCTCCTGTCTGCATCGGTGGGACAGATGTGGACATAGTAACAAACTACAAGTACCTGGGTGTCACACTGGACAGTAAACCGGACTGGTCCACAAATACAGAGACTGTTTATAAGAAGGGCCTGAGCCGACTTTACTTCCTGAGGAGGCTCAGGTCCTTTAATGTCTGCAACAGGATGTTGCAGATGTTCTATCAGTCTGTTGTGGCGAGCACCATCTTCTTTGCTGCGGTGTCCTGGGGTGCGGGCATCAAGGCAAAGGATGCCAACAGACTGAACAAACTCATCAAGAAGGCCGAGTCTGTTGTTGGCTTGAAGCTTGCCACCCTGGAGGAGGTGGTGGAGGAGAGGATGCTGGCAAAACTGCTGGCAATCATGGACAATCCCTCCCACCCCCTCCACACAACACTGGACAAGCTAAAGAGCAGCTTCAGCAACAGACTCATTCAACCACGCTGCAAGAAGGAACGATACAGGAGATTGTTCCTTCCAAGTGCAATAAGACTTTTTAATAATAATTGACTCTTAACTCAGCTGCTATGACGTTATAATTATTATAAGTATTATCTATTCTTCTATTCATCCTCCCTTTCCAAGTGCGAGGGAGAAACTTCTCACATGATTACACTAATGAAAACATACCTGTGGATATTATATTCAATTTCTGCCAAAAGATCGTTTTAAATGTTACACACTGCACCTTTAAAAACCATGTATTGACATAAACATAATCCCTCACAAACGTTACTTGTGACCCACTAGAAGTGTGGGTGTTTGTATCTATAACAAAATGTATTAAAATAAAACGTATCATATGGGAAGGGTGCAGTTATTATCTCCTCACCGATGCGAGCAATGGGCACTCCCGCTTGTAGAATCTGAACTGTGCTATCCACAGCAGCCTGGACAGAGGGGAAAGAGCAGACGGCTGACACCATGGCCTCTGGGATGCCGTACAGGCGCAATGTAGTTTTGGTGATGATCCCCAGGGTACCCTCTGACCCCACAATCAAGTTGGTCAGGTTGTAGCCTGCTGATGTCTTCCTAAAGATTGATAGAGAGAAAATTAAGGTCCGAGAGTTTAGGCTGTGCTAGGGCAATGTTGCACATTTGTGGGTGCAAGTGGCTAATGTGTACCTGGGGCGTCGGCCCTTCCCAGCCGTGTGTATGATTGTCCCGTCAGCCAGAACCACCTCCAGATTTAGAACGTTTTCCCTCATCGTTCCGTAACGCACTGCATTGGTACCAGAGGCACTGGTGGCGGCCATGCCACACAGAGACGCATCAGCACCAGGATCTGAGACAATGAAAACACATCATGAGTGACTTCAAAATGACAAATCTATTGATTTATTTTACAATATACTGAAAATGGACAGAAAAGGTAAATCTACTTTAATCCTGTTACACCCACAGTTGTGTGGTCCTATGAGCAGCGCTTGACCTGATTGTTTAGCACACATCCTCCAAAATGGAAAACATTCATCTAGTAAAATACTTTTTATGTGACTGACCAACAGGGAAATAGAAAAGTGAAAGATAACCACATGCTGGATTAATGCTGCTAGCATTAATGAAGGCTGACCAGGCCACACACACAAGCCAGAGTCATTAAGAGCAATGCTGAAAACACTGCATGTCACAACCAGGACACGAGGGAGTGCACAGGGTAGAGATAATTTACCCTTCCTAAGCCACACCCCTTTTTGCTCTGCGCTCCAATAACAGCTGAACCTCAGTCAGAAACGGTTGGTCAACTTCCTACCTGCCTATACTTAGACATGCTATGGGCTAGGCTTGTCTATGTTGAAAAGACAACCACATTTTAAAGACGGTTGCAAGATAGTAAGTTAGCTATCTAATGTTTGCAGGGTCAGAGTGGACGTTTAAACATGAACTTGTTCTCGTGGTTTTATTGGACTTTTATTGTGATGTGTCGCTTCCTGTCACCTCATCCGGCCGCTTCCTGTGACTGTAACCCGATGCACACACACCTTTTTCTTTAGCTTAATTCCTTTAAGTTAGATTGTACATTGAGTGTTTTTTTTATCTTGTTTTGCCTTTATTCTACTTATTTCTCTTTTAACAAAAGCTTGTGTTTACTATACGTGCTGGCCAACTTAATTTAGCCTTTTTTGTTTTTTTTTTCATGGGTGAAACCAGTCTGTTCTATGCAGAATTCCACATCCTTCCATTTAAACTATTAATAGTGATTTTGGTCATAGTAATTAATTTAATTATTAATCCAATTTCTTAATGAATACTTTAATGTATTTTATGAGACTGATCAATAAATGATTGGCTATCGTTTCCCTTATTTAAGGGTGGCACCCCAAGGACCTTTAATATTAATTTAAGTAATTTTCTATTATCTTTTGATAATTGATAAACTTTGATAACCAAAATTAAGTGATTGCACCAACATCGTTTGGTGTGCCTTTAAACCACTGTTGTACCAACAAATGGTACCGCTGTGACTTAGCACCTAGCACATAGCATAGCACCTACATCAGTACAGTACAACTCAGTAGCTAATCTCCATCAATTGTTAGCTAGCTAGTTATACCTGAAAGCTGATATCAGCATAACGTATGCAAAAAAAAGTATGCTAACATTTTGCTAACATTAGCTAACAATAAAACTGGAGCAGAGAGCTAAAGGGGCCTTAGGATGGCTCAATTGCCATTTTATGTCACTTCTGTCATTCAGGCTGACATTGTGATCATGTTAGCCGACTTCTTATTTGGGGTTATTTTCTTATTTTTTCTTATTATTCAGTTGCTAAGAACTAACCTCTAAACCCCCTCAGCACTGTCAAGCTGAACTTGTTTGGGAAAAACTTGCATGGATTTACCTCACCCCTCTGTGCCAATCCACTAACTGCACCGATCATATTGGAATTAATAGATTTTTCCCTGAGATTTTGTTACTTTAAACACTGATGTGACCAGTCCTTGACTGAGCTAGAAACAGTGTGACTGACCAACAGGAAACCATAGGCCGGTGTCTCGCAGGTAGGCGTTGAGGGCCTTCCGAGTCACACCAGGCTCCACCGTCACGTCAAAGTCCTCCTGGTGGAGATCCAGAACCTGGTCCATGTTCCTCAGGCTGAAGCACACACCACCCTAAAGGCAGGAGAAAGAAATGTTGATTTGTGTATTTCCATTTATTTATTTGTACTTAAAGTGTCTATTATTGATATTTATATAATAAGAATGTATCAAATGACATGGAAACAATTTAACAGTCTAAATGGGGATGCTCATAGTGATTAACCTACAAGGAATTATCAACTCCCGGTTTTACGTGGCTTTATAGTGGCTATAAGCTCATTGATTAGTAGCAATATTATGATTTTCTCTAAACACTCACATAACATAATTTAAGTAAGTTTTCAAAGAAAAACTGTACTCCACCTGCTCAGTAAATTATATGGCTGAAGCCCCTGAATTACTTAAACTTGTCTCTCTTTAAAGCTAAAACCACAAGTACACATAATACAGTACAATATACTCTCTCACCTCCACAGCACCGACCCCTCCCTCCAGGCCAGTTCCAGTGCCGAAGGGGATGATGGGAAGGCGGTGGTTGTGGCAGACCTTAGCCAGGGCGCTGACCTCCTCCACGCAATGAGGAAACAACACCACATCTGGGGGACAGCATCTGAACAGCAGCAATGCAAAACTCTCACTCACTGCTCTCCATGCTTATTCACTAAACGGCACATTTTGTTATCACCCCTTGTAGGATTTAGTAGGAAAACATCTTATTATCGTCATTTACAGAGGAATCATTAAAGGTGAGATGAAGTCATTTTAACTCTTTAAAACTGCATCCTCTGTCATTTTATACACCTATTTAGCAATGTAGGCCAAAACAATTACAAAAATATTTTTTTGTATGTTTATATTAAATCAAACCATGTGACCAATCATGGAAGCTCCAATACCACCACGTCTGTCATGGGACAGACCAATGATCTTCAGTTGCACGGGCCTGCCGGTCCCCTTTTATAAACACCACTGGTGCCCTACACAGCATTGCCAAGCGTACTTCTACCAAGTACCCCATCCATGCAAGCAGGGCAGTGTGGCAGGTATCTCACTATGGGAGATGTAGTCCACTCCCGAATTGCATGCTCCAAACCCCATAACACCACCACAAGCCCTCCCCATGGGCTAGCACATAGTTAACATGGACCCACGCTCAGGACTGAGTGTGACAGTGAAGGCACTGTCACATCTAGGCAGTAAAACCAAATAAATGTGTGTAGAGATGCCCAACTAGCAGCAGCACAAATGTCACCCGCAGAAATGCCCCTGAATAGGGCCCATGAGTTGGCCATTCCTATGGTGGAATGAGCCCACAGGTTCTCAGGGGGCTGCAGTCTATAACTCTCATAAGTCAGGATTATAGCCTCTACCACCCTGTGTGACAGGTGCTGACAAATAGGAGCCTTCCCTCTGTAAGAAGGGGCCCAAGATACAAAAAGCTGGTTACTCTTCCTAAATCTCTTAGTCCTGTCCAAATAGATGCCCAAGGCTCTTACAGGACAAAGTGAATTAAGCCGCCTTTCACTCACCTCTACAAAAGGTGGTGGGTGAAAGCAGCACTTTCCAATAGTCAGGGAAAAATTGCAAACAGGATGTGTCTACAGACAATGCATGTAATTCACTTATCCGTTTGACTCGAAAGGAAGCCCTGAGAGTGCCACCAATACAGTTGTCCCATGAATGAACTAAAGGTTTACAAGCTGGCTGTAGCCGACGAGCTCCCTTCATAAACCTCCTTATCAGAGAATGCTGTCCAATCGGTGAATTCCTAAAACCCACATAAACCAAAAAAACTTTAATAGAGGAAACAGCTTTACAATTGTCCAGTAAGTCCTGCAGGAAGCATAGCACATTCGGAACAGAACTTTGAAATGAAATAATGGCTTTAGCCTCACACCATCTCTCAAACACGCGCCACTCTTCATCTTACAATGAACGTGTTCACGCTGCCCTCGCGCTTTGAATAGTCTCAATCACCCTAAACGGGAGACCGACTTATTCAAATTAACCCTTTCATGTGCCAATCTGCCATGTGCCTATGACAACAAGTCTCTGCGTAACAGCAGCAGCAATGACTAGCTGTGATGGAGCCGCACCAGCTCTGGCGAGCAAATCTGCCCTGCTGTTCAACATGCTGGGGACATATGCTGCGCGTAATGACAGCAGCCAGTTGCTGCTCCACATTCCAAACAAGTGAAGTGCTTTGTGTGAGTTGTGTTTGACACATTCACTCTTCCCTCAGAACTGACACCAAAGAGCGGGGGGGAAAGCTCCTAAGTTGGCTACCTCTTTTTACCTTCAGATAGATAGATAGATAGATAGATAGATAGATGGATAGATAGATGGATAGATAGATGGATAGATAGATAGATGGATAGATGGATGGATGGATAGATAGATAGATAGATAGATAGATAGATAGATAGATAGATAGATAGATAGATAGATAGATAGATAGATACTCTATTCATCCCCCAAGGGAAAGTCACAGTTTCCAGCAGTATCCACAGACTGGGATAAAACACAAGTGTGTATGTATTTTTCTATGAACAATGGATGAAATTACCATGTGTAAAATTACCCGCTGTACTACTTGCTCAGTGCCAAACAGCAGACAGACAAAGCTAGCAAATAGCTGGGGAATATATATATATACATTTTTGTGTACTGTCACAAGACTTGTGCATTGTGCTACTGCATTATTCTGGAATAAAATGCATAGTATTGAAAACACTATTACAAAGCAGTATGGTGTGTCTGTGTGACCTACCTGTGTACAGACTCATCTTTACCATGTTGCTCTCTGACAGCTTCACCCAATGAGACGCTGTCCTCACCACATATAGACCTGAATGCAGAGAGTACGCTGTCCAAAGCAGCACTCTGTGCAGACACACAGACAAAAGATTACACACAGTGAAAAGGAGTGAGACATCAGAAGAGAGTCTGGCAGACAGCTACTGCCAGAATAATCATACAACCAGGAGGTGAGTTGATTTTTTTTTTGGTATAGCATAGAAAGACTTTTGTGAGGTGGTAACCCAAATCTTAAATCTGATAAGACTAGGCAGGGAAGAGCCCCCTCTGCATACCATGGAAACATGAACATGATCACAGCTGCTGAGAAATGCGGACTGTGTTAGGTGTTGCAGTATAGGAAGCACTGATCCCTATAATTAAGTTAATAAGGCATCAGATTGTCAGTTTGAAACAGGGCCTCCGCCCATTCCTTGTAGTGTCCTTCGAACTGGACTATCTCTCTCTCTAAAACTGTTTGAGTAACTCTCCCCATTGAGTTGTTGTTTTGGGGTAGCCCTTTCTTAAGTTTGAACTTTCATGTCTTTCTATGCACAATTTTAGTCAGTTTAGATAAGTTATATTGTCATTAAAACATTGAGCAGGTAGTTAGTATGTAAACGATTTCCCAAATGTACAGTTTAACAGTTCCAGGGTTTCTCATAACTAATAATTAAGAGTAATTTACGTTATTCAACCTGTCTGCACTGGTTTCACTTGAATTGTTTTATATCTTGTTCAAACTGTGCTTTTATAGTCACCTTTATTTACATGTTTTCTTTTGTCCTATATATTTTATTAATGTTTAATTAAGTAATTGTTTTCTTACATTCATTTCTCTTTTAATATTTGATACTATCTTATTTAGTTAGTCATTTCAAAATGTTACTCGACATGATTTGATTTTTTTGTTTAAATACCTAAAGCTATATCAGATATTCCTTTATTTATCCCACAATGGGTAAATTCCAATGTTGCAGCAGCAACGTGGATAGAGAAAAAACAGTATAAAAAACAGTAAGAGTAGGAAAATAATAAATAAAATAAAATAAAAATACTATGTACAAGAGAAAAAACAGTAAGAATCCACAAACAGTAAGAATCCACAAACAACAGATAACACAAATAGTAGCAGCAGTTGCACATGGGCAATAGTTTGCACAGTGAATATGGAATGGTATTGCACAGTAATTATTGCACATATATACACACATATATATTAATATATATATATTAAAAGGTATATATTTAAGCCCATCTGGTGCAGAAATTCAGGAAAAAAGTAATTATTTTCTACATTTTGGATCCCTTCAGGAAAGACAATTCCCCATTAGTATCTAATGTTTAAGAAGAAGAACATGTTTAATATATAAAAAAAAATTCTCCACATGCATGGAAAAACCATTCAGTTTCTTTCCTGGGAGGAGGAAAGTTTTTTTCCGCAAGGGACCTCGAGGTTACCTGCGTCAGGATCCGACTGATGCAGCTCAGCTCCTCAAGGACAACCCTTCTCTGCAGGACAAGTCTGCACCTCTTAAGGAGGACACAGTGAGACAGAATGCCCCGACTGTGGTGCATCAGAGACGAGGGGATGCCTCAGACAACACAGAGATGCTGGGGGATTACATCTTACAGTTTGGCAAGTACAAGAGCAAATCCTTCAGGTGGCTGTTACAGAATGACGTAGGCTATACAGTCTACCTTATTAAGCACACCCAGAAGCAAGAGGCTGCCGGAGTGCACACGACTGAGGGGCACAGCAAGGCCAGCATGGCATCTTTTGTGGGTTATGCCCGCGGCTTTAGTGAAATAAAATCTCTCCTGGCTTACGAACTGGGAAAACCCAAAGCTCGAGCAGCCTCAGAGGATGACCTGCTGGTTGGCTTTGGCTCTCAACAATGAATAATGTATGCCTAATGTAGAAATACATTTTTAACAGCACTCTAATTCTTTATGTTTGTGTCACAGTGATGGATGATGATGAAGAGCTGGAGAGAGCGATGCAGAGCATATCACCCACCAAGGAACTGGCACAGTGTTGTAAGTACATTCTTCTACTGACTGAACATTCAGAATCAATTTAGTAATTTAGTAAATTTCTTAAACATGACTTTTGCTGTACTGTTTAATCTCTTTGTGTGTTTGCAGCTGCTGCAAAGTCATTTGCCGTACCAGGACGGTACCTCGGGAGTGAAAACAGGTTTTGTAGAAGCAGTTTTGTAGAAGTTCACACATGCTAGATTGAGCCACAATGAATTGCTCTCCAAAATGGAAACATGAATTAAACCGTTCTCTTCTGTGTGTTCTGGCCATGTTCCAGCCATGTTCCACTAATGTGTTTGCATGACGTTCCTACTAACTTTTTAGTTCCTCCGCGATGAGGGTAAGTACCCATTTTTTTCTTCATGCATGTGAAAAACATATTGATTCGCCTGCTTGGACTAATAAAGGTTAAAGAATAGTATTATGATTGAGCATCAATCCATGTAAAAGTATCTGAACGTGTGTACGAAAGAAGTGTACTACAGTAACATTAACAGAATGAATAACCAACTTTATAAGACTTAGCAGGTGAAGTAAGATTTTAGTGGTTTGAAGTGTATTTATGAAAACTGGTATACATTCATATATAATGATAAATATGTTTCTAACTGACATAATCATGTCTGTTTTAGTACCATCAGCATCAGTGTCCAGACCACCAGCTGACACCCAAAGGAAACCACATGAGCCACTAGTGGAAGGTAAATGCAGTGCAGTACATTGATGTTAATGCATTATTAATTAATTCATGCCATGTGGAAATATAAGTAATACTTCATACATTTACTGATGAATGCTCACCCCAGACATCTATCACACCAAACTCACCCAGCTCACTGTGCCAGCCTCCACCTATCAGTGGATTACAAGCTTCCTGACTGACAGGAAGCAGCAGGCGAGGCTGGGGAACATCACATCCAGCACTTGGACAATTAAGACCTTTTGCCGGGAATCTGAGAATGTTACCAGTGAACTGCCAATGCAAAATTCCTGCTTGAATTAGTCCTTAACACTGTGGTTTTAACAGGTTTATGAGCTGCAGAAGAATGAGAACCGTGTTATATGTTGGATTTTAGGATGCACTGATCCCTATAATAGGGTACATTTTAATTATATTGTGGCAGTGTATCCATGACAGACAGTGTTTGCTGTGGTTTATAAAGAATAATGCATTGGCCGGGAATCGAACCCGGGCCTCCCGCGTGGCAGGCGAGAATTCTACCACTGAACCACCAATGCCTGTGAACCTGTGTCAGTATGCCCTCAAACAGAGACTTGCAGGCTACAGACGAGTGCCCTAAGTATATCTTTCAATTATGTGGCCCATAAACCACCCAGGACCATAAACCTCTTGCATTTTTGATATACAAAGTTCCATGTCCTTATCCCTAAACCCTAACTTAACTTAAAACACCCCAACAACAGTCCAGACAGTAAGCCTAGGGCACAGTAGATGTCAGGTTGGTGCAGCTGCTGTAGAGGAAAATCTACACACACAACCCCAATGTGTCGTTTCTGTCACACAGAGCTGAAACAGGGTCCAAACAGCAGACACATCCACACAGGATTTCCGGGAGTGGCAGGAATATACATTTACTGTCCAGCTAAGGTCCTTGCATCATAAAGACAAAGGAAATGACGTGGAAAGAATTTCAGGCTTCACTGTTCTATGTAATGGAGAAAAAGAGCGTGGATGGCAGAAAAAAAAATAGCTGAGGTCATACATTTGCCATCTGTTGTTCTGTTATGTTCTTCACATTTTGTCCCAAAGGTCCAGTGTTTATTTATTTCATTCATTTATTTATTATTATATTTATTTTTATTGTTTGTTCATTTTATTGTGTTCTTGTTACCTTAGAATAAGCCGTTTTTATCTAGGGAGCCCGGGTGTCTGCGTGAGAGCAGCTCAACATGTGATAAAAACATCCAAAGCCAATTGCAGAACTCCTGTTTTTAGTTTTTCTTCCTACTGATCTGTCTGGCTGATCTGTCCAGCATACCCTGTGTCACATCCAGCAATGTTTTTGACATGTCGACGCCATGCTGGCGCTGTCCCGAGTCCGGGTTTTCCTCTCTGCACACAATATCTGCTAGTCGAGCTTGCATTGTGCCTCCTGCACGTTGGCCTGCGGTGGAACGTAAACACAAACCAGCACAAAGGGCGCAAACTCACAGAGGGAGTATAGGGATGGGGCCGATCCGATCCAGTATCAGTATTGGGACCGATACCAACGTAATTCACGTATCTGTCAGTCAATACCCTCATCCAGGGCCATTTGTTGGTTGTGTTAGGTGCTAATTAGCTTTCTTTGGAAAGACAGTGGCCTTTCAACATATTAAGAGCATTTGGAACCACCCAGTTTCAGTCACAGCCATGTACATGTCCGAAAAGCACCAAGAACCAGTGAACGCTCTTCTGTTTGTAGTTGGTAGGTGCTAATGATCTTTCTTTGGACATTTGTCGCTGAAGAAAACACACAGAATGATAGATGGATCAACCTTCTGTGGAACTTGACTAGCTTTTGTAACACATCATTTAGGAATCCCTTACAGATAAAACAGTGGTTCCTCGAAAGTCAAAGCTCAAACTATGCTGTCACGACCTGGAGACACTCAACAAGGAGGCACTAAGTAAACCATGCAGCTGTGATCTTATAGAGGTTAGTACTCTGCGTTGTGGCCACAGCAACCCCGGTTCGAATCCGGGTCACGGCAGAAATTGGAACCCGGTCAACATTTGTGTCGTTGCCTCTGCTTCCGTTTACATATCAATCTGAACGTCCTGTCCGTCCTCACAAGGGCAGCCAGCTCATCCGTCTTGTTGGTCCGACAGTTCACATTCCCCATCACTATCGACGGAACCGAGGGCTTGTACTTCCACCGCTTAGCCCCTAGCCTACCCTTCACCTTCGCTCCGGCTCTGCAGCCTCGTCGCCTCCTCCTCAGCTCCTCAGGTATGTGGTAGAAAATCAGTATAACAATCAGACACCTGTAGTCCTTTGAAATACTGGTATCCACCTGAAGGACATTACAGGCCCCTTGCTGGATGCCCTGCAGTTAGCCTACCGGGTCAGTGGATGATGCAGTCAACATGGGAAATTCCTGCTTGAATTAGACCTTAACACTGGGATTTTTAACAGGTTTACGGTGTTACATGTTGGAGTTTAGGATGCACTGATCCCTGTAATAGGGTACATTTTAATTACATTGTGGCAGTGTATCCATGACAGACAGTGTTTGCTTTGGTTTATAAAGAATAATGCATTGGCCGGGAATCGAACCCGGGCCTCCCGCGTGGCAGGCGAGAATTCTACCACTGAACCACCAATGCCTGTGAACCTGGGTCAGTATGCCCTCAAACGGAGACTTGCAGGCTACAGACGAGTGCCCTAAGTATATCTTTCAATTATGTGGCCCATAAACCACCCAGGACCATAAACCTCTTGCATTTTGATATACAAAGTTCCATGTCCTTATCCCTAAACCCTAACTTAACTTAAAACACCCCAACAACAGTCCAGACAGTCAGCCTGGGGCACAGCAGATGTCAGGTTGGTGCAGCTGCTGTAGAGGAAAATCTACACACACAACCCAGAGTTTTGTGAGAAAATTCAGCTGGAGCATATCTCACATTTAACTTGGGGCCATTTGGACAGTTCTGGATCACAACTATGTCACTGTTTCTGCCAGGAATCTGAGACTTCTACCAGTGAACTGCCAATGCAAAATTCCTGCTTGAAGTAATCCTTAACAACACCATCACCCCGGACATCTATCACACCAAACTCACCCAGCTCACTGTGCCAGCCTCCACCTAGGGGTGGGCGATATGGGCAAAAAATAATATCTCAATATTTTTTGGGATTTTGGCGATAACGATAATCAGTCGATATCCTTTAAAATGTGATTAGAATTGTCTGAGCTGGACTTGTGTCCACCAAACGCGTTTACAGCGCTGAGAGCGCTCAAAAACTCATTTTCCGAGCGCCCAGCTGTGTTAAAAGTTGAACAGATTTCAACTTGAAGCGCTCTGAGCGCTGCGCTAAAAAAAACGTCTCCGCTGACATCTTTTTACCACTGAAGGCGCTTAGCGCTCTGAACGCTGAAGCCCATAGGACCCACGTCTCGGCACTAAATCATCTGAAGTACCGGTAGCTTCAGGGACTGGAGGTGCTTGCATTTTCTCTCTATCATCACAACGCGCTGCTAAACTGTTGCAAGGAGGATGCTAGCGAGAGGTCACGTGATCACGTCATGTGATCACGTAGGCCCACTAGTTGTGTGACTGAATCCTGCCATGCTGTAGAGAGCGCTGCTGCACCGTGTATTAATGGATGTGAGGAGTTTCCGCGGGCGTTTCATTGTTTTTGGCGAAGTAATTTAAATACTCGATAATGGAAATTTGCACATCGTCAAAACAACAATGACGATATTATCGCAAACGATATATATCGCCCACCTCTACCTCCACCTATCAGTGGATTACAAGCTTCCTGACTGACGGGAAGCAGCAGGCGAGGCTGGGGAACATCACATCCAGCACCTGGACAATTAGACCTTTTGCCGGGAATCTGAGAATGTTACTTGACTTGAATTAGTCCTTAACACTGTGGTTTTAACAGGTTTATGAGCTGCAGAAGAATGAGAACTGTGTTACATGTTGGATTTTAGGATGCACTGATCCCTATAATTGAGTAATTTTTCATTATATTGTGGCAGTGTATCCATAACAGACAGTGTTTGCTTTGGTTTATAAAGAATAATGCATTGGCCGGGAATCGAACCCGGGCCTCCCGCGTGGCAGGCGAGAATTCTACCACTGAACCACCAATGCCCGTGAAACCCTGTTACTATGCCCTCAAACAGAGACTTGCAGGCTACAGACGAGTGCCCTAAGTATATCTTTCAACTGTGTGGCCCATAAACCACCCAGGACCATAAACCTCTTGCACTTTTGATATACAAAGTTCCATGTCCTTATCCCTAAACCCTAACTACTAACTTATGCGTGAAAGCTGCTTGCTGCCTGTTACGCTGCTCCAGCCTTTGAGTCCGCTTTTTATAAATTTCTTGACTTTTATTCTCTTTTTGTCCGTTCTTATTTTCCCACTATAACTCTGTGAAGTCCTGCTCTCTCTAGTGTGGTTGTTTTAGAGAGTTTTCGTGGGGTTTTTTTATGTTGTTTTTATCAATGCCGCTTCCGCTGGGACACGCTGCCTTTGTTTACTCCTGCAATTTAACAGCTGATCACACTAGTGCCGGCCGGCATAGTGGCCAGACCAGCTGATTTACCTCCTGAACTCTGGAGAAAAACACACCGGGGATGCAGAGGAGGGAAGCAACACACAGTCACTCAAGTCACTGAAATCCATGAAATGGGAAATTTTTGCTGAATCCAGTTTAAAATGTCTCATCCCATCTCTCCAGGGCAAAAACTAACAAGTCGTCCAGAATTTTAAAAGCTTGCATTTGAAAAAGACCCGGTGCATGAGCCCGGGCGTCTGCGTGAGAGCAGCTCAACATGTGATAAACATCCAAAGCCAACTACAGAACTCTTGTTTTACTACGAGCCTTTGGAACCACTCACTTTCAGTCAATAGTAGTAGTTCACAGTAGTACAACCTCTGATTAAAAAACGGCTCTAGATCCTGCAATTCTTGCTAATTTCAGGCCTATCTCCAAACTGCCTTTCCTTTCAAAAATCCTGGAGAAGATTGTGCACAATCAATTAATGGCCTTTCTGGAAGAACATAATATTCTAGAGGTTTTCCAATCCGGTTTTAAAACCGTGCACAGCACAGAATCAGCTCTCTTAAGAGTTTTTAATGATATCTTTTTAGCTACTGACTCTGGTGACTGTAATATCCTTGTGCTTTTAGATTTAACTGCTGCATTTGACACAGTGGATCATGAAATACTGATCTCACGTTTGAAGCAGTGGGTGGGCATCAGGGGCATAGCACTGGAGTGGTTCAGGTCGTACTTGGCTGATCGAACTTTCTATGTCAGCCTAGGTGACTCTGTATCCTCCTCTGCTCCTCTCTTGTGTGGGGTCCCACAGGGCTCAGTTCTTGGCCCTCTTCTTTTCTCTCTCTATTTGCTCCCACTTGGTTCCATACTTAGGAAGCACGGCTTTTCATTCCACTGTTATGCAGACGACAGTCAGATTTATGTGCCTCTTAAAAAGAAAAATGAATACTCTGTCAGACTGCTACTTAAGTGCCTTGACGACATAAAGGCCTGGATGACTCTGAACTTTTTAAATTTCAATGATAAAAAGACAGAAGTGATGGCTTTTGGTGGCACCACAGGGATCCCCCCTGTAGATCTGGGTTCCTTGGCCCAGTATATTAAACCTAGCATCACAAACCTAGGGGTTAAAGGTGGACCCTGAGCTTAAGTTTGACAGTCAGATCAAGGCTGTTGTCAAATCAAGCTTTTTCCATTTGAGGCAGCTGGCCAAAATAAAGCCAATTCTATCAAGGCAGCACTTTGAGACGGTAATCCACGCCTCTGTTACCACTCGACTGGATTACTGTAATGCACTGTATGTGGGGGTTAGTGGGTCCTCCATCGCCCGTCTTCAGATGGTACAGAATGCTGCTGCACGTCTTTTAACTGGCACATGTAAACATGAGCACATTTCCCCCATTTTAGCCTCACTCCACTGGCTGCCTATTCAATTTAGGATCCATTTTAAAATTATTTTATTTGCTTTTAAATCCCTAAATGGTCTTGCCCTGCCCTACCTCTCTGAGCTTCTACACCCCTATATACCCGTCCGCCCCCTCAGGTCAGATGATCAGCTGCTCCTGAGTGTGCCTAAAACTAAGCGGGAGCTCAGAGGGGACCGTGCCTTTGCTGTGTCTGCTCCTAAATTATGGAATGATCTGCCTCTGCACGTTAAACAGGCCTCTTCTCTGTCTGTTTTAAAAACCAGTCTTAAAACCCATCTCTTCTCTGTGGCCTTTGACACCTAGTAAGATGTCGACTTTATTTACTTGATTTATTTTTTGTATTTGTTATTTTTATTTTTTGATTGCTTGTTATTGTATGGTTATTATTTTTATTTATGTCTTTTCATTTTATTTTTGTATTATATGTTATTTTGCGCCTCATGTGAGCTGTTATGTCTTTTATTTATTTATCTTATTTATTCTCCTGTACAGCACTTTGGTCAACTTTGGTTGTTTTAAAGTGCTTAACAAATAAAGTTGGATTGGATTGGATTGGATCCAGGGCCATTTGTTGGTTGTGTTAGGTGCTAATTAGCTTTCTTTGGAAAGACAGTGGCCTTTCAACATATTAAGAGCATTTGGAACCACCCAGTTTCAGTCACAGCCATGTACATGTCCGAAAAGCACCTACAACCAGTGAACGCTCTTCTGTTTGTAGTTGGTAGGTGCTAATGATCTTTCTTTGGAAATTTGTCGCTGAAGAAAACACACAGAATGATGGATGGATCAACCTTCTGTGGAACTTGACTAGCTTTTGTAACACATCATTTAGGAATCCCTTACAGATAAAACAGTGGTTCCTCGAAAGTCAAAGCTCAAACTATGCTGTCACGACCTGGAGACACTCAACAAGGAGGCACTAAGTAAACCAGGCAGCTGTGATCTTATAGAGGTTAGTACTCTGCGTTGTGGCCGCAGCAACCCCGGTTCGAATCCGGGTCACGGCAGAAATTGGAACCCGGTCAACATTTGTGTCGTTGCCTCTGCTTCCGTTTACATATCAATCTGAACGTCCTGTCCGTCCTCACAAGGGCAGCCAGCTCATCCGTCTTGTTGGTCAGACAGTTCACATTCCCCATCACTATCGACGGAACCGAGGGCTTGTACTTCCACCGCTTAGCCCCTAGCCTACCCTTCACCTTCGCTCCGGCTCTGCAGCCTCGTCGCCTCCTCCTCAGCTCCTCAGGTATGTGGTAGAAAATCAGTATAACAATCAGACACCTGTAGTCCTTTGAAATACTGGTATACCTGAAGGACATTACAGGCCCCTTGCTGGATGCCCTGCAGTTAGCCTACCGGGTCAGTGGATGATGCAGTCAACATGGGAAATTCCTGCTTGAATTAGTCCTTAACACTGGGGTTTTAACAGGTTTACGGTGTTACATGTTGGAGTTTAGGATGCACTGATCCCTGTAATAGGGTACATTTTAATTATATTGTGGCAGTGTATCCATGACAGACAGTGTTTGCTGTGGTTTATAAAGAATAATGCATTGGCCGGGAATCGAACCCGGGCCTCCCGCGTGGCAGGCGAGAATTCTACCACTGAACCACCAATGCCTGGGAACCTGTGTCAGTATGCCCTCAAACGGAGACTTGCAGGCTACAGACGAGTGCCCTAAGTATATCTTTCAATCATGTGGCCCATAAACCACCCAGGACCATAAACCTCTTGCATTTTTGATATACAAAGTTCCATGTCCTTATCCCTAAACCCTAACTTAACTTAAAACACCCCAACAACAGTCCAGACAGTCAGCCTGGGGCACAGCAGATGTCAGGTTGGTGCAGCTGCTGTAGAGGAAAAACTACACACACAACCCAGAGTTTTGTGAGAAAATTCAGCTGGAGCATATCTCACATTTAACTTGGGGCCATTTGGACAGTTCTGGATCACAACTATGTCACTGTTTCTGCCAGGAATCTGAGACTTCTACCAGTGAACTGCCAATGCAAAATTCCTGCTTGAAGTAATCCTTAACAACACCATCACCCCGGACATCTGTCACACCAAACTCACCCAGCTCACTGTGCCAGCCTCCACCTATCAGTGGATTACAAGCTTCCTGACTGACAGGAAGCAGCAGGCGAGGCTGGGGAACATCACATCCAGCACCTGGACAATTAGACCTTTTGCCGGGAATCTGAGAATGTTACTTGACTTGAATTAGTCCTTAACACTGTGGTTTTAACAGGTTTATGAGCTGCAGAAGAATGAGAGCTGTGTTACATGTTGGATTTTAGGATGCACTGATCCCTATAATTGAGTAATTTTTCATTATATTGTGGCAGTGTATCCATGACAGACAGTGTTTGCTTTGGTTTATAAAGAATAATGCATTGGCCGGGAATCGAACCCGGGCCTCCCGCGTGGCAGGCGAGAATTCTACCACTGAACCACCAATGCCCGTGAACCCCTGTTACTATGCCCTCAAACAGAGACTTGCAGGCTACAGACGAGTGCCCTAAGTATATCTTTCAACTGTGTGGCCCATAAACCACCCAGGACCATAAACCTCTTGCACTTTTGATATACAAAGTTCCATGTCCTTATCCCTAAACCCTAACTACTAACTTATGCGTGAAAGCTGCTTGCTGCCTGTTACGTTGCTCCAGCCTTTGAGTCCGCTTTTTTAAATTTCTTGACTTTTATTCTCTTTTTGTCCGTTCTTATTTTCTCACTATAACTCTGTGAAGTCCTGCTCTCTCTAATGTGGTTGTTTTAGAGAGTTTTCGTGTTTTTTTTTATGTTGTTTTTATCAATGCCGCTTCCACTGGGACACGCTGCCTTTGTTTACTCCGGAGAACAGCTGATCACACTAGTGCCGGCCGGCATAGTGGCCAGACCAGCTGATTTACCACCTGAACTCTGGAGAAAAACACATCGGGGATGCAGAGGAGGGAAGCAACGTCGGGGGAAGAGAGCATTGTAATAACTAACAGGTCAGTAGCACAACGTCAGTGGGCTTGACTCTTATCTCGAGCAACATCAGTCCTCACATCATGAACAGAAATATAAAACATTGAAAACAAAATAAACATTCCATCAACTCTGCACTCTTTAATTGCTAGTTTTACAATAAAATGTGGATCAGTTGCAAACGCGCTCACACCGATAACTACCACTTATAAAACTGCAGCAAGCAAAACATGTCTGTTGATTATCTGTCATAAAACTATACTAATAACATATACAATAGCACCACGAATACTAATAACTACAACTTATAATGGTAATATTAATAGTAATTGTCAGATATTACAGATGTTAAGGAGTCAGTCGCCTGCAAGTCAAAGACTGAGGGCACAAAGACCCATAGTATTCTAAAATTAGTTCAGTGGAATTATCGCCTACACATGTCAGCGGGATTCAGAAGTTCAATTCCCAATTAATGCAATGTTTTATCTCAGACAAGAACAACAAAAGCTTAACAAACACAAATGTACTGTACGCTGAAAAGACTGAAGTTACCCTCAGTCTAACTTACAATTATTTGACTGCTAACAGCAACCCTAACAGCTTCGGACAGGCCTGCCCCCACTGCTAAAACAAATCCTAGAGGAAACACTGATTCATGATGAAATTTTGATTAATTGAGCAGCCTTAATAACAAGATACTGGCGTTGGCGTAGTATGTTTACCATCGTCACTTCCGGTTTTCTCGTGCACTCACTGATTCGCTAGTCAAGGGCTAGCACTCCACCAATCAGATTGGTCATTGAGGCCGACGGCCACTGGCAGATTCTACATGTCCAATTGACCAAAATGAACGCCGACTGACAACGGCACGGGACACACCGAACTGACTCGAGTCACCAACCTCGCCCGACTGTCCAACAACGTCCGACGGCCGATAATTGGGTTGGTGTGTCCGGGCCTTAATGGTGCTATCCATTTGTCTCGTGAACTCAGAGCCCGAGTTGGAAAGTGTAAATCTTGCAGCTATCTCGCGACATTTCACCGAGACACACCCCGTTTTGGTCGGACTTTCAGCCGTCCAGCTCGGGCTACCTCACAGTACACCGAGCTAAACGAGGACGAACGTACGACCCGCAAAACAAAGATGGCAGCGCCCATATTGAGATGTATTTTCTTTGCATTTGTACTACATTGGTCGTTTTAATGTCGATTTTAAATGCTCTTACACACTTGTTTACATTGCTGCTTTAGTCCGGTCACCAATTTATGCATTGCACGGTGTTGTTGTGCGTGCAATACAATGTAAAGTTTTGTTTTCTAGCTGGTTTGCTAAATAGGCTAATGTAGCTAACAATAACAATAATAAGCCTGCCACTGCCCCTGGTGGCTCGAGAGAAACACCACAGCACTTGTTGAAACTGAAATAGGCGAAAATGGCAAAATAATATTGAAATATAAGACTTGCAATAACGGAATTACTTGAAATGTTAGTGTTACTGTAGAAAAACATTATCATTTCACATTGAGCTTGTTAAGAAGAGCCACAAGCAATAACAAGACAGCTGCTGCACTTCTTTCCGACTCGTAATGCCCAAAGACAACTGGAACGCTATAAGTGGTACAAACCAGGCAATTACGTCACGTTCTCGCCGCAGAGCAACTCGGGCTCCGAGTTCACGAGACAAATGGAACGCACCATAATGGTGCGTTCGTTTTGTGCGAGTCGGTTTCCTGAGTTACGAAGCGGAAGTTGCAAACAGAACGCCCCCGAGGACGTATAGAACGACTCGTTAAGTCGTCTGAACTCCGAGTTCAGTTACCAAGATGGCTACTCCGAACATCACACATTGTGGTTTTCTACTATTTTAAGCACTTTTGTCTTTGTGGTAACCAAATGAAGAAGTCGTACACACAGCACTGTATACTGTTACCTACAGGCATGTCGCTACAGTCTTGTTACGTGTTAAATGTAAGTGTTAGTATGTAATGAACATGTGAAATCCACAGTGGGAGCACCGTAAACCAGATAATCACTATAAACGATACGAAACGTTCAAACTGCCTATTGCAACCAAGCTTGTTGTGCTGTGTGACATCGCTCTCGAGCTGCAAGTCGCGATTACAAGACAGAATGAACACCCAGTAAGTGTACACTCAGCCACAGGTGCGCCGTACACCTGCGCATGCGTAAAAGATTGCCGCGAATTGCCAGGCAGTGTGCGTCAGGAGAAGTTTGCTAGCTACTACAAAATATGTTTTAGCTAACCTTTCATTTTCAGCGGGTTACAGTTATCATGTTCGGTTTAATTAAGCATTTATAATCTAGTCGGGAGTCTGTAAGGTAATAAAAGTTCAATAAGCTAAGTTAGTAGCCTATGTAATGTTAATCTATACCCACCATGATGTTACGTTGAGGGCTTTCTTAGCTATTAATGGGTTGTACATATGTTAATGTGCTACTAACGCTACAGCATGTAGAAACAACAGTAACACGCTCAGACTGTCTCTGCGCCAAAACACACCAAACCTTCGACCTGGCGCTGTTGCATTTCATACAACGTCCGCTCAACTCGTGACCTTTTACAATGCAAACGTGGAAATAAAACGATAGAAAGAAACAATAATTACAAAGCACTTACTCTTGCGGTGTTTTCTAACTTTACGGTGCGACACTGGAGGAGGCGGTGCCGGTGAGACAGCAGCCAGCGGCTCGGTGTCAAGCCAAGCAACATTGTAGCTTGCAAATAGCTGCTGGTAGATATCAGACAAAACCTTATGCACGACAAATACAAGACATCCGGTAAACTCCTTTCAGAATAAAATTAAAGTACTCTATAGAGATATATATATCTATATATGTATATATATATATATATATATATATATATATATATATATAGATATATATTTTTTATTGTATCTATTTTTTATTGTATCCAGGATCATAAAGTTCTACCTCGTACAGCATCACTTCTCCTTATCACCTGTTAAAACACTAACTTAACTTAAAACTTGCCACAAAATCTAGTCTCCAACAAAGACATGTTATTTATTTCTTGCTGTTACTTTGTATACTGATATGTTGTGATATTCACAGAAATTACTTTGCACTGTCTGCAGTTCTGACAAAGACATACAATATATTATGCTCAGATCATTATTATGGGTCAACATTTTGCCTATTTAGTCTGACAAAGGAGTTTTGTTTTTTCAAAAAGCTCATACTTTTACTTTGAAGTCCGCGTCATGTGTTTCCGGTCGTGTCCCAGAGAATGTGGGCGAACTTGACGGCGTTTGCAGAAAGACGAAGTGACGTAATGCCTCTCTCCCATCGGAGGGCGGCGCTGCAGGTCAAAGAAAAAATACGTCAAGGTGGGTTCAAAGTGATACTTACGGAAGTTACAGGTGGAGCTGAAGCTTCTCCTGTCAACCTCTGTGTGACTCTACCGTTCCATTACTTAGTAAGTCCTGAAGTGAGGTAAATGAAGGCTTCAGTATCGGCTGTGAAATCGTTTTATGAGGAATTATACGTCTTTTGAGTACATGTTGTTTTTCTTAGCATTGCTATGTTAGCAGTTCAGAGTGCACACAGCTGTAGCGGCACCTATATCAGTCTTTACTATAACTTTAAGACATTTTTGAACTGAAGCACTACCTTTCAAGTACATTGCGTGACCTGAATAGTTCATGTTTAGCTCGGTTCACCTGCGTTAATTACCGTGAATTGTGTGCCGATCTTACCGTAAGGAACTAACATCTTGCCAAAAGATCTTAACTCATCTTCTATTTGATATTCTGTGTATGCACAGGCAATGCAGCATTAAACTGCTAGAATCTGAATGTAGTCTGGTTGGAGGAAAGTGGAAAATGTGAACTCTCTTGATTGTTTATCTTTGCACCTCAGTCTCTACTGATGTCATTACAGCCATAAAGTCAAGGGCCATATTTGTTGCTTGTTGATGTTTTTAAACCAGTGTAAATGTGTAATTACTGCTTAAACAGCTGGATATGAGAGGCCATGTACCCTGTAGACCTTCCAGCTGTGGATGACACTGGTCTTGCATCAGCATCTGAACAGTACTTCTCGTCCTTGGAGTCAAGACCTCGTAATTATGATGAGTGTTTTCAGTCATCTCAGACGTCAAAGGTACCATAACACTTGTAATGTCTCCACTTTTTATAGCATGGTGGAGGGAATTCTGGATAAATTCTTGACACTTGTTTTTAGTTGGAGGCTGATTTTATGCTCCTGAAATGCTTCATTTTTATTGCCATTTTGTTTGACAGTGGAGAAAGAACAGTTTGTTTTGGAGTGTTTGTTGTTACACTGGTGTCTTCTGGTCAGTATGGAAGCCCATTTCCACCAACATGACAGAAAAAAAGAATTCTGTAAGTCATTATAATGAGGAGCTTTCTCAAAAAAGTTGCATCTCAAAATAATGACATATTTTCTCAAAATAATGAGAAAGTTTCCCATTATATTGAGATACGAAGTCATTATTTTGAGAAAGTTTCTCATTATTTTTTTGATTTCGTCACACTGGTGGAAATGGGCATCCATAGATCAGGGAGTGAAGATGAAGTGCATGAAGTCGTCTTCCTGTCTGCTCAGGTAGCGATAACAGCAAGCAATGTAAGGCGGCTGCAGCTGTTTGAAGATGACCAGGCTGACTGTACACTGCTGGCGCTTCACCCTCCTGATGATCCAATGCAAGGTTAGGACCTACACACTATGCCCTTATCAGACAACCACCTGGAACACAGAGACTAATGCTTCCTGCCTCTGTCTACCCTCCAGTGCTGGCTTTATACCTGCATGAGGAGTGGTGGTGTGTGGATGACATCTTACGAACATCCAGCAAATCCAGAAGTGGCTTGAAGACGGTAACTGCACTTTAGTGTGTCTGTTTATGTCAGTGCCACTACAGCACAGTGATAAACAGAACAGGGTTCCTACAGGTCTAAACAGTGATCCTAAGCCCCGCCCCTTTTGAAACCTCAAGCTCTGAAGAATTGTTATTGGAGCACAGAGCAAATGGGGCAGGGCTTAGGAAGGGTCAATTCTCTGTCTGCTTTTAGTCTATAACATTTTGGAAAATAGGGAGAAGGAAAACCGTACTCTACCCTGTTCACAATGTTTGTAACACTTACAAGTTAACCGTGCTACTCAGAGACTGCACCTTTCACTCAGGTTCACCCATTTCCTTACACAAGCCAGTGTGTGCTCTTAAAACGGGCGAAGGATCCCTGGGATACTCTCTATGACCAATTCATGCTCATATAAGATGGATGCTCAGTGTGAGCAGAGTGCCAGGCTGAAGCATTTCCCCCTCTGACGGTGAAGTCTCTGTTCTTTTGTGTGGCTCGTTGGTCTAGGGGTATGATTCTCGCTTCGGGTGCGAGAGGTCCCGGGTTCAAATCCCGGACGAGCCCTCTGCTAGTTCTGAACTCTTGATGGACTTATATACACTACTGGTCTGATGTGAGTCATTACTGCACACCCTTAAATTGTGTGGTTGTGAAGCGTTCTAGTGTATTGTAGAGTGTCTTTTACCATGACTAAAGGCTTGGTGGGACATGGAGGAAGCTGTGTGGGGAAATCTTTTCAATCATTATTGTCAGATACTATGAAGATGTGAGAAAAGATTAGAGTTGAGACAGGAGGTGGACGTGTCTTTAATGAAGCCAGTCACATATATTTCTGAAGAGGGAAAGAGATGGAAAGGACAGAACAAGCTTAATAAATGTGGGCTTTACTACAGCTAACATGGTCCTGTGCTAATCTGCTCACTTAAGGTAAATAGTAACCTGTCAGGACTATATACTTAATTAGTACTGATGTCAACATTTGACGTTGCGAGGACATTTGTGTCTTTGGAAAGGCATACATTTCTCTAGTGGCTCATGTATTTGCACTTAGTTGCCAAATGTTTAAATGGGTTTTGTACGGAAGCCGAGAGTGGCCCAGGTTGCACACATTTTTTTTCCCTATCTTGTTATCTGAAGATCATAAATGAAATGTCTAATTCATCTTAGGACAACAAGTTGTTTTCTCATTATAATGACTGAAAGTTCCAGTGTGTAATATTTAGGAGGGTCAGAAATAGAATATAATATCCATAGGTATGTTGTCATTAGTGTATAATCACCTGAATAAAGGAATTGGTGTGTTTCTGTTGAATGAGCTGTTTCTATCTACAGAGTCCGGCATGTTGAACTGCCATGTTTCTACAGTCACCCAGAACAGACAAACCAAACACAGTTGCTACTGCAACCATGGCCCCTCCCAGCTTCCGTACTCTTAGCCTTTAGCATTGCCAGTTATAGTATTTTTGGTATAAAGTTAAGGTTTTAAACATCATTATTGGTTTAACAATTGCCAATACACTAGCTAACTAACATGCAATCATATTATCAAATTCACAATAAGTAAATCAAGCTCTTGAAAGCACAGTTAAAGCACAAAAAAGCCATGTGTGGTCACTTGTGCTGTTTGTTTTCATCTGTAATGGCGAGTGTCCTAAGCCAGCGCGTCTTCCCCAGGTGCAGACGATTACCGAGAGGGTGATTGTGTTCCTGCTCAGTCAGGTAGTGGAGAGGTCCTCGCAGGAGGAGGTGTCGTTCTCTCTGCACCCTCGCACAGAGAGCTGCAAACTGCTGTGGAGAGACAGCCAGGCAGTCGGGTTCTACACCGTCAAACACAAAGGTAGGATGGAGGACGAGGGGGGCGGGTGCTCCTTTCTGTGGCTCCCTAACGGATCAGGTACATTTTGCCTGCTGCAGTTTTAATATCAGTAGTTTTTCCTCTCTTTGTTCCCAGCTGATTTACCGTGTGCTTACTGCAAACCACATGACTTTAATGTGAAGTCAACAGTAGTATTTGTAGCAGCAAAAGGTCACAACCGCACAGTAAAACAATGACCATAAACATGTCTCCAGATGATTTGCATCTGTGTATAACAGTATGACTGAGAATTATCGGATGTAGTAAATGGGGAGAAAAGATGGTTAATCCAAAATGGAAACCAGACGACTGTGATCAAAGTAAAATATGTCAGTGTGCTGAGCGAATTTTATGTCATGACACCACGCCTGTTTCACAGTAGCCCAACACAGAGAAACTACGGTGGCTGCAAAACGCGCAATTGCCCCTACCAAGAGCCAGTGTTTAGTCCCTTCTTAGCTACTGTTGAAACATGGCGGTTAGTGGACAGCCCACTCTACCTACTGAACCACGGCCGCCCCACGGTTAAACTTAACAGGTTTAATATTTAACTCTAGATTGTAGCTGTTTCATGTCTCATGTTGCTGTTAACAGTTCTTGAGTGGCTATTAATAATAACAGAGTTTAATTATGTAACTGAACATGGTCTGCAAACTCCAGGCAGCCTGTGTATATTCTCTGAAGGCTGTTGTAAAACTGACTGACTGCAGCTTTCTGTCCAAACCTCCTGCTGCAGCCAGGTTGGTCTGTTTGTAGGGTTTTTTTCCAATTCAATTATGGTGTTTGTGGACAACCCACTCCAGGACTCCGGGGACTAAACAGGGGGCTGTCTGACTGACAGCAGCTTTCTGTCCACGCCTACTGCTGCTGGATTTTGTCCATTGAGGTGATGTGGAGGTGTTCAGTTTGACTGTGGAGACGTGGTGTTGGTGGACAACCCACTCCAGTTGCTGAACAACGGTTGTGTCAGGCTGGAGCTAAGTGCTGTCCTCAAGGACACTTCAACATGTATATCAGGGGAGCCAGGGAGTCATACTGCCAACCCTGTGGTTAATGGATAACCTGCTTTACCTGCTGAACCTGTAAGGCTGAAACTAAAGAGGGGGCACTCGGATTTGAACCGGGGACCTCTTGATCTGCAGTCAAATGCTCTACCACTGAGCTATACCCCCTGACACACACTCACTGACATCACTGTGCAATCGATACTTCTGACAGGTTCAATAGAAACTGTGTGGTTAGTTCAGTGGGTAGAGCTGGTGACCCATGTACAGAGGCTGCGTCCTTGCTGCAGTGGCCCGCCCAGGGTTTGAATCCAACCTATGGCCCTCTGCTGCATGTCATCCCCCCTCTCTCTGCCCCCCTCTCCTGTTTGTCTTCAGCTATCCTATCCTATCAAATAAAAGCAAAAAATAAATTAAAAAAAATAAAATATAAACTGCACTAATGTGGACATTTGCCCTCCTCTAACTGACCTAAGGCATGATGGGAAACGCCTGGTTGTTGCCAGATCAGAGAGCAGATTTGCTCTTTGATTGGATTGACGACAAACACCATGTTTTTCAAATTCTGTGTGATTTTAATATTTAACTCTAGATTGTAGCTGTTTGATGTCTCATGTTAACAAACAGATCTTGAGTGGCTGATAATAATAACAAAGTTTATTATATAACAGGCAGCCTAAAGATGATCTAACAGGTTGAAAACATTTCTCTGACTTCCTGTATATTGTCTGACTGACTGCAGCTTTCTGTCCACGCCTGCTGCTGCTGGATTTTATCCATCAGCAGATGAAGTAGAGGTGTGCAGTTTGACCGTGGAGACATGGTGCTGGTGGACAATACACTCCAGCTACTGAACCACGGTTGTGTCAGACTGGAACTAAACAGGGGGCACCCGGATTTGAACCGGGGACCTCTTGATCTGCAGTCAAATGCTCTACCACTGAGCTATACCCCCTGACAACTACTCTATTTTCTTTTATGAATCAATTTTTATAAAAATGACCTTTGATGACGTACATCCTGAACACCAATCTGAAGAGAGACTTCAACAGAAACTGCATTAATGTAAACAGATACTGTCCACACTACGCTCTAATGCAGCGGTCTGAAACTCATTGGTTAGAGGCCACTGCAGCTACAGTACTGTAAGAAAGCTAAATATATATATAGAATTGCTATGAAAATGCTCTACCACTGAGCTATACCCCCTGACACGTTGTAATGACATCACTATGGAATGAATACTTTTGACAGGTTCAATAGAAACTGCATTAATATGGACAGTTGCCCTCCTCCAACTGACCTAAGGCATGATGGGAAACGCCTGGCTGTCGCCTGATCAAAGAGCTAATTAACAAACACCATGTTTTCCTAATTGTCTGTGTGATTTTAATATTTAACTCTAGATTGTAGCTGTCTCATGTCTCATGTTAACAAACAGATCTTGATTGGCTGATTATAATAACAAAGTTTAATTATATAACTGAACATGGTCTGGCCAAAGATGATCTCAGAGGATGCAAACATTTCTGTGACTTCCTGTATATTCTCTGAAGGCTGTTGTAGAGCTGTCTGACCGACAGCAGCTTTCTGTCCAAACCTGCTGCTGCTGGATTCTGTCCATTGAGGTGAGGTGGAGGTGTTCAGTTTGACTGTGGAGACACGGTGTTGGTGGACAACCCACTCCAGTTTCTGAACAATAGTTGTGTCAGGCTGGAACTAAACAGGGGGCACCCGGATTTGAACCGGGGACCTCTCGATCTGCAGTCAAATGCTCTACCACTGAGCTATACCCCCTGACAACTACCTTGTTTTTTTTGTGAGAAAAATGTGTATTGGTTTGCCTTTGTCAATATCCATATTCATACTGGAATACATACCACATATCAAAATAAATAAATAATAATAAATCCTTCTCGACTCCCTCCCTTCCTCCCCATCTATCCATTGGACCCCCATCCACCCCTCCCCGGTGATCTGAACTCTTTTTTTTTTACACCGTCAGCACTTTAATTGGAACTCTTCTGCTGCTTGTGCTTCAGGCAGCCTGTGTGACAGCTGGAGCAGCCACGGCTACCTGCTGCCCGTTCTGGACACGGTGCTGGTGAGGAAGAGCTCGAGGAGGAGAGGCTTCGGCCTTCAGATGCTGGAGGATTTCTGCTCCTCGTTCTCTGCAGAGACGTTCTTGGGAGTCAGCTCTCCATTATCAGCCAGCATGGTGGCAGGTCAGCTAAGGTTCTCCTTTATCCTCCCTTATCCCCCCACACAGCCTATCTATTTGTTTATATACCTTCTCATCCTCCCAGGATTTTTCCAGATGAATTGCCATATTTGGCAGAAGAATGCACATTTTCTGTCACTGGCTGTCAGTGTTACACATTCATGCCATATGGGAATAACTAAACCAAATTATTAGGAAATGTTCGTACCCGCACGCACTCAGTAATGATGTATTTATGTTTCCCGGCAGATCAAACACCTGAAAGTCACGACACATCAAAAATCAAGTAATTTTGTCACGCGGTTGCATTTGAATATTAATTCCCAAACTTTCCCACAATCCCTACAGAGATCCCAGGCACGGGCTATCCGAAAGCTAAAGTTAGCTTTTTAAGAAGCAGCACAGATGATTGCTCAACCTCTTCTTTCTTTTTTTAAATGAGCTCACTCCATAGCAACCCGTTACCAGGCTGTGTGTTTACATCTCCTGTGTGTTCAGTGTGCAGGAGGTTCCTGCAGCAGCACGAGGAACATCGGGAACGTCTGTATGAGGTGGAGGCCCCAGGGGGCTGGACTCAACGACGAAACATCTGGCTCAACATCCGGCTCGGCCGCTACACCCTCGGTACAGATTATGTGTTTAACTTTTATGTGTTTAGATGTGTGAAAGAATTTCACATTTTAGATATCATACTGCAAAAGTTAGTAGATTCCAGTGTTTTTTGAGCTTATCTACATTTAAGTGTACCCCTCACTTTTATGTGGCCTCATGTCTCTCTAGGTATTAATGAGGAGAGTAGTCCAACATCAGGAGAGACACAGAGAAATGAAGGAGATGGTTCCTCTCAGAAGGTGAGGATCTCTCTTCTCATGGTGAAAGAATCCCTCTAATCCCACTTGTAAAGTGCTTATTTAATTTTATGTATAATGTGTGTTCAGGTTATCGTGTTTTATTATTTAACAACATCAAATCCCAGGGGATTTTAATTTGGCTTGTTGTTCAAACAGTTCTCAGCAAAGTCACCTAAATTTATTTAAAAAAATATATTCTTTGTAGTTATTATCAATTTAAAATACCCCTTCATATACAATTCAAACAAAAACACAATTCTATATATATATTTAGCTTTCTTACAGTACTGTAGCTGCAGTGGCCTCTAACCAATCTGAGTTTCAGACCGCTGCATTAGAGCGTAGTGTGGACAGTATCTGTTTACATTAATGCAGTTTCTGTTGAAGTCTCTCTTCAGATTGGTGTTCAGGATGTACGTCATCAAATGTCATTTTTATAAAAAATTGAGTCATAAAAGAAAATAAGGTAGTTGTCAGGGGGTATAGCTCAGTGGTAGAGCATTTGACTGCAGATCAAGAGGTCCCCGGTTCAAATCCGGGTGCCCCCTCTTTAGTTCCAGTCTGACACAACCGTGGTTCAGTAGCTGGAGTGTATTGTCCACCAGCACCATGTCTCCACGGTCAAACTGCACACCTCTACTTCATCTGCTGATGGATAAAATCCAGCAGCAGCAGGTGTGGACAGAAAGCTGCAGTCAGTCAGACAATATACAGGAAGTCAGAGAAATGTTTGCAACCTGTTAGATCATCTTTAGGCTGCCTGTTATATAATAAACTTTGTTATTATTATCAGCCACTCAAGATCTGTTTGTTAACATGAGACATCAAACAGCTACAATCTAGAGTTAAATATTAAAATCACACAGAATTTGAAAAACATGGTGTTTGTCGTCAATCCAATCAAAGAGCAAATCTGCTCTCTGATCTGGCAACAACCAGGCGTTTCCCATCATGCCTTAGGTCAGTTAGAGGAGGGAAACTGTCCACGTTAGTGCAGTTTATGTTTTATTTTTTAAAATTTATTTTTGGCTTTTATTTGATAGGATAGAATAGCTGAAGACAAACAGGAGAGGGGGGCAGAGAGAGGGGGGATGACATGCAGCAGAGGGCTATAGGTTGGATTCGAACCCTGGGCGGGCCACTGCAGCAAGGACGCAGCCTCTGTACATGGGTCACCAGCTCTACCCACTGAACTAACCACACAGTTTCTATTGAACCTGTCAGAAGTATGGATTGCACAGTGATGTCAGTGAGTGTGTGTCAGGGGGTATAGCTCAGTGGTAGAGCATTTGACTGCAGATCAAGAGGTCCCCGGTTCAAATCCGAGTGCCCCCTCTTTAGTTTCAGCCTTACAGGTAAAGCAGGTTATCCATTAACCACAGGGTTGGCAGTATGACTCGCTGGCTCCCCTGATATACACGTTGAAGTGTCCTTGAGGACAGCACTGAATCCCAACATGTTACTTCAATCCCGATGTACAGCTGGTATCTTACTGCTGAAAGACACTCTGGGAAATGTTAGAACACTTTTGAATATGACAAAAACTAAATCTGAGCTAGAGACTGACCTCTGAGTACTGTGGACTTTTTTCTCAACATAAGGAACTCTACATTTTCTACAATTACTCAAGATCACAGTCAAACTCAAAGTTCAGTTCAATTATGTGTGATTTGGGAGATGTGCGTCATAACAGTTATAATGAAGATAATGGAATACCTATGTAGAAAGGGAAGCAGATTACTTTAACCAGTCATTATATTGCCTTAATGTCTCTGCTCTGTTTTTTTTTAGATGAAGACTTACAATTGCAGACTGGACCTGACCTCATCCAGCACCTGTAATGGGAACATTCCACTGGCAACACGCTCTTCTGAACAACAAATTAAACCCTGTGATCCAAGCCAAGGAGTAAGCTCCCCAACCAGCGAGATCTACGCTGGAACAGGATGCAGCCCCGCAGCCCACGCCGAGGATCCAGACCCTGGACCTCCCACCGGACCATCACGGTCCCACAACACAGAACAAGCTCTGATATCCAAGCCCTCTGTATCTGCAGAGGCTCGCGGAGGAAAGCCAGAGGCAGAAGAAACACAAAGGAGTGCCAAACGAGTCAGGAGGACATGAAATCACGGACACAGATGCAGGCATTGTGTGCAACACCAGCCCTCAGGAATAACTGTTCATACAGATTACACACTGACCTTTATACTGTATTTCTGTTCTGGAGTTTACAGGCCTTTATAGGAATAAAGGAATAGTACAGCACCATACAAGTACTATCGCTTTTATTTATTCTGGCCGACTAAACTACATCACTTCACTTCACTGACACCTCCGTTACTCTCCAGTTATCGTTGTTTGGGCGGGACAAATTACACCTTTATCATTCTTATTAGTACATAGAGTTTTGGTGACCTCGCATAATTCCCAGAATAGCTCTGGCCACCTTCAACCTGAGCCGAGCTCTAAGGAGAAAAGCTGAAAACACCCATGTGGGTTTGCAAGGGCCTTCTTCACTTCACGGATGAAGCAAGACATAATTGTCATACATAAATTAAATGTGCAGCATGGAAAGTAGCATTAGGGTTAAAGGCATCAGGACACACAGAACCCGGCAACATGGCTCCCTCTCGCAGGGTTGTGCGGAGGTGTGGCCGTGATTATTTCTGCTTTAGACTTTAACCGTCACGAAACAATCAGAAAATAATGCTTTATTTATCAGATTCACTGCTTTGTTCTCACTAACGCTGCTCCCGCTCTTCATTCACTCTCTAGCTCGCTTGACCACCACTGCTCGCTCTCTCTAGCTCATTGAGCCAGGGAGAAGGGGCCAACTTTGAATTGTGTGTTGAAACAGCAACCGACAAATAGTTGGAAAGTAGCCCGGCGTGTCTGTGTAACTGGAGTTGAGTTTCTAATGACAAAGGTGGAAATATGGTTGTTGAAATGTATCAACACATTATGGCAAATACACTTTTGCTCCTCAAACTCAGTTCCTGCCCGGAAAAAGAAAATTACGGAAAATGTTGGCAATGATATAATTACACATAAACCGGTGAGTCAAAATTTAGAGATGCTTAATTAAGATAGTGTAGATTACTCATTTGTCATTCTTACTGGCATGTTGTTCGATGACGTAATGCCCAGCATAGCTCTGCAGTGTTACCCTGACGTCAGCCACAATAACTGAAAGAACATGTGTGGGTTTGATTATACAGTTTTTATTTTTAAAGTTTAAACATTTTGACTTACTGCCTCATAATCTTGACTTTAAAGGTAAAAATTTTGTCTTCCTATCTTTGTCATTGGTAACATTTAATGTATTTTCTTCCCTGACTGAAATGGGCTTCCATACTCCATTTTCTTCATCTCCTGCACAGCTGTCAGCCGCCGGTACGTGCTGTCTGAAAACCGAGCGCACCTCTCTCACGCGCCTTCACGCAGGAACAGGAAGTCAGGAAACAGGAGAAAATCTGTTGGAAGGGAAAAGTAACAAAACAGTTTTATGAAAGATGAGCCGAATTTATCACAACACGTGTTTACAGAACAAACCTGTACACAACGAGACAGTGGGGCGCGCGTGGGCTCCCTCTACGTATGAAAGGTAGGGGCTCGCGACACGTAAAGAGTAGTGAGATGAGTTCAGGCTCAGTCCGACACATTGCTTCCCTTTAACCCAGATTAAAGGCCACAGCAACTGTACAACCTCACACACATTATGTAGTTAATAATTTTAACTACTTTATCAGTTCACTAAGTTTAAACGTCTTTGAAAGAGCCTGGAACCGCTGAGTGTTTGTTTGTTTGTTTGTTTGTTTGTTTGTTTCTTCTTCAGCCTCACTGCAGATTTGGCAGGATCTCTGCTAATACTTCATTTGATGCATGTGAGGTTTTGCTTTCTGTGGATGGTCTTTGTAAGAAGGTGTCAAGTAAATCTAACTACATTTTGTAAGTTACACAGACAGTCCTGATCTGGTAGCTGTAGTCATTTTCAGTGACACTTCATTATGTGTACAGTAAAAAAGTACTCAATCAGGAATGTTGCTTCAACTTACTAAACTAAGTTACTGTCAGTTACAATTACTAATAAAAGCTGCTTAATCAAGATTTTTGTTACTTAAAATGTTCTATGTAATCTGTTTCAACTATTTTGTTTAGTTAAAATAACTAATTGTATCCCAGTGTATGGCCATCATAATTGGTAAAATATTGAATACATAAATGCCAATGGAAACACAGTAAAGACTCCTTAATATGTTTTTATGTGATATATGTATGAACTATATAGGGTCATGTCCAAGTTTCTCTCATTGTAAGTATAGCCTTTGTTCAGATTTAAGTTTACGTTTTGTCATATTCTTAATCTCCCAAATATTAAGATGTTTTTATTTTCTTTACTTCTTCCACTTCTGTGTGTGTTTATGTATACACTAACTACAGTGCAGTATATGACTGGAGATATATGTGTATATATTAGGGACGTAGCGATCAGTAAGGCGCTACTGGTAATAAATAGGGCTGCACCATTAATTAAAGTTCAATATCCACATCACAGAAGCTGCAGTGTTTTGGTAAAAATAAAATATGTGACAAAACAGTATTATGATTCTGCAATATCATCTAGCTTAATGTTCAGTTCGCTATATCTGTCCGTCTGTTGAAAGGAGTTTGGTTTGGAGGTATGATCACCCAGGTCTCTATACGAGGGAGAAGATACATTTTACAAGTAGAAGAAGAAGGGTGTGAATATTTGATATTTTTGTCTTCCACACAGTGGCGAGGGGGTTCTTCTAGAGGGGAAGCTGCTGGATGTTTCCAGACATGCAATCAGTGACAACAGCAATCAAAAGGTACAGTAGAATGCAGCCGGTGTCGCACTCCTCTCCATTCAGGAGAACACATAGTTCATCTGCCTGCAAGTTTTCAGGTTAAAACTAAATGCAGACGCTCTTTCGTTCCCTTCTCTAAAGAAAAAGGGTTGTTTGGTCTTCCATGCTGTGAGTGTGATCTTTGGTTTTGGGGACGTGGCAACAATTGTTGGAACCACGAAACAAAGTTCTCAAAATCGCTTTTAATTTTGTATGTCTTTCACTGAGCAGGATAAACATGTCTTTCACCATCTCTCTGAGAACTTCAGAATACTGCAAATCCTTATCAGTGTTAGCAGACTGAGCATGAACACAGACCGACCAAACACAACCACACTCTGTTTGTGTTTATTTATTTCTCTCTTCTTTCGCTGGCAGGTCCGTTTCTATGTGCTGTACATCAAACCCAGCCGCATCCATCAGAGGAAGTTTGATGCCAGTGGGAAGGAGATCGAGCCAAACTTCAGTGACACCAAGAAGGTCAACACCGGCTTCCTCATGTCCTCCTACAGTGAGTGGAAGGCAACAAACGTCTGAGTGGATGTTTGCATGTTCTGTTTTCCTTGCAAAACTTTCATTCTGTTCAGAGTTCAGAGTCAGGATGGGCAAGCGAGCAGCCATAAGACACGCGGTCAGGTCACAGTCTCTTCTGGCAGCGTGTGTTTGAGTCCCACTGTACCTGCACCCTGCGTGTTCCTGTATTCGGTTGTGTTTTCTCACTTTGCAGCATTGTTTTCCTAAAGGCTGCACACGTGCTGTCCAACTGGTGAACATGTAGTCTTCATTATCCCCACTAGGCGTAAGCCTGGAGGGCATCACACATTCACTAGTGTGTGTTCATGTCTGTCCAAAAAGGGACCCTTTTCTATAATGGAGTAAATTGACCTTTTGACTTATTTTATGGATATTTCATATTATACTCAATGCATAACAACAACAGTAGAGAATAACTAATAAACCGTACAATGAACCCAAACAGTGAACACAATAACTGCAGGAAGTTTGTTAGTTTTACGGTTTGGAGGAAGTTTGAGCAGATTATTTCCTGTCCTTATATTTTTAGGAACTTTTTATACAATTCTGTCTGTTTTATGTATTTTTAACAACCATACACACTAAGGCTTTTTTTCTCATTGTTCTATCAGCTCTTTGGTTGTTTTACGTTTGTACTTTTCTAAAGCAGAACAAAGCTGTTTATCATGGTAAATGGACCTGTACTTGTATAGCGCCTTTCTAGTCTTCCGACCACTCAAAGCGCTTTTACACTACATGCCACATTCACCCTTTCACACACATTCACTCAGTGATGGCAAAGTCCATCAAACAGAAACTAACTCATTCATACACATTCACACACCAGTGCACGGCAAGCAATTCGGGGGTTCAGTATCTTGCTCAAGGATACTTTGCCAGGAGCCGGGGATCGAACCCACAACCTTCTGATTAAGGAACGACCCGCTCTGAAATTCTTCACAGATGTGAACGAAATGCTGAAATATAGGCCATTTTTTTGGCTTTCTTACACCCCTCGAAATCAAGAAGCCATCCCAAACACCTGTAAAGCTTTGGCAAAAATGATCGTAACCCTAAATTCTTTCTAACTTCACTGGCTTAGCCGCATACTTTGTGTCCATACAGAGGTGGAAGCTAAAGGGGAGTCAGACCTTGTGTCTGAGGAGCAGCTGTCGCTGATGGTGAACAAAGCTGAGCTGGTGAAGATAACAGACAAGCACCGACCCAGCGGGACCTGGGCCTTCTGGTACCCGGAGTCAGAGATGGACAAAACGGAGCTGGAAACAGGACAGGACGTACGGCTGAAGACCAGAGGAAACAGTCCTTTCATATGTGAGTCTGCATTACCATGCTGTTAGCTGTTTAGCCCCCTCCACATATTTATCACTAAATACAGAAAACAGTGCATCCAGTGTGTCGCATTAAGCCTAAAAAGGAAAGAATACTCTACTGTAGTGTGAGCCCTGCTAAAGCTTCAGGCTATACATTTAAAGCTAGTAGTGTAAAGTGGATCTTTGTTAGGGGACACATGCAGTGCAAGGTTTGGTCAGCGCTCTTTAATTTGTTTTCTGACTACATAAGATAGGCCTGTTTTTCAAAGCCAGAGGGTCCCTTTGGTTTTCATGGGCTTCACATTGATCCAGCCTGTCCCAGCACCGACCTCCGTGGCAGTGGGGGAGTGAATGAAATTAAACTTGAATTTTGTTTTTCCGGTCTCTTTCAAAGTTTCATAAGTAACCTCAAGGGGAATGAACAGAGTTTGACCTTTCTCAGATTCAGAAGAGTCATCCAGCCCTTTGATATTCAATCAGCAGTTCGGAGTGGAGTGGAGTGCTGCGGTCGGTTCACAGCCTCTACTTTTACACATCTTCAGCCCAGATTTATTACGGCGGGATGAGCATGTTGAAGTTTCCCGAGGAGAGTGAGAAAAGACATCGTTAATTAAAGAAATCAATGTTGTATTTATTAATTTATTTTATCTTTTATTTGAATAGGGACACATAAGTACACTGTAAAAAATGTAACAAAAAAATTGTTGAAACTAATTACATTGAAAATGATCAGTAGAACTAACTCAATTTCGTAAGTAAAACAACATTCTTCATCAAGTAGCTTTAGTCATTTGAAGTGACACGGACTTTGTATTTTTATTTTTTATTTGTACTGTGGAAGGTACAAACTTACAAATCTGAGTTGAGGTAACTTATAGGTAACTTGTATAAAAATATTTTTTTGTCATATTATATCCTGACAGTAGAACATTTGTGTTAATGTTCTTTGTGTGTGTAGCATGAAAGGGCGACAACTTACATTTCCTGTGTGGTAAAATTAAATAAATGAACCTTGATTCTTTGAATTCTTTTTTCGTCATGAATATTTAATTTATATCTATGAACACCTTTAAGAAGGAGCTTGAGACCCCCCTGTTAGACCTCTCTTTGTTTAACTTTTGTTGATTATAATACTTTATTCTTTTGTCTAGTTGTGTGTGTGCGTTTCATGCCTGTTGCTTTATTCTGAAGGACGTTGTGTCGTCCCTTTCTGAACGTACTTTTGTGCTTCCAGTCTCCTTAGCCAAAGTGGACGGCGGCACGGTGACCAAGTGTAACTTTGCTGGAGATGAGAAGGCCGGCGCGTCGTGGACCGACAAGATTATGGCCAACAAAGCGGACGCGGACGCTCAGAAGCCCGGAGGAGAAGGAGCGGGAGCAGAGGAGGATGAATGGGTGAGGAGGACACCTACAAAAACTAACCCAAACTCACATACAGAATAAAATCTGCCTCACTTAATACCCAGGATTTATTCATGTGGTGTTTGAGCTCCAGACTGACGAGGCAACAGGAAAGTATGATAAAACAGGCTGCTAAAGGTATTGCACATTATGTAAATTTGCATTTTAAAAATACATAAGGCCAGAGTAAGCAAACTCAACCTCTCTGTGCATGTGATACTTGAGTGGATAGCTACAATCTCTGATTTGACATAACAGGAAGTGTTACTGTTGTTCCCAATACACAAAGCAGGTAAAGTCATAAACAAACCGAAACCCGAGGAGGCTCACTTCTCCCATTTTGTTTCTCTCTCAGGACGACTGAGGAGACCATCAGCCTGAAGAGTTGGCCCTGTTCCAGTCTCCAAGTTGAACAGCTTCAACTTGGCTCCAGCCCTGTCTCTCTCTGTCTTTAGATTGGACTCACTGGACATTTCACTAGGGTACTGAACCTCTTACATATGTGGCCTCGGGGCTGGAAAAACCTTGCATCACTTCTGCAGTATGGGACTAGACTCTTCCACCGTTATGGAGTGCATCTGGCTGCTGGCTGTGATGCAGACTGTGTCTTTGAAACTGGGCCCCTTTTCTTTAGACTTTGGATTAGATCCCTACGTTTACATTGCTTCCTTTTCAGTCTTTCTCAGCTCACTCTTCTGCTCTTGTCTGTTTGTGTCCAAGTTTAATCCAGACTGTAAATGTGTGATTTTTATGGTATTAAATGACCCTTGCTAAATCCCACCCCTTTTAGAACCATGGCCCATGTTCTCTTTTCCTTAACTTAGATATGCTGCGTGCTATTCTAATCTATGTTGAAAAGGGGAGCATGCCTATGTTCCCACAGCCCTATGTTCCCACAGCCCTATGTTCCCACAGCCCTATGTTCCTACAGCCCTATGTTCCCACAGCCCTATGTTCCTACAGACCTATGTTCCCACATTTCCTTTTTCATAAATTTGTATCAGATAAAGATAAAATATCCCTACTCCGTCACATCCCTAACCGTAACCCTTAACCATGCTAACTAGCAAGTTTTAATCTTGACCTAACCACATAGGGCTTGAACACTGTAGATGTGTATATACTATACCGTCTAGGGGACTTTTGCAACTGAGCTTTTAACTGTTATTAGACAGAGGCGCGGTTCCCCCAGAGTATGATAATGGGAGAAATGCTAAAGATGGCTCAAAGCCAAAATATTAGTGTAGTAAGTAAGCTAAAGAGTCTAAACAGTCATTGGAGCACAGAGCAAAAAGGGGCGGGACTTAGCAATGTCCCTCTTGTTTTTTTCAGTATACCATAATGTAAAGTTCTGTCTAGAGAAACCCACCGTATTTTAAAGAGTATCTCTGAAGTTTTAAACACAAAGAGCTGTGTTACCGGTTTCATAAGATCAGTACACTAGTTTGGTTCTGTGTGAAAATCCACAGTTTTACCCACATGAGAAGGAACAAAGAAAGCCGTTAACAGAACAGGACCATGCAGTGTCGTCTACATGTGGTTATTGTGTCTTGGCTAGTCTGCCACCTGAAAAAATGACTTCAGTACGGAGGATAGGGCAAATAATATTTCCCTGGAATATTAATCCAGTCTGAATGGCGCTGTAGAGTGTTTAATGGTGCAATCACTGATTCAGTGTCGCCAGTCTAATCTCTCTAGACAACATTCCCTGGCAACAGATGCAAACACAGGCTGAGGATTCTGTGTTAGCAGTTTTTCATTCTGATGTCAAAGTAGGATTTTGGTCAATTTAGAGTTTTACTGTGTGCCCCAAAATCCTGCATACATCCTGTCCAGATTATAACAGAGCAGCGGAAGAGGAACACAACAGTAGTTATGTTCTAATTATACTTTAATGATACACCTCCTGATTTTTTATAGTCGCATGAAGTAAAGTTTAGTTATACCGAGTGCTTCAATATAGCACTCCAAGAGCAATTTAACAAAATCAGGCAGTTTATCTTTAAATGAAAGTGCAGAAATAGCTGCTGAGACTGCAGACATTACGTCCACAGAGATTTAAAAATATATTTACTTGTATCTGATTTATCAAAGTAATGATGCAATGCTTATTGCTGCTCAACGCCCCTGAAAACTTGGCTTCAGGAGTTTCTCTATAACATAAAAATTCATGACTAAATCAGCAGTATCAAAGTTAATAAACACTCTTAATACTGATCTGTGAACAGTTTCATCAGGGACCATGTGATTGACAGTCACCAGATTCAAGTGTGACATGGACAATATTGTATTACACATATCATTACACATATCACTATTATTATCATCTTGTTATTCTAAAGTTATGTTACATTAAGTCAGTGAATATGACCTGTATTATTTTACATTATTTTCAAAGCAAAAATGACATGTACTGGATTAAAGGACTCACATTTAACACCATATCAATGTTTTATTATTGAAAATAACAATCTTAGCAACATTCAAGAATAATTTGGTTCCTTGATTACAAGATATATATATATATATATAATATATTATATTATATTAACCCTGTTACAAACTGATTCTGTCCTTGGGCTCTGACTTGTGCAAGTGTGGAGAAGCTGGACTGTAAATTGGCAGCACGTTACATTTTAGCTGTTATTTTGTATTCCTTCACTGTTTTTCCTCCAAATGCATATATGCTTGGACATTAATATAATAATTGATTATATAATAATTTCACTAATTGGCAACAGCAACAAGAAAAGAAAAGTGATTTTGAAAACAAAATATGTTTCACAATTTTTCACATAAAACAATTTACAACAATGATACTTTAAAGATGACTGATGCTGAAACAGCATCATGTGCAAAAATCACAAACAGCGGAACAGTCTTGTTACTGTGACTGTCCGCGTTGAATATACTGTATAAATAATACATATGGGTGTATATGTAAACACTGCTGTGTCTCAGTTTGGTCTTAAGTGCCACATTTCTCTCATGACTTGCACCAGTCTTGTGTGCGGCACAATCACAGTTCAGGTTGGTAAATTGTTTGGTGGAAAATGTAATCTCTCATTCATGATTTCATTATTTCTCTGGTCCATGTTCAAGGCAAAGTGAGGTTCACTCATGATCTTGTTGACGTGGATTTAGTGAAGGCAGAAGAGCATTCAGCTGCAGAACTGAAAACTGCTAGCACCACTGATCTGTAACGCTCTAAAACAACGGGAGATGGCGTTTGTCCACTCTACAAAGCTGTCTGTCCTTCAAACCACTCTAGGATAACATCTTTGTGCTCGCCGACCCACTCGATGTTAACTTTGGTTTGCTCGATGGCCTGGTACACCGCCCTGTTGGCAGAATCCAGCTCGTAGTCCGTCGCAAAATGTTCCAGCTGTGTACACACACACACACACACACACACACACACACACACACACACACACACACACACACACACCAGAGAGAGAGAGAGCATACAGTGATGTTAGAATATTGCTACGGAAGCACACTGCATTCAACAAAGACCAAAAAAATGGAGACCTGAGCTTATAATTATGACATAGTAGGTCACAGAGGAGTGGACTCAAGTCACAAATATGATGACACAACTCGACAAGTAATCTGAATCTGACTAAATCAAAAAAGACTTGCTACTCCTTGGACTTTTGTCTTGAAAATACTGGATACCTCCCCCCTAGTCCAAAGGCTAAAAAATATTTTTGATGAACCAATTAATTTCCCTTCATTTCCTGAAACAGCTAACATTAATGCTATTAATTTACAACAAGTCAACGCATAATCCTGATCCTGGACCAATCAGCATCCAATCAAGTTGCAGGAGAGGAAGAACTAATGTTACATTACCAGTGCCAGCTGGAACAAATAATACCAAAGATAATTTAGTTTTGTTTGTTCTGTTGTTAAAATGGCAGTACATTTAGTGAAGAGCGTATTAGGACTTGGCCCCTGGTAGAGCTAATGCCCTATGTACCAAGTCCTTGCTGTGGCCCTTTGCTGCGTGTCATCCCCCTCTCTCTCTCTCTACCTCTTTTCCTATCAACCCCCCAGTTTGGTGTCAACTGCTGTCAAATTTAACACATTAATTAAACACACTCTGTTATGGTGATAGGCCTAATTTCAATGAAAAGTTTAAATATGTTCATTTGGAAGCTTTCCTTAGCAAATATCGATACAGGTGATTGTTTGTGATTAAATCAGCATATATTTCTGTCACCCCATAAATGTTTCTCTGCCCCTGCTCGGGAGACCGAAGAACTAATTTGGTCTGACTTCTGCAGCATAGTGATCTTGCCAGATTTGCAAAGCAGAAGCACATGAAAGACCAAAAACTAAAATGAACTGATCCTGCTTCAGACATTGCCTAATATATCTTCTTCCGCTGTATCATAGAGCTCCACTGGTGTCCAAAAACCTTTAGAAAAAAAAGCCAGCCACACTGCTGCACTGGGTGACATTTCCTTCACTACTGTGAACAATTCATTTCAAGTTAATCCCACATACACCGCCCTGCTGCCTGAAATGCTTGCTTAAGCAAATTTGTATTAATCCAGAGCTGAATATAGTCCGCCAAAAATAGCTAAAATAAAATAAAAACTGTGGGATGGAGTCAAAATAAACTTCAGTGCGTGCATGGTAACGGAAGAACATGTCACCCAGTGCAACAGTGTGGCTCACTGATGTGTTTTCAATAATTTTTGGACAACAATGGAGCTCTATGGCACAGGGGACGACCATATATCAGGCTTTGATACACACACAGTACTTGTTATCAGGATCCATTGACGGTTTCCATCTTTTCATGGGAAAAATACAGAATATAACCAACCCTATAAATAAGAAAGCAGAGCGAGGGAAAGTTGGGTTTTGGCTCAGGTAAAACTAACACGCACAGAAGATAAGATATCAGGGTGTATCCAGTTACTCGTGTGATATAAATCAATTATTGGTGCATGACTGGAAAGACATGACTCCCCACTCCACATATTGCATGCTGGGATCATCACCGGGACCTAATAAAAACATGAATAAATTACCTCCTTCAGTTCAAACTGTGTGGAGAACCTGCTGGTCACGCCCTCGATCAGCATCGCTCCAGCCCTGGCAGCAGAGACAGGAACAATATCAGAAACAGTTTTACACACAGCACCACGGACTACAGTCTGTAAACTGAGCACAAAGTCGAATGGACAAAAGAAAAACAGCTTCAACTAAAACTGAACGCTGTAACTTTGATAAATGTAGTATTGATTGCAGGGTGGTGTTTTAAACTGCATTAGTTTGAGCTAGGTGGACCTAATGAACTGGATATCGTAAGCAAATACAGTTAAATCCCAGCTGATTGCTTCTTGAGATCAATCTCAGGTGTCGCTGTGTGCTCATGAAATGAAATCCTGTCTGTTATGTATATTTAAACTTTGATACCGATCAATTTTGCTTCCTGGTAACGACACAAACAGCAGGGACTTTATGGAGGAGAGCTAATGATAAGCACTGATTAAATAAGAAGACCTTTGTACGTGACGACAGTCTGCAAGATTTTTATAAGCCACTGTTTATTATAGTCAGTTCTTTTATGACAGGGCTTGTTTATTCAAGTGACTCAACTGCAGGTCACTTCACTATCAAGAGGCCTCTGTAAACCGAACCCCCCCGGGCGAGACGAGGCCCTCAGATCCCTGTGGTGTTGAGCAGCACTACGTCCATAAAGACATCACTAACAACAGCAGTCCTGTCTTCTCAGTTGGCAGCTCATGGCCTCCAAGCAGATCATGAGACAGAGCTGTGAACCAAGGAAAACAGGAGCGAGGCGAGGCTGTGTTCAGGGTTAGATGGATGGGTTGCTGGTGTTTGCTGGAAGCAAAAATCCCATTCATATTCTCAAGGATTTTGATTATTAGCCATGATATCGTAATCACCCAAGCTAGACTTACATGAGCTATGAGATTGTGGAACTAGAATGCTCCTGTAGAAGCCACAAAAAAATAAAAACTTTGTTTTAAGATAAACCTGTTTTATTCACAATCTCACGGAGAAGTATTACAGTACCCACAATCCTAAAGTGTAACACAGACGACGTCTCTGATTGGTAGAGCGAACAGCTAGTGAGTTACTTTTAAAACAATCTTTATTTACACGCTACTGCTGCCACTGACTGTACGAGGGTTTATGAAACTACAATATATTACACCACCATTAACCATACAAAGACTATAATAATGACCGTGGTTGAATTCAAGAAGAAATGAGCTACTGTTGTTGTCATTCGCAGTGGTTTATGGGATGAGTAGTTCCTTCGTTCTTGAAATAATTATGTCTTGTACCTTTGCCTTCTTTCCTGTTTTTCAAGCTTTGTTTTGCTCCAAATCGAATGTTTGGTGTTCCATCAGCTTGATATAAGTTTAAAACTCTTTATATAACGATTTTCTGAAACGTCAATGGAGTGAATAAACGGGAACTTCTGGAACCGGAGCTGTGGACGATCACTGTTGCGCTCTATATCTTTTACATAGTACTGCTCTGTGGTTTGTCAGCATATTTACAATGATCACTGCATGTTATTGATCATGCAACTGTGTAATCAATCAGGCTTAGCTCTAATGTCGCAGCACAGAGCAACCCTGAGCTAGCCAAGCTAAACTAAAAGTGTCCTGGATCTATCTCTGGAGCAGACACACAGGGATGTTAGGCTGTGGTTTGACTTATTTGCCCACCTGGGAGCAGTGGGATGAGCTAAACACACACAATCTGACATAAAGTCACCATATAGCAAACAATTGCTTATTTACACATTCTGTAGAGATTTTCAGTCTTGCTTCTGGCCACCTGATGCATGTCCTATAGTTACTCTTTTTTTAACACCAAATGGATGTTAATGTTGCTCAGTGTAAGCTGGAGGTGTAAACAGGCAACAGTTTGGCCATTACAAAGTCATAATATGACAAATATGTGTGACTTTTAGCTTGCTGAGGCCTTCTGTCTTTAAGTGGCAAAAAAAGTGTTGAGGCAGCTTTAAAGAGCTGCACACCATAAACAGAATTTCATTCCTGTTTTAGCTCAGAGTTCTCAGTGTAACTGCTGCGTTCGGGTTGGCTTCTCCACCCTGACAAACACACGTTCTGGGGTAAACCATGAATACTTGCAATTTTCTTGTAAATCTGTTGGAATAAAAACGGCTAAATTTAAACCTTTAGCACTGACGCAAAATACCGCCTATCATCAACCTCAGACCAAAAACACCAAGCACCAAGTGTCTTCCTTTTCAAGTCTATATTGGTTTTAAGTCCAACTACACAATCTCAAATACTTGTTCATGACTCAGAAAATGACATTGAATCTGAAAAAACCCAATATGAGAGTCCAAATAGCAACCTACCCCTGCCTGACATAGTCCCAGTGTGCTCTGACAAAGTTCCAGGCCAGTGCCTGCCCCGCCACATTCTTGGCTATGTAGTTAATGGTGGAGGCAACATCCATCAGACGAATCTTTTCAGGGTCCAAGGTGTACTCCAGGTATCTGTAAGATAAGGAAGGCACCGACTGGCTCTTCACTTAATGAAAACTGTATGTTTGGGATTCACCTTATCACGGGTGTGTCTGTTATGAGAGAAGTCATTATATAAACACAGTAAAAAATTATACTAATGTAATTCTGTGTATGACACATCAGGATCTTGTCCCTGATCTGTTTGTTAACCTCACCTGTTGAGCAGCCAGATCTTCTTGGTGCATGACAGAGCCTTACGGAGCTGCTCTTTCTCCGAGGTGTCGCTGGAGCTCTGAAACTTGTTCCAGGCAAACTCCCACTCTTTCCCCCCACCAGCAGCCACAGCTTGGCAGTAGATTACAGACCGCAGGTTGGGATGGATGCTGAATCACAAACAAACACACACACACACACACACACACACACACACACACACACACACACACACACACACACACACACACACACACACACACACACACACACACACACAGTTATTTTCCGCACATTAGGACTGTGTCAAGTTCTCTCGGTTGTACTGGGCTTGACTTTTTCCTGCCTATCAGCATATTTGCAGACACACTGAACACTTTCTCCATCCTGTCTAATTTCATATATTTACTCCAACCACTACAAACTAGGGGATTGCACCTGAGAGGTGATAATGCGTGGTTGGGGGTGTTAGGGTTGAGCGAGTACTCGGCTGAACAAAAAAAACCTCAAAGGTCTCACTCTTGTAACCCTCATTGCTCTGTAGCTCAGTTCTGTGGCTGTTCTGTAAATAGTTTTCTAATAAATATAGCAACTTCTGATCAACCCATATCTTTCAGTCTTAAATTAACAAATTCAGATTAGTGCATTTCCAGGTTAAGCACCACCAACATCAAGTTTAAGCCTCGCCCATTTTTGAGTTCAAATATAGAGCATATAGTTGGTTTAACAGATACAGATGATGTACTCGCTCACCCCTAATCTTTATATTGTTATTGAGACATTACATTACATTACAGCTCTATAATAACATGGATATAGTGGGGTGATCTTTTGATAAAAATACCATGTAATTGCCAAAGTAATAACCAAATAATAGATAGGTATTAAATAGTAAATGGACCTGTACTTGTATAGCGCCTTTCTAGTCTTCTGACCACTCAAAGCGCTTTTACACTACGTGCCACATTCACCCTTTCACACACATTCACACAGTGATGGCAAAGTCCATCGAACAAAAACTAACATTCATACACACCGATGCACGGCATTGGGAGCAATTTGGGGTTCAGTATCTTGCTCAAGGATACTTCGACATGTGGCACTAGGAGCCGGGGATTGAACCCACTACCTTCCGATTAATGAACGACCCGCTCTGCCTCTGAGCCACAGCCGCCATTAATAGTATTTCTGGTCAATATTAGACTGAAATTTAGGGGCCATACCGTATTACATATAATTTTCCAAACATTCCCTTTTGTTTCAAGGTAATACTGTACAAATAAAAAGTTCAATGATGTGACCTGGAGACACACTTTACAGTTTCAGTGTGGTAACCATAAACCAGGGCTGAAAAATACTAAATATACCTGTTACTATTTAATTTCCTTGTAACATTAGATTAAACCGATATCAAAACGCATAATAATTACCTGGAAACTAGGGATGATGGCCTCACTGATGGCTAAAATGATAAACCATTCAGTGTATTTTTATTATTAACTTTTTATTATCAGTCTATTACCCCACTATTACCATGTTATTACCCCACTGTTATGTGTTATTACCTTACTATTACCATGTTATTACAGAGTGGTAATCTAAAGCGCAACGAAATAGTGTCTTGGCAAACAGGCAAACATACTCTCAAGTCAAGTCAGTTTTATTTATACAGCCCAATATCACAAATCACAACATGGCAACATACGACACTCTCTATCCATAGACCAAGGATGGGCGAGTGCAAATGCATTAATATACTTCCATGCATTTATATACATGCATGTGTGTTGAAGTACTGAGCAAATACACCTTTAATGTCTCTCTACTTTAAAACTGCACCTGGAAACTGTAGGCAAGTGTAACTGTAAAGGCACTGCAGCTTCACAAGACACCTTCTCAATTAGTATGATTAAGATCATGTTCTCAATGGCCGCCCCATTTTGTCATTTAGGATTAGAGCGCATGTAAGCATAAAAATCCTGCCAAGTACAGCTTTAAAGATAAGAGCGACACTGCAAAGTGCTAACAGCCACCAACAATTAACACAAAAAGTGATTAAATGGCACCTACCGTCACTAAATCATTGCTGGAGAGAAAAGCTACAGAATATAACAAAAGCTATTACAGTGAGACCATTTATTTTGGAAACCAATAGAATCATGTGCAAGTTTAGGAGAGTTTCAGTAGGTGTGTAGCAGAAATTACATTATATACATGATATATACTTATCCAGTAGTGTTCATACCCGTTAGTGGTGTTGCTGTTCATCCAGTTTGCAAACATCTTTGAAGCCATCTCTATGCATTCTGGGAGTCCATTGGAACATGCCACGTGTATGGCTAAGAGTTGGCTGCGCCTTGAAATGAGGACATCACAGTTTCATTTGATATAAAAAGTGCACAGGTATTAAATGACATTAAATGTAATGTAATGTGTTTTGAAGAAGCCTTGTCAAACTATTCTTTCCGAGCTTAAGAATGAGCCAAGTTAATCATGGATTGCTTAAAGCAGCAGAGTGATAATATTCTGTAGTTTTGTTACTATGAGCGACACCTTTCACTTGAGTTATTTAAATGTAATTATAAATATTAATATGAACTACAGATACGCTTTAACTAGTTAATAATCAAATGCATTCATATTCATAATGAATTAGCTTTATCTGATTTTTAATTTATGGTGGCAAAGTATTTGTGTTAAAAAGTCAGTGAGTGCTCTACGGTGAAGTTACAATGTTGTGATTACACAAATTCAACCGATCCTTTTGAATTCTGCGTGATTTTTTCCAATCACCGCAGCTTTTCCGCAAATTTGATAAATCATTGCAGTTTCCTGCGAGTTTCACCAATCAAAGCAGTCCCCCAAGCAAAACGTTAAGCCAAACGTCACCAAACTCCAAACTACTCGCAATATTATTCTCACTGGAATTAGATTTTTAGCGAACAAAAAGATAAATGCAAATATTTTTGCAATTTTCACTTTCTTCCGCAAAAAAAATCCTAAAGGCATCTTGGAGGGTCTGGAGAATTAGTTTTCATGTACAAATATCCTGCCAAGCTGGTTGTTTGAGAGCTTTTTTTGTTTTGTAAATCATTTTGTAATGTTAATTTGCTGCCACACATACAGTGATACTCTAAAGATTAATAGCAAAGAATGTGTTTTTCACCCCTGACAGTGTTTTCTTATAAGAACACTACATATTGTCCACACTGCACATCTGTCACTAACATGTCCATAACTGGTGATGTGTGAAACCAGCTCTCTGGCACTCTCAGACTGGACTGTTAGTTTGTAAAACTGTAAAGTGAAAACATGTGTGAATCTGCTGATGATTAACTAAGGGAAAATTCGGTTTAAACAATATGATGACATTACCCCTGAGGGATCAATAAAATCTTCCTTACTGTAAGGAATGGTCTTCTGGGACTTTTGAATAGTATGTGTAGTTTCTGAAGAAACTGTACAGGCCCTTAACTTGTTCCTGGAGGTATGCCTGCAGGAAGAAACAGTTTTACAGCAGAATTTCAGGAATACATGCAGCAATATAGATTTATTATGATCTGATGAGGCATGGACATTAACCCCAGCGGGTTTTAGTCAGCTAAATCCATCTTCTCTATCCACTGCAGGTCGAAGCAAGATACATTGTTCATTTTGAATATCACAAGTTGAAAATGATGTTTTAATGACACATGCCTGCATGGGTCCGTACACCTCGGAGCGGTCAAACATGAGGACAATGTACTCGAGGTTCCTGACTGCTGATTCCCAGGGAATGTATGCTGTCTCGTTGTGAAGAAAGCGGGTTGAATTCAGAGCCAGACTCACATCGACCAGTTTGGCCCTGAGAAAAACAGAGATGAGGGATCATGTTTTTAAAATTCAGTTGTGACCAGGGGAGTAGCGGGCAGTAAACCCAGGTAAACTCTGTTTATCCACCCCTTTTCAATATAAGCTTATTCATCCATCTTCATATCAACTGTATCAGTCAGTCAGGTGAAACAGTTAGCTAGTTTACCCACCTCTGTATTTACCCCTACACCCCTGGGTGTGACACATTATGATTATAGAATTACACTTAACCAACAGAAAACGTATTTGTAAGTCTGGATCAACTGAATCCAAGTCATTACCTTGCCAAGTTAAATGCATCATCAATAAGTTGTCCTCTGTTCATCAGTGGGATCCGCTAAAAAATAAGAGTAACATGAGGGACAGTAGACATTTCAGTTTACAAAGATCCAAACATGAAGACATCTGCAACTCTACTCAGCCATTCTACCAACAGCAAAATCAGCATGAGTGCAGGAAATGATGACCAGGAGTGCCACAGTGAAAACGCAAAATAAGGCTTTAAACCAAATAATTATGTATTGATTATTACGTTGAATTTAAAAAGTCAGGTATAAACCCAGTAGTATGAGTATCTGAGTTATTTGGGTTTAAGCATTGTCTCTCTATTTGTAGGTTCTAAAGACTCCAACACTGTGCTCTGAAACCCAGTATTTCGAGTGGCTTGCAGCGCAGCACAACATCTTTTTTTTACTGCGTCAAATCACATTGTGTCTGAAAGAGCCTTAAGAGGTCTGTTTCAAGAAGCTGTATACAGTAATCCAATGATCGAGTGGGATCAAGGGATGGAAGTGACTGTCTGTCTGTCGGCTGGTCTGCGGCTTTAGTCCAGATTATTTGATGGATTGTCATGAGAGACATGTAGAGCCATGCCCCAGAGGATGATCCTACTGATGACTTTCCATTTGGCACCACCAGCAAGTCAAAGTTGTCCCAGTGACATATCTCAACATCTAATACATAGATTGACATTATTGTTCCCCAAACAATGAATTGTAATAACTTGTTTTGACTATATATCTATAACTATTGGGTAGAGACATTTGTGTTCCCTGCAGGATGAATTATAATAACTCTAGTGGTGATCCTGTAAAATCTCACCAACAGCCTATCAGGAGATCAGCAGAGTTATTATCCATTATCCTCCCTGGGAACCATGAATGTCTGTACAAAACTTCACTGCAATCCGTCCAACAGTTATTAAGACATTTCTGTCTGGACTAAAGTGGTGGGCCAACCAGTTCAAGGACATTGCCAGCCCTAGATATATTTTACCTCTTGTAATTTTACTTTCTAGTAAAAGGTCTTTCCTTACTCAGTGGAGTAAGGTTTCTGCTCAGAGCTGTGATTTGCTAATTCATTATGTGGCTCAGTACTCACATGTGGATCTTTCTCCAGCTGAGTCAGGAGGCGTTCCCAGTTCTCTGGGTTGTAATTGACTCTGTAGTATCCAGTACAGTTGACATTTGCCAGGATCCACTCTCCACTCTTAGAAATTAAGGTGTCTTTCTTTTCTATTTGACAGGAAAATATTGATCAAAGGAAAGCTCTACTTTACAGACTATGAATCACAAATCAATGGCACAGTGTGAAGAAAAATGAAAAACCAGTAAGTAATCATGTGCATCCGATTCTGTTATCTGGTCTATCTCATCAAACTTCTCTTTCAACTGACTTGTACCCAATCAAAAGCCATAGCTGGCTTAGGATGTCCATCATTCAGTCATGAGTTTTTCTATCTAGTCTTCTGTGAGCCTGATGTAACTGAGAAGGTGTAAAGCACAATTTACTAGAGAATGCAATATCTGAAGAAATTGCGGGTATGAATGCTGTATGCTGACTGCTGAAAGGCTTACGCTAAACTGAATTGCTGGCTTTGAAATTGTTCAAACGATGTGGAATATTTAAAATTTGTTGAAAAGATTATGCTGGACTGAATTGCAGGCTCTAAAAGTTAAATAATATGAATAATCTGTAAAAGGTAGAATATTTTCAGGTGTGTTCAAGAGCTGTCGCTATACTGAATTGCTTGCTTTAATTTGTATGAAGTAAATGAAGTATTGTAGTGGGAAAGTGAGAAATAATCAAATTACTATGAATGGGAGTGAACAGTTTAATGTATCTCATAAGGCTGAGTCAGCATCTCCCACTAATAAAGAATTAGGGTGTAGAAGAACCTTTGCTTTCAGCATTCATATCCAATATGAAGGCAAAGCTGAGAAACAAGGTGTTTGTTCCCAGGCTCTGTGCTGTATATTCTGTTACCTGGTTTGTCTTCCAACGTGAAAGAAAACAATCCAGATGTATCTGACATGGCTGTGATCGGGACATGCCACCAAAGACTAAACAGGCAGAAAAAACAGACAAACAACCAATTAGTTCAGTAAATTATCATTCAGCTCCTATACAATGAGGAATGAAGAGTCAAACTAACAATCCAAAAGGAGGAATTTTAGTAAAAGGTGACAAGGGCACAGTGATCTGTGAGTGTGAAATCTAATCTGCGTCCAGAGCTGTTATGGTCTGGATATGGCTGGAGCAACTTAAAACCATGTCAGGTTAAATTATTGTGCAACTCACCATAGCAGTGTCATGGAGCACATAGTTACAAAACATTGTTTCAAAACACTCCGCATGGCCAAAGGTAAAATCTACTGTAATCATCTGCAGTGGTTTCATGCATGCCTGACAGAGAAATACTTGGTTAACAAAGTGGCATTACGCAAAAACAATAACTGTATTTTGCAAACCGAAACAGACACAAGAAACTCTCATGAAGTGATCACAATGTATATCTGGAGGACAAATTTATGATCCAACTTTGGCCTTAGGAAAGATAGCGAAGGTAAGCAATCTCCTGCAACCCTAGCCCGAGTCACATTCACACTCAAGATGTAAAGTTCCAATGAATACTGAGGGAGGAAGTCGTCACCAGAGGTTGCCATAATGTGTTTGCAATAACGAGAAAATACATTACAACAGCATTATTTTATGACAGTATTGTAATATTGTGACCCTATAAAGTTGTTTGCCACAACATTCATTTTCTGTTTCTGTTTCTGTCCACCTGATGAGTGCAAGTCCAATATTAATTCTCCTTTTGGCTCTGTTTTGTTCTCCATCAACTTCATTCCATTGTTGTTGTGATTTCCATTAATGCCAAAGATGTAAATTAATTTGTTCATACATACTGATTCTCACTCAATAGTTGATACTTTTCAATAAAATAAACAAATTAAAAATCTTCAGAGAAAGTCAACTGATCTACAATTTTGTTATCTGGAACATATAAATGTCCTTGATTCCTTGATAAGTGTAAATTAATGTAATTACAAAATCTATAGCTACTGAGCCCCATTGACTATTATCTTAACTGGATTGGTATGATCAGTAGCCTACTGTATTATCATTGTCCTCAGCTTTAACCAAACTGAAAACTATGTACACTGAAGCAATCTCCATTTAGCACATACTTAGATTCAGAAGAGTCATTGAACAGGAAGTGCTTCTGGTAGATTCCTCCATCAGTAGTGTTGATGGTGATGACAGGATAGCCAATTTGAGTAGTCCAGGGTTTCATTATCAGGGCCACCTTGGTGTGACCGCTATCCTCATCTACGGCCTGCAAACATGGCACAGATCAGTTAATATTTTATGATACGAATACCATCATTATCAATCATCATCAATTAGTATTGACAGTAAGACATGCTTAATCTCAGCAACAAGACTTTTTGACTTTACTTTACCATTTGTATATAATCCCAGAGGTCGTTCTGGTCAGTGTTTGCATACTTAAAGTCAGACAGGTACATCTAAAACATAAAAACAGAGAGAACAAGAAAGAGAAGTTATAATTAACACAGTTTCATCCTGCGTTTGCCTTTATATTAGCTAGATAAAAATGTGCAAATAAATGAATGTTTGGCTGAAAAGTGGTTTTCTGGGTTTTTTTTCTGGACTGTCACACTGAACAGCAATGACGGACGAGGTGTTTCTCAACCCTTCATCTGCCTGCTCCCTTAGAGATTCTGATTACTCTCACCCACAACAGTATAATCCTTTAGTAATCTGTCTGCTCCCCACTGGGAAAATATGACACCCTTATTGATTTTGCGTACGCAGTGGAAACTACAAGTGGACAAAAAGCATGGTTTGTGAACCTGTTTCCCATTGTCTTTTCCCATTGCAGCAGACATAAACCAGATGTTGGAAAGTTAGACTTCAGGACAGCAGTGATGGTGTTATTGTCAACAGATAAGATTTGGATATATGATGGGAATGTTGTTTACTGAAGTTCAAATAAACTTAACCGACTTCATGACCAGGGCCGGAGCCAGACGTTGTAAACATTTGGGCCTTATTCCAAACCTAGGGTGTCTTGGGGAGATTTTTTTCTCCATTTACGGCAGCTATATGCACTATTTCTCAAGCCATTTGACATAATAGAATGCCTAATTTCTGTACACGATTAGGGAAAAACATGATCGTTATCCAGAAAAGATCCCTCCAGTAGAACCTATTTAATATCTAATTGTTCTCCAACTGTCTTCATCATTCTGTAACCAACGCACAACAAATGTTGAGGATCATTTTTCACTACTTCCACCTAAAAAGAGGCAAAAATAGTCGAGGTTGACTCCTCATGAAAAACTTTATTATGTCCATAGTCCATTAGATAGTTAGTTATCTAGCTTACTCCCTTGCTCACTGAATGAAACATGACACACACAAGACAACAACCCCCCATGACAATGTTAGGGCGGACAGTAATAGGACTTTGGCTCAATTGATTTTCCAGTCCAGTCAGAGAGACTAAGGGGAAATTACAGTAATTTTAAGTTATTTTAAAAACCTAAAAGATTAGGAGCTTTTGAGCAAAAATTTGGGGCTGGAGCCCCAGGGGCTGCCCCCCACTGTCAGTTAGCATTTACTGTCCATTAGTACGCTCTGTAACATAGTTTGTCAAGAATTGTATTTGTACCACATGCCTCATTACTGTCTACAAACCATTCCCCGATTGTGAATCAACTCGGACAGAAGAGGGTAAAATAAAAGTGGATGGTTCTTTTGGATTCTCTGAACCTAAAGAGTCAGCACGGCTGAGGGCTTTTTTTGGTCAACTAGGCAATACACTATGTCAAAGTTCGACTTGACAAAAATAATTTGTGGGGATTTCTTGTGTAACCATACCTTACAACAGTTTCAACAAAATCTCAACATTCTAACAATTTTGCAAGCCTGTTGTAATAGACTGCATTAACTCCGGCTAGGTATACCCTATCAACAAGACGGTGAGTTGGATAGAGTATATGACAACAAACACAAATACAAGTATTGCACCAAAGCTAAATGAGACATTTTCTTTCCAGGGTGAAAAACATACTGCTAAACTACTAAAAGTACTGCTGCTTCAACTATGAACAAAAATCCCTTTTTCAGAACCAATCAATACGCTTTGTTTGGCTCACCAAAGACCCCACATGTTCTAAAGAACCTGTAGCTACATATTGTGTGTACATGTGACCTTTACTAGTAGTCCTTTACTTTGTTTGTTGATTGTAGTTTGCTTTTTCCAAATCTTTGGTTTAAGGAAGTCAACCAGGCATGCACAATATTATAAGAGGGTTATGTTGAATTTGAAGCAGGCATTTTTGATTTTCCATACCCCCAATTAAAGCATCAAATTAGACAAAGTTGCTGCGGAAGTTGGCTTCCCCACCCATGTTGTAAGTCATGTCATGTGGCAAGGCATGAAATTACCAAAAGGGTTCATCTTCTCAGAAAAAACAAAAACATTGCCTGGACTCTGGATTTGGTCTGCGTGATAGAGGCCCCTTTTGGTGTTGAGTCTTGACTAAAGGACAATCAAATCAATTACAGTGTGATTTGAGGGCAAATTGGGTGTAACAACCTTTAATCTTGAACCTCAAAGACAGTCTGCAGGGCCTGCCAGAAGCTTTTATGAGGATTAAAACATTTTAGCACATCTGAATGAGGTTAAAAGTTATTGCTTACTTTGATCCCTTTTTGGAAAACCTTTTCTCCCACGACATCTTCCAGCATTCTCAGCACAATTGCTCCCTACAGAGTGAAGACCAAATAGACGTGAATGTTAATATTAATAGTATACTGATATGGGTGACCTGCAAATAAAACAGAAAGAAGAGTGTGTGCGCATCTGTGTTGCACACCCTCGCTGTGGTCATGAGGCATAATGTGTATTCATTACTAGAATCTCTACCTTACTGTAGGTTATGGCATCAAACATCTCAATGATCTGATAAGTCTCCTGGACATCTTCCTGCGGAGGACTGAGAGGATGGGATGAGGCCAGAGAGTCCTCCTCAAACGCTGTATGGAGGTCTCTCATCACAAATGTGTCTCTCTGAGGAAAACAAATAGAGCCCACAGGTTGCATGATGCAGGCTGCATGAAGGTATGAAGGAGATTTTGCTCTGCCTGTTTGCACCAAGCTGTCTTTTCATGTGTGTGTTTCAATGTCAGTGATTGCCACAAGTTGGTCACGTCCGTAAAGATGACTGAATTTCTCACCGCTTTAAATGAAGGATCAATGTGGTCCACTGCAAAGTATGACATGTAGGAGGCGAAGCCCTCATTTAGCCAAACTTCGTTCCACCATTTCATTGTCACCAGATTTCCAAACCACTGTTAACAAAAAGAGAAGATGTGAAAACAGTCGGTGCCTTGATCTGTAATTAAAATGTATCTCATATCATTTGGTTGTTTTTATTAGGGATAGCACACAAAGACTTTTTTCCCTCTAACCTGGTGTGCCAGTTCATGTGAAATGAGAGTGGCGATCACTTCCTTGTGCAACAGTGAGGACACTCCTTCCTCATAGAGCAGGCCTCCCTCCTGGTATGTGATCAGTCCCCAGTTTTCCATTGCTGCAGGACTTAAGTCTGGCAGTGCAATTTGATCTGGAGGATTCATATAGATATGGACAAATGATCAAATTATATAAATAAAATAGCTTAGCCAGAAGTACGTTATAGTGTCCAAGAGTACCCAGTAGGTTTTTCTCAGAAGAGCAGAGCTGTTTTAGAGGTAGGACTGTTGTTATTGACCGAAGCTGATTATTAAACCTGAGCGTATGCCTATAATTGCATAGGCTAATTAAAACAGTATTTTGAATATAGCTTTACATAAAATGACAGAATAAAGTATTTAAATAAATACTAAATAATATAATAAAATAATAGCGCTGTGTATCGGCAAGAATCTGGCGATACAAAACGTATCACGATACAGGGGTTACAATTCAATATATCGTAATATATTGCGATACTGTAAGCAAGTCATTACATTGTGATTTAATAAAATAAATTATTACAAGATTATTATTGTTATATTGTTTCATATAAATTTTTACAACCCCTTCATGTACAACTAAAATGAAAACACAATTGTACTTTTAAAAATGTATTTAGTTTGGCGTAAATTAATGGCAAAGGTCCAAGGTGCCCACAAATGTGTGTAAAAGGTTTAGGGTCTTTATTTTGTGTTTGGCTGCGAACAACAAAGATGATATAAAACAAGGGAAATGTATAGAAACTGCTGTAACAAATTCCTGAAAAACTATTTTGCCTGCTATTTGTTTAGTTTTTCAAAAGGTTTCACTTATATCAAGCTAGTATTTAACTATCTTTAGATATCCAGTAGCTTATCCCTAGTGTAACTGGGAATCTACAGTAGAAGTCTACATGTCTTTCATGTTTTATTGTTTTATTAAAGCTGTCAAATTTAAATATATTTAGTGTAAAAGTAAAGGAATCAGCCGTGTTTGTACAAAATGTTACAACAAATTTGACCCTAGTAATCAAAATGATACTAGCATTATATATAAAACGATGTAGAACTGGGACAGAGTATATGCTCTAGCTAGCCATACTTTACCAGTAGTTCTCAAGCTGTACAGTAAGCTGTTAGCCTGCTGACCTTCCAAAATGTGAAATGTCATCATCATAACAAAAAAAATACATGTCTTTTGAAAGTGACAATGACATATTTTACCTTCATCTTTCAATGTGTCAGTACAGCCATACTGTATCTCAAAGTCTTACCAAGTGTTTTCTGTTGGTAATTAATCTCAAAATAATTCTCATAGAACTGGAGAATCTTTCCAGTGATGCTGGCAGCGTAGTGAGTGTGTCCTGCTGCAGCGGCCTCAGGACGGGCAAACGTCTGTATGAGCAAAACACAGAGGTCAGATAAAGCACAGAAGATATTGTCCTACATATTTTTGTTACATTTCCTTAAACTTCCATAAAACCGGGGATGGGAAATATGGAATGTTAAATACATCAAAAAAGAAGGAAACGTGAAAATGATTCAGTTATTGGATTGAAGATCTGGTGCTGAATGGTATTTTGATATGGAATTGAAATCAAACCAAAACCATTAGCAGTTATTTTTGCCAGTAAACTTAAATTAGCTAAAATTACAGTCAACTACCCAAGGTCAACACCATGCCAAAAACAATTACATGAAATTCATGTTGAATCTACTGGAGTACACATACTTCAATTGTCACACGCTCATGTGTGGAGGGGGTTGGTTTGAACTCTGAAACCGTGAAGGCTACCAAGTAGGTTGACATCTTCGGTGTTGGATGAAAACTAGTGTACTGCCAGTCTTCGTCGATAATATTGGAGGCTGACAAAGTGGAAACAAAGCACAACAGTATAAGGAAGGATATGTTTTATTCTGTTATTACTGTTTATCTTTTATTGCTATGTGACCAGAAACGTAATAAACACTAAACACTGCCTCAGAAGCCAGGGACAGATACAGTAACAGCTGTTTATTTTTTTACCTGACTGTTGCTCATTTCCGAGAGCTTTTGTGAATCGCCTGTGGATGATGGTCACATAAAACACAGCCTTCATTTCTGGCTCATCGAAACAAGGAAACACTCTCCTGGCGTCTGTTGGTTCCATATTAGTAGCGACAAGGAACCTATGCATACAGATAAAGATAGTCAGCCTTTCATTATCATAAAACGAACAGATCCATCCAAAGTCCTGCCGCTTCTTGGTCTGTTCTCTAATAACAGTTGAACAAGACTCGGTCAACATTCCCCTTTCCTGTACTTAGATCAGTCTAACACGTCACCATTTTTCTCAGTAAATATATTTCTAAAGGTGCAATTGACATGACATATTCACCAGATGTCCAAAAAATCAAACCATAGATGTCCATCAATTAAGTTATGTGTAATAATGTGAAATGACACAGAGAAAAAGTATTGAACAAATGACGAAAGGGGGGCGCAAAAAGGCCTGGAAAGCCAAGACACCAGCTGAAATCTATCAGTAATTAGAGAACAATCCTGCCACTTGTCAGCGCAAATTAATATCAGCTGGTTCAGTCCCAACTGATGGCCTATAAAAAGCTGTCTCATCACCAAGGTGTCACACAAGAACCATCTCATGATGGGTAAAACCAAGACCGTCAAGACCTTCGCAACCTTATTGTTGCAAAAAATACTGATGGCATTGGTTACAGAAGGATTTCTAAACTTCGGAATGTTCCAGTGAGCATTGTTGGGGTCATAATCAGGTAGTGGAAAGAACATCATTTCACCATAAACCAGCCATGACTAGGTTCTTCTAGCAAGATTTCTGACAGAGGAGTGAAAAGAATTATCAGACGAGTTGTCCAAGAGCCAAGGACCCCACTTGTGGAGAGCTTCAGAAAGACCTGGAATCAGCAGGTACAATTGTTTCAAAGAAAACAAAAAGTAATGCACTCAACCGCCATGGCCTCTATGCACGCTCACCGAGCAAGACTCCAATGCTGAAGAAAAAAAGCATGTTGAAGCGTGTTTAAAGTTTGCTGCAAAACATTTAGACAAGCCTGTGATATTCTGGGAGAATATAGTCTGGTCAGATGAGACACAAATTCAACCCTTTGGATGCCATAATACACAGCATGTTTGGAGGTCAAATGGCACTGCACATCACCCCAAAAACACCATACCAACAGTGAAGTTTGGAGGTGGGAACATCATGGTGTGGGGCTGTTTTTCAGCATACGGCACTGGCAAACTTCATATAATTGAAGGAAGGATGAATGGAAAAATGTACCAAGACATTTGTGATCACATTGAGTGATCCGCCTGTTAACAATACTGAGAGATGCAGACTTTACTACCAAATCAACTGTAACTCACTTAATTCTGAACCGATTTTCATGGAATTTGGTTTATTATAAATGTGAGAAATTTAACCTGAAGGTATGAATTCAGTTACTAGGGGCAGATCTAATCAGCTTTATGCCAAAAACAGTCAAGGGTCACCTTGGAAAAATGCTGCAGGCCACTCAAAACAGCCACTGACAACCAAGAAACAGCCACTACTAGTCAGACCAACACTTTGGCCAAAACACAGAATGAAAACAATGAATACATGTGTAGTAGTGTGTATGAGTTACTGTTTAACCAGGAAACTGGCAAGTAAAATTTGTGTGTGTGTGTGTGTGTGTGTGTGTGTGTGTGTGTGTGTGTGTGTGTGTGTGTGTGTGTGTGTGTGTGTGTGTGTGTGTGTGTGTGGGGGAAGAATTCACCTATATTGAATTATGTTTTCCTGTAGACAAACTTCACATTTCACAAAAACAAGCAACCAGGTGGCTTTATAACAATATAATATATACAGAAATCTACTTTTTTATAGAAACTGAACTCAAAGTTAAAACTCTAAATAACTGGGCCTGCATGTCCCAGTGAGAGTTGTGGTTATTCAGAAGGTTAATGTTTTTGCATAGAGCTCTTTAGATCTGCCCCCACAAACTGAATTCATTCCTAGTAACCAGTATCAGGTTCAAGTTCTCATATTTATAACAAACCAAATTTCATGAAAATTGGTTCAGAATTAAGCGAGTTACAGTCGATTTTGTCTGCATCTCTCAGTATTGTTAAAGGGCAGATTTTGACCAGACGCAGAGCAGCAGCTGTGTATTTTATATCTATGATAAAGAACCCATTACAAATTACTTGATGAGTATAAATAAAATAAATAATGTGCTTTTGTGTCTTTTCGGAAACAGGTCATTTTGTGTCCACAAAGTGTGTAACACACATACAGATAGTAAACTGCGTATTTGGGACACACAATAGAAAACGTAAACCAGCTTTGGTCTCTGACTGAAATTAATGTGTAAAAACAGCAAGGAGAATATATGAGTGGTGACTAGAGGGTTATCCTGCTTCCAGTAGGTCTAACAGAGTATAAATAGTGTGACAAACAGAGTGTGTGTTGACCCACACTTGCACAGTATGTGTGTAAGCACATGTCTCCACTCAGTAATTTCATACTGTGTTTGGGTTCTTTTACCCCATGGGCATGGAAATGGATCAATTACAGTAATTAGACAAGACAATGGACTAAACCATGAAACTGTCCAATTCCTTTGAATACATTTGTCTTTTTCTCCTTTTGTTAATCTAGAACACAGTCCAGCTGATAAATGAGCTCCTACAAACAACAGCCCACTGTGTTTTTTTAAGACCACAAAGACATCTGCATTGTTTTTTTATTTTGGTTTTGGTACAAGACTTAACAGACACCAATCCAGATGTGTTTTTGTATTATCTCAGAAATCCAACTGACCAAGTCAAAAGATGTCTAAGGCTGGACTCATCTCTTTGTGACTTCTATGTTAATGATTAGTCTGTGTCACTACACAAATGTTGAATAAAAGTTGTAATTAGTTTTTTTACAGTGCAAAATGTCTCAATGTTTCTTTTTGTACATACAGAATATGTGACTGGGGGGTTTGGAGGCTTTGGAGTTACTTACGGGCACTTAGACGAAGTTGGGCTGTAGACTAAGGAAAGTAATGTGACAAGTAATGTAACTGATTACTGTTTTTGTTGAGTAATTACTAAATAAACACAATTACTTTATCAATAAGTAATGTGTAATGCGTAATTGATTGCATTATGAAAGTAACTGGATGTCAGATGACAATGATTAATATAATTTATTTTTGACCGGAGTCAATACACTGTACGTTCTTTCAGTTTCCATCTGAATTTGACTTGCAGCATTGCTAGAGAGCGCTACAAGTGGATTCATCTATGGAATAACTTGAGCCTTTTTTCATCTGTGTGCCATGAAGAGCCGTCAAGGGTCAATAATGGTTCTAATTTGGTGCCTTTTAATGGTTTTCTGGGGAAACACTGCCAGGATTGTTTTACTTCTCTACAAATAAAAATATATACCCTCAGAATACTTTGAAAGGTGCTATAATCACAAATTATACACACAGAAACGTTTAGGTTTTTGTTACTTACCTCTCTGTATTCGTATCACCTTCAAATTCTGGTTCCCCTTCTTGGTATGTGCTTACAAACAGCGCGTCAAGATTTTCTGATATTTCTCCTTTGAAATCCAGAGACAAACTGTAGTTTCCCCCTGCCTCCAGTGCCTCTTTCAGCTGAATCTCGAGAAAGTCACTTTCGTCTTCGTGGTGTTTCATTGCTGAAACCTCTATGTTATTATTGTTTTCTGTGTCTATCACCTTTGGTTTAGAAACGGCCAGGTCCTTGCTGTTGAGGTAGATGGTTCTAGTCGTCTGGGCGCAGTGAAAGTTAACAGTAGAGTTCCCTGTGAAGAGCATCGTCTGGTTGGGACTGGTGACATTTACCTCCTCGATGATTCGTGTGTAGAAGTGAGGCTTCAGAAAGACCGTGTATGTTTCGGGTATGAGATTCTTCGGCAGCCGCATGACGGGTGGCGGTCCTGTGGTGGTGGTCGAGAAGGTTGGACGGGGCGTCGGGTTCATTGAAGAGATCTGAGTATTGTACAGAATGACCATGGTGACAATGCCAGCGATGACAGAGCCGGTCAGGATCATAAAGGCAGAGGCGATGGCCTTGGATGTGAAAGACGACTTGGCCATGGTGGCTGGTTCCTATGGTCAGCCCTGAAGGTCCCGTTGCTTGACTCGTAGAGATGAGTCTGACGAGTCCCTTAGCTTGTATTCCTGTCTTCTGCAGTGACTGATCAGAAAGTAACCTCCCTCCCATAAACAGGGCTCAGCCTTAGCAATTAAGGGTCTGCAATTGGATTAAGCATTAACTTGGACACTGCTGAAGGAGCAAAGAGTAAGCGTAGTGTGAAGAGGGCGGTGTTCATTGGCCTTGTTGTAAATAATCATATTGTGCTCTCAAACATCTGGAGGTGGTTACTGTGGTCTTGCCACTAATGCAAGGGTTAGGTAAACCTCACGGAACACTTTATCCTTACCCTGCACTGTCCAACCCATCACACCCAGACGCACTCTCACTCACATTCCCTTTCTGTGAACATAGCACACACTGCCCATCACAATCACAAGCCTCACTGGACAAAAAAGCCGGTGAAGAAAATCCTTAAGGAGGAGAACATCAGCAGCAACAATCACTTTTGAGCGTAGGTGAAGGTGTCCAGACTTCCACGTCGCAGCGACACTTTTCCCAACTACTGCCAAACCTCAACCCAGGGGGCTTCCAAAGACGCATGTCAACACAGATCCTGTGCGATTGACAAACTCCCAACAAACGAGAAGCATATGAAGGGAGGAGTGTTCAGTGGGCTGGATAAGAGAGGGGAGGAAAAAAGAGCAAGAGAGCAGAGTGATTTTGGAAATCACTGAATTGCCTGGAAAGCCCCAACCTCAGGGAATCACGACCACCATGACCACACACACACATTCCTCGCCACAGGAGAGGAACTCAGGGAGACAAATAGGCAAATGGGAACAGTGTAGGACAAGAGGGGTCTGAAATGGGTGCGGAGGTGGTTATTTGTACTGAGAACAGATGTTCCTGTTGCGGGGTCAAGGAGATCAAACCGACCCAACCACACTGAAACACTATGTAGTGTAAGAATGAAGGAAAACCATCATCGCAGAGAGACCGTGCCAGGTGGAGGGGAGCCCGAGCGAGGCCACGTTCATGCTTCGAATTATACATGAACAAAGATTAATGAGCTGTTAGGGAGTAATGATGTTTATGACAGTTGTCAGAGCACTTTTTTGGTTTTGTGCATTTGAAAAAAACCTTACAGTAAATAAACCCCAGAAACAATTCCCTGGTGCTTACTTAAAACGATGTTGTTTGACAAAAGCTCAATAATTTTATTAAGTGAAAAAAGTGGTCAACATCACCCAGATGTTGCAACATTTGTCTAAATATCAGGGTCCTCTACTCACACAATGCGTGTGTGTTGCTTTCAGGAAGGAGAAAGCAGGAGGCAAGTTCTGGGATCGGAGCAGACGTCTGTTAAATTATTCATGTTTCTCTGCTAAACTTTACACACACACACACACACACACACACACACACACACACACACACACACACACACACACACACACACACACACACACACACACACACACACACACACACACACACACACACACACACACACACAAATGGCAAACAAATTAAGATTGAGTCCAATTCTTTATGAAGAATCCTGTGAAATATTCTACACTCATAAGTTTCATCATCATATCATTCATATCATCACACATACATCGATGTGTTCCAAAGAGGACAAATACCCTCCATCACACATCTGCTACTCGTAACACAAGTACTGGAGTGAAATGGTGTTACACTAGTGCGTATGTAAACACAACTTGATGTAGTAAGACATTTGGGAGAGAGATCTGATGGCCAAAGCTTTGAAAATAGGGACCTCTACTGATTAGGAGAGTAACTGCAAAAGCACTGATTTCATTCCTCAGCTGTCAGGAGCACAAACGGTTGAGGCTCATGGTAGAAAGGAATGCAAAGAAAACCTCACATACATAAGAAATACATGGAATCATACGGAATCCGTGATCACAAACTGACACTTTTCCCGTGTATGAAACAGCTGGAATTTGGTCACTTGGTTGCTGCAGTGATTGGAGCAGCAATAACCTTCCATGACAGCAATGGAAATGTACAGAAGCCCTGAGAGGGCAAGTGAAACCCAAAACATTCTGATGATCCATTTTACAAGTCTGTTTTTTAAGTTATAATTGTTTTGTTTATAACTTAAGAACAGGTGAAAAAGGTTTTGCGATGATAATCTTTCCTAATTTTCTAAATTTCTGTTTGTTCTTTATCTGTGAAAAACCTGCCAGTAATAGATCATTTGAAAAAGGTTTAGACAGGTAAATAAAAATTGGTAAGTGAATTTTTGTAATACTCATTGGATCACCAGAATGTTTCTTCTTACTTGTCTCTCAAAGCTTCCATAGAATGTGCAAAAAGTTTCCAAATATCACAAGTTGAGGAATTCCTACATTAAGACAGGCAGATTAAATGCTTTTAAAACCTCATAAAATCCTTACATTGTCCGCTTTAGGAGAACCACACACACAATGACTTCATACACATTAACAATAAAATAAAAAGGAGTAGTCAAGAAAAAAAAATGTTGGGTACAAACTGGTCCAGCACTGAAATGAACTCTCGGTCAGCTGTGCTGCATTCCTGACAGGTTGTGATTAGAATTACACCATCTTAATACTGCCAGTCTGAGTGTGTCAAGTATTCAGCAGCCAAGTCAGAGTGGCTATTCAGAACCAGCCTGGGGCTCAGGTCATTTAAAGTGAGACTGTCTACAGCAGTGGTTCCCAACCGCTTTCCTAAAGACCCCTTTTTCTATCACTGAGTAAACTGACTCAGGGACATATTTTATGGATATTTCATATTATATTTAAACTGTACAATGAACTCAAACAGTGAACTCAGTAACTGCAGGAAGTCTGTGTAAAAAGAGGGTTTTGGATGAATTTTGAACAGATTATTTCCTGTTTAGAGAACTTTTTATACACTTCTCTGTCTGTATTGAGTATTTTTCATATTTTTGAGTCATACAGACAAATTCAGAGTTTTCTTGTCCCTGACTCTTGGTCATTGTTCTAGTAGATTATTTATTTTACATTTTCTTCATAGAAGTGAACCAAAGCTGAGATATAGGCCTACTGTGTGTAATTCTTAAGTTTTCTACCACAACTTAAAATCTAGATGGCCTCGCGACCCCGTGAAGCTTTGGCGATCCCCAGGTTGGGAACCACTGGTCTAGAGGACTTGATCCTGCTGACTCAGTATCAGCACCCATCCATTTTGAGACACTTTTAGGTCCTGTACTGGTCCTGTCTTTACTTTCCGCAGATCATTTGAATTACGTCGTGTTACTAACATTCAAATGTTTTATTTAGAATACAGTTAATGAATGTATTTGACGAGCATATGATCGGTTTAAATTCAGTTTCGCACAGCTGGTCTCATCTGCTGTTTGGTCAGTTTTCCAGTAAAAGGCTTTTCCCTACAGCCTTGCCATTCAAATGGAAGCAGTAGATGACTGTCTCTGAGGATAAATGCAACTGAATTCAACCAAAATGATAACAATGGTTACATTTACAATACAGTACATGTCAGTTTTCTACAACTGAGAAAGCATTATACTTGGCGCTCTGATACTGAGAATAAAGTATTTTGAGAATAGAAGCGTAGTATTTTAGAGTAAATTTGAAATATTTCGCTATATTTTAACACTCTGACCGGGCTGACTCACAATAATACGACTAATTGTTAAAATAACGACTTGTCTCTCATTACATAGCAAAAATTTAAAAAATAAATTCAGGACTTTATTCTTGAAAGGCAAGAGCTCCTTCTCATTCTTCTTTTTTTCAGAGCATTTCAACTTGTTTTCACTAAATGTTTCAGGGCTTTCTTCTTGACAACTTTTTCTTGAAAATACGACTTCTTCTTCTTTAACAGCAGCCCTCGTGCTCGTCAGCTTTGTCTTTGAAGAGGCTGAGTTTAAAAGGCATTCTCCACAACTCTAAGTGGCCATTACACTGTCATCTAGTCTTGTTTTCTCCACACATGGGCCATGCACACTCGGCTCAGGTAGAGTTGTACTTAGTGTTCCAACAACATGCAGTCCTTTGATTTCACTTCAAGTCTCAGTTTTATCTGCAAATATGTGCAAATATGTGTCCCTCTGAGTACAGTCATTCAAATCGGGATAGAAATGGTGTGTGTAGAAGCAGTATACTGCCTTCTACCAACCAATGGCCAGCTATGGAATGTTCTTCCTTTAATGTCACACATCTGGCTACCACAGCCAGCTGTCTAGATGCTGAACACAGTAACAGGACTGTTCCAGGATGGCAGACAGCTCTCCATAGCTCTCCTCCCTCCACGTGGGGAGTAGCCTCTCATTATTGAGGGCTTGGAGCTTTGGCGTCCCCTCCCGGAGGACGTGGTACAGGCAGGGCCACCGGCTCTGGATCCTCAGCCTGGTCCTCCGGTCCAGTGTGATGCCGCGGACGATCTTCTTGGCTCGAAGCTCACGCAAGGCGGGCAGCTTCAGGCAGGAGAAGACCAAGCCCCGGCTGGGCGACACGTCCAGGAACTCCAGAGCTTGAGACTCCAGAGTGTACGAGATGCCCAGGTTCCTCAGCGGGACCAGGATGTGTAAAGTCAGAGACTTGAGGTTAGGCAGGGATTTGGTTAGGGTCTGCAGAGTCGAGGGGGTCACTCCTTTAAAGACCCAGAAGTATTTGAGCTCGAGGACTCGGAGCTGCTGGAACTGGGTGAGCAGCGACACGGAGACATCCGACCAGTCGAAGTGTAACCGCATCTTGGAGATGCGCGGACAGCTGTGGGTGAGTTTGGTCAGCAGCTCCTGGAAACTGGTCACCTGTCAAAATAATGCATTTGATAATCAACCGGTAGCAATAGTGGGGAAAACAGTAACATTAGCCAAGTGTCAGTGTCATCTTTGCCTGATAATGACTCTAAATCATTATAAAAATTGCTATTGATTATTCTATATATATAATATTACTTATTGCTTTTATGTCCACCCCCCTTGTGTGTATGCAGTACAGGAGGAGGAGGAACAGGTAAATACTGCACACTGCAGGCTGGTTTTATGTAAAAAATGATTTGCTCGTATTGGTAGCAGGTCTCATCATTTCTTCACACAAGAGGTGATAAGCTAATCCTTCCAAATGGAAGTGGATACACAGTTTGGGATTAAGAAGCAGGGTGATAAACTGTGTGTGTGTGTGTGTGTGTGTGTGAGAGAATCTGTCTGGTGCAGCTTTCATCTGAGTTACCTGGTCCATCTTTGTAATGCTGTCCTGGTGCGAACTGGAGCTGGAGTGCACCCTGAGGTCCAGCGGCTCCAGGAGAGTAAAGGTCCAGTTAAGGTCCAGGTGGCTGAGGTCTCTGCAGTGGACGTTATCCAGCAGGTGACTCAGCAGCTCGCCCCACTTGTTGAAGCGATCCCCCAGGTCGAAGCTGGCCTTCAGCGTGAGCAGGCTGGCCCTGCGGGAGATGAGGTGGTGGGTGTAATGGTGCACCCAGGATTTCCACCTCTCGAACTCGCGGTTGGAAACGAGCAGCCCCTCCTGACCCAGGTGGAAGACGCCGCGGCGGGAATAGTCCGCCACCCGCCACAGCTTCCAGGAGCGGACGATGCAGCTCCAGCTCAGGCAGACCAGAGCGCAGCTGCATTTATCCACCTCGTTCAGGAAGGACAGGACGTGCAGCTGGCACTCCACCGGCAGGAAGTTGAAAGGAAAGTAGTCGTCCACGGTTTTCCGCCGGCTGCTTACAGGGACCAGGGGCTTTTTTCGTGGTGACATGACGGTTGAGGAAATGATATTGGTCGTCATTGGCAGAGTTCAGAATCTCCACCGGGTGGTCTTGTGGTCTGGCTTTGCCATAAATATCTCTCTCCTGGTGACGTACTGAAGATAAAGAAAGTAAACAAAGAGAAATGCATTTAAGATGTTGACCTTTTTTTTTTTTTTTCAATTTTCAAATTTTAGTCAAGACAAACTGTATTTATATAGCCCAAAATCACAATTTTCCTCAGGGGGCTTAACAATCTCTACAACATTCAAAACCCAATGTCCTTAGACTGACTAAATTTGGGTAAGGAAGAAGTGGAACTGGATAAAAGGAAAAAGTGGAAGAAAGCTCAGGAAGGGCTGCAGAGGAGGGATTCCTCTCCCAGGACATTCAATAGACAATGAGCACAGAACAAACCAACACAATCACATTATATACAAACACTGAAGACACAAGCTTCCAACTCAAAGGGTCTTTCTATCTCTCTCGGCTCTGACTGGTTCTTTTCCTCCGGGCCCAGTGGATTAGTATAAATCCCATTAGGAGCTCTAGGAGGAACCAGAGGAACCAGAGGAACCAGATTGTTCACACATTATCTGTCTCATGTTCTACTGTCAGGATGTAGAGAACGTTTCAGTGAATGTGACAGAAGCAGAGATTTTCATAAAGGTTCCCTACTGCAGCTTTTAGTGGTTATTTCTAACGAACAGGGACGGTAACCGAGCTTTCCTCGGGAGCTGTAGCGTTAGCACCCCTGCCCCTGTTTAAAACAACGTCATGTGATCACCGGGCTCACTTTTATCGCCGTGTTGAATCCGTTCCATCCGGTGACACGTCGCTTTGTAACATGACTCGAGGCCCTTCAGCGGCTCCGTTATCTTCCAGCTTCTGACAAACGACAGGGACACACTCAAAGACTTGTCCCCGTACGGGCTCCAGTGGGGACGGTGTGATTGTTCGGTGTCGGTCCCCGTCCTCACTTTCTAAGCTAACCTGCTAGAAGCTAGCAGAGAGCAGAGGAGTTTAAAGTGGAACGTCACTGCTCAGCGTCGTTGTCTCTCACATATATCCGAACCTATCCGCTCCTGTGAGGACACCGACACAAGGCCGAGCTGCTGAAAGCTGTGAAGAGCAGTATTCAGTAAGTAGGCCGGCTAGCAGCCGAACAGCTGAGCTATGTTGTTGTTGTTTTTGTTGGGGCTCGTTGGTGATGACGTCATCAAAATGCGTTCGGTTGCACGTTTTTCACGGCGGCGTTGCGCGGGTCGAGCGGAGCTTAATGTTTGAAAAGAAGACATTGAGGAGAATGGCTGGGCCGGTAAACCCTCTCTAATTAATGGTCCTGGTTACTCAAAAAAAGTTTATATTTATCATATTCAACCCCAAAGTGTTTTTAAAGGAAGAAATAATTTAATAAATGTATGTATTCATTCATCTGTCTATCTCTGTGTTCATTAATGTATGTATATTATCACTCAAAGTATCCTGCACTTTGTTCTGAATGCAATGCAAATGTTAAATGTTAATAAACTACCTAGAACACTGAAAGGATTGTATCCTGTCCCCACCCTCTAACACTTCACAATGAATCCTTCAGAAATCTTATTTTATATATATATATATATATATATATTTATCAAGCAGAAATGTTAACATGTTAAACACACATTTTGGTCACTCGGTCCTGTTTAGGGCCATATGTGGAAAAGTCCAAGAGTCCTGATTTTTAAGTAAAACTTCTCACTTTAAACTCAGAATTTCAAATACATTTTTCACATGTGGCCCAAATCCTCTTCCACACCCTGACATACTACCCCCTCTGAAAATGTGGATATGGGAGAGCCAAAGGTAACTTCTTTCACTCTATTTTCTGTATTTTTGAACACAATGTTTTTTAACATAGATCATTATTAAATATTTATGCTGTGTATAATGTATGCATACACTGTCATATCCACCTATCATGTACCTATATAAAGTAACCTGTAACATGAATCATTATTTATTCCAGCCTTCTTACAACATTGTATTCTTGGTTACAGAAACAGAAACAGACTGACTTGTATATAGAAAGTGTATGTTGTTGTTGATTAATAAACTTTTTATTTATAGTTTTTTTTTACTTATTTGTATGTTCATAATAGTTTATGTACATGTATTAAATGATTGTGATCAGAAGCATTCTCTGTTTGTTGCATTATTTGAGGAGACTGTATAGCTGTTTCATGCATTGTAATTTCTAACCATCTTCATTTATTGATATGCACTTTACATGTTTTTGAACAATGACTTTGCTCCCTGTGTTGTTTTAATGCTATTACGTTCCTATTTTCCACCAGTAGATGGCACTCTGACTATACAAAAAGCACAGGCTTGGTGGATGCAGGTTGACTCCCTTGAAGTTGCATCCTCCTCTGGCATCCTCTTACACCGCTGACTGTAGGCTTGCCTTGAGGGAACCAATTACATGTTCAGTTCAAACAGGTCATCAGGATATGACCTCAGAGGAAACATTACTATTATTATATAAGATATTGTCCTGAAGCTTGTTCTGAAGGTGTGATGTTGAATGTCATTTTAGATCCGACTTGAAAAAAAGGCAAAATGTAGACTGAACTGATGGATGCACATTATGTTCTCTCTGTTTACTGCTACTGACTACAGGTTTAGTATGTCCCATGACCAGGTTTGGGTAGAGTTACTTTGGAATGTAGTCAGTTACTGAATACAAATTCACCAGAACCCAGCCCCACCCGCCCCCATCATCCTGTGTCACTCCACAGAGTCAACTGGGGAGTCAGTCGCTTCCTGGGTACCATCATCACCCAGGACCTTAAGTGGGAGCTGAACACCAGCTCCCTCACCAAGAAAGCCCAGCAGAGGATGTACTTCCTGCGGCAGCTGAAGAAGTTCAACCTCCCAAAGACAATGATGGTGCACTTCTACACCGCCATCATCCATCATCAAGTCCATCCTCACCTCATCCATCACCATCTGGTACACTGCTGCCACTGCCAAGGACAAGGGCAGACTGCAGCGTATCATTCGAAGAGTGAGAAGGTGATCGGCCTCCAGGACCTGTATGCCTCTAGGACCCTGAGGCGTGCAGGTAAGATTGTGGCTGACCCCTCCCATCCCGGACACAAACTCTTTGTAACACTTTGCTCTGGCAGGAGGCTGCAGTCCATCAGGACCAAAACCTCACGCCTCAAAAACAGTTTCTCTCCTTCTGCAGCTGGCCTCATTAACAAGGCCCAGACCCCCCCCCCGACACTGACTCTTATACCCACCCTGTATATGTGCGTTACATTAATGCACTCCTGTCTTCTGTACAGTTTTCTTATCTTATATTTATTTATTTATGTTTTAAAAGTACTTTATTCTTGTGTGATTTTTCTGTGATTTGTATATTTTATGCACCAATCAAACAAGACAAACTCCTCATATGTATAAAAACCTACCTGGCAATAAAACAAATGTTAATTCTGATTCTGAAATGACATGAAGATTGTTTGTAATCTGTAACCGTAATAATCCATTACAATTTTTTTTAATCTAATCTGAATACTACTGGATAACTTGAAAATCAAACACAATACTGCACCTTTGGTGGTATCTAGCAGTGAAGTTGCAGATTGCAACTAACTGAACACCGCTCGCGTCTTTTTTGACGACCTGGGAATGAAAACTGGCTGTGAAGTGCGTAGGGCCGCAAACGCCCCTATCTAGAGCCAGTGTGTGATTTGTCCCCTCTGGGCTTCTGTAGAAACATGGTGTGTAATCAATTAATCCTTGACAGGGTAACTATAATCTAATTCCACATTTTTCAAATGTAATCTGGATTTTATTTTTTGTAATTTGATTACAAATACAATTACGTAACTTATTACCTTAAAAAACTTTCAAAGTTTTGTTTTTGTTTTTCTTATTCAAATAATTAATCTTATTGTTTGTGTTCTGTCAATATCTTGGAGTATGTTTTGGGTATTTGATCAATGTATGGAAATACGTGAAGGTCATGCCACTTTCTATCTGTTTTTATGGTTTTTCTTTTATTGTTGTTTTCTGTTATGGAAAACCCAAATAAAAACCGTTAACATGAGTTATTGATTTGGTCCTGGTAACATGTAATCAGTTACTAACCAACCCTGCACATGACTTATGAGTCAATCAGTCAGGAAAGCCATGTCTCCCTTCCTGCAGTTTGTTTCTACACGGTGCCTTTCTTTTTACGGCCAGAGAAAAAAGAGGAAGTGGACAGTAAGAGGGGCCCTTTTTGTGACAGAGGGTTTAAAAAACACCCTTAAATATGTACAGTGGTGGTTCTGGTGCCAGGTTTCTATGAGTAAAGGACAGACTTCGTGGTACCACTGACATGTTGCTCCTTGCAAATTCCAACTTTTAGATTTTATAGTTGTGAACACTCTCCACCCAGACCTCTTGTGTAACAGTGTTTTGACGAGTCTTTTGTTCTACCAGCACATTCACCTGGACTCACATGACGGCACACACTCTGTGAGGCGTTTACTGACATGGTACAGAACCGCAGAGGGGGTTAACAATTGGCAATCATGTGCCATCAAGCTTCACAATATTCTTAACATGACGTATGACAGTAAGGTTTTGCACGATATGATGAATGTTTAATGCTGTGCCTCATTTATCACTAATTTCTACTAATGTTAAAAACTACAAGATATATCCGGGCTGATGCTGTAGGTCGAGGGACCTGGATGCAGACAAAATGGTTGACGTAGAGCAGACATCTTGGATCTCCACAAGAGTCTGTGAGTGTGGACACTGGGATTGGGTCGATCTCCACAGTTGACAGGAAATCACATGACCTCAGCAATGGAGGTTGGTCTTCTTTGTGTCGTTTTTTCATCCAGTCCAGTCGTTTTCAAACTTTTCTAAGGACTAAGGACCCCTAAACGTACACAATTTACCAAGGATCCTCACAAGATTTTTCCCCCTTCAAATTTTTGCTTTTAATTGTTTTATTACAGAGAGTGCATGAAACCCCTGACAAAAATGTTGACACACTGTGTAATTGTCCTTCTTATGGATGGTAATATAGTGGAAATAAATGATTCCCAAAAAGCTGAAAATCCTTGTGCTTCTACTACTACAAGTGCTTCTCTTCTGGGTGCCAGCTTGTGCAGAGCAAACAGTGAATAAATAAATAAATAAATAAATAAATAAATAAATGATTCCCCTTTTTGCTGAGGACCCCCTGGAACCCTTTCAAGGACTACTGGGGTCCCCGGACCACACTTTGAAAACCACTGGTGTGGTCCACTTTTGGCCAGAAAAGGCAAGAAGGGCATATCTGCAGTCTCACAGATTCTACAACACACCCACCTTACTCCATGCTACATGCTCACTGTAGCTAGCTTGCAGTATAACCACACTGTAAAAAAAGAAAAAGGAAGAAGTTATTTTTACGGTAATAAACTGGCAGCTGTGGTTGCCAGAACTTAACCGTAATAAATACAGTAGAACTTTTTCTACTATTATGGTAAAAGGATATTGTTGAGTTTTAATCCATATTTTAGCATATAAATACATATTAATGCTATGACGGTGGGTTTCTGTGCAATTTACAGTCTGTAATATATAAAAGAAAATACTTTATTTAGTAAAGATTCCTTTTAAATGCTATATACATAAAGAAAATGTAACCTACTTAGAGTTTACGGTCTTTTACTGTCAAGGTTTTACAGTTTTTCCACACATATGTTTTTTTTTTTACAGTGTAACCATCTGTGGTGTAGCGCCTGTCCTAATCACTGTAAATTTACACCCAACACGATGGTATCCATTTTAAACTCATTTAAAATCAGGACTCATTTACACAATATTATACCTTATATGAGGTGCAACAAAGATATATAAAAGACATTTATACATGTATAAAATAAATGTATGTAGCCTAATATGTAATATATTTTTGTTTCTTTCCCTATGGATAGCATTTTGTGAAATCAGCTTTGGACTGTATGTCCGACAGTCCGTGAAGGCACCTTAGGGTTTGTTTTGGTCCTGCGGGGATGTGTCTGCTCCAACCAATGAGCGAAGGGAAGGGGCGCGGACGTATCCTGTGACTCCGCCCTGCCTGTAAATCGGCGCGTCCCTCATACTTTATTCATTCCTTGCCAGTGAACGGACCTCGCTCGGTACCTGCTCCCGCCGCCTGACTTCACCACAAAGCTGAAACGACGCTTCGCATTTTACCAACGAATAATAAAGAAACAAACAACAACTCTCTGTCCTTCATAAATTTACCGAGAGAAAAAACATTTGCAACCAAAAACCGACATAAATCCTCCTGCGTCACAAACCAGAGGATACACATCCGCTCAGAGGGCCGTTGAGCACAGAATATTTACGTTTCATTTCTTTCTTTGAAAAACCCAAAATGAAGACCAAATTTATCAACGGGGTTTCCTCTTCCCCCTCCATGTCGCTGGGTCTGCTGGTGACCGAGAACGCCCAGCAGGTCCAGCCCAACACCGAGGAGGACTTTAAGGAGCTGGTCTGCGCCGACCAGCCCGACCTCGATACCCGGCGCAAAGCTTATCTGTGGTGCCGAGAGTTCCTCCATGGAGCCTGGAAAAGCCTGTCTGAGGAGGATTTCCACATCACCATCATAAGGTACAGTGTGTTCATTTGCTTGTTTGATGGAAAAAGGCCCAGTTGGGTTGAAGCTAGTGGAATAAGGCTGCTATTACACTGCCAGTCTCATGATAAGAACTGGTAAAAAAAAAAAAAAAAAATCCGCAGTATTGTTCTTAAGATGATGTCACCATAGGAAAAATATGGAGAGTCGTCATAGTCAGGCCATCATTAACTCTCAGCACCTGCTGACCTAACTTCAAATATTAATGTGTTTTCCAATTCAGGCAGACAGTGAGTGTTTCTGTTCCAGGCTGGATGCTCTTTATTTAAGTCCTTATTGATCCAAATAGGCTCCTTTTCAAATGAAAGCTGCAGTAGCTGATATTTATACACTTTTTTGTCATATTCACTGAAACTTTCACTATATCCTGACAGTAGAGCATGACACAGATAATCTGTGAAACAATCAGGTTCCTCTGGCTCCTCCTAGAGCTCCTAATGGTTTTACAAGAATCCACCGGGCCTGAATGAAAACAGCCAATCAGAGCTGAGAAAGATAGAAATACACTTTGGGTTGGTGGTTTGAGGATAGCTGATTGTTGAGTTTCATTCCCAGCATCGATATTTGACGTCCTGGGAATGAGACTCGATAACTAACTATCTTTCTTGGCTCTGATTGGTTGTTCTTGTTCAGGCCCGGTGGATTCTTATAAACTGACAATAGTTGAATAAGGCGAGGTTCAGCATTCGACTAAGTATGCTGTACTGTGTTAAATAGTATAATAAAGGGAGATACGAGAGTAAGATTCCTAGAAACCTTTTTGAAGCTGTATCCAGTAAAGAAAAACATCAGGGACTGGAAACCTGCAGCTAAATATTATGAGGAAATTAGAAAAATATGAGAGTAACATAAACCACATGACAGTTCCAACGAGTAATAATGAATCCTGTTCTCTGGCTGTCTGACCATCTGTCCTCCAGGGGTGGTCTGAGCAACAAGCTCTTCCTGTGCAGCCTCCCTGACAGCCTGGACACTGTTGGGGACGAGCCGAGGAGCATCCTGCTGCGCCTGTACGGGGCCATCCTGCAGGTGGGAGCCACATCTCGCATCATTTCTCTTTGACAAACCGCTAAATGGTGTATTACTGTGCAAGCAGAGAGGTACAAGTAAGCCAAACTCTACACAAGGATGTATTGTCATATCTGATAAAACTAGTTTCCCTCAGTAGTGTGTAGTTATTAGACTGTAATTATTAATGCTTTTAATGAAGATTAGTGCTGCCATACAGCACACAATAACAGCAGAAATGTAAAAATCCTACACTGATTGTCTTTTAGCTAAACCTGTAAGAATGTTAGACTTATCACAGGGATGACTCATGTAACTGGGGTCAAAGGTTACTGTACAGCTTGAGTTGATAATCCCAGCAAGCAGACAATAGAGAAAAATGATAGTACATACAACTGTGTGATGTGACAGTGCCGCCACCAGAGGCTGTTGTTGTGTGTGTGCGCGTCTGCAGGTCATATGCTTATGTTAGTGTATGCATGCATGTGTAGTTATGCCTTCACGCGTGTATGTGTGTGTGAACGTGTGTGTGTGTGTGTGTGTGTGTGTGTGCGTGTTAGCCATTGTTGTACATGGTGATGTACCCCCATGGCTGTACATGCATGTGTTCTTTGCCGTAGGCTTCCCAAAGGAGCGTGCCTTGGGCACTCTTGTTCCCAGGTGAACCCACCAAAAAACACGGTACAGTATGAGATCTCTGAAATCTCAGCCTAATACAAAGACGTAACACACACTCATGTAGCACAACCCCGGCTGGATACAGTGTGGAGGGGAAATGTGCTGAAACAACTCTCCTGTCTGTCTCTTTTCTTCTCTAAATCCCTGCCTTGTGATTCTTAACTGTTAAGAAGTCAGCTGAATTTTTTTGAGCTAGTGGACAAACAGGAAGAATCTGCACATTTGCTGCTCACTCAGCTGAAAAAACAACAACAACAACAAGAAAAGTCAATAGCCAGTAGTGTACAATTTGGCTTGTTGTTGCTTCACAGTTTGCACAAAGGCAAACAGATAGTGTATTTTCTGCAGCTCCACAGCGGTGTCAGTTAACACAGACAGACAGAGCCTTTTTATCTCCTAAGATGACGTGGCTGGTGTGTCCAGAGTTCATGATCCCAGCAGCCCCTTGGGCAGTATTGCTAAGAGTAACAGAACTACCCCAAAGATAACCATTTATTAATATTAAGATAACCACCATCACATGTCGCTGCAGATTGATTTCACTTGCAAATACGGAGTGACAAGAGTTCAAGGACTTCAAAACAAGAATTCTGGAAACAGCATATTCTAATCTCGTGCTTGTTTGAGGTGTTGTTTTTCGCACATGCTGCTTGTTCCAGCCAGCAGTGATAAATAAAAGACACAGCCAAAACAAAGACGCAGCGATACGGGCTCTTCAGCTTTCTCAACCTTAAAATTTTTAATTTGCAGCCATTAAGTGATTCATTTTCATGTGCGCATTAACCACAGGCGCGACGAGACTGACCCACATTAGTTATTAACTAAAGGTTGTGTAATTGCTAATGGCCGTGTACGCGTTTAGCTTTTATTGCTAGGAATGTCCGAGAGAGCCAACGCAGTGTGTCCTTCACCAAGGTAACTGTGGCCGTCTCCGTCAGGAATTAGTGATGTCTCGTCAAAAAGCTAATATGATTACGGAACTCAGATGTCATTGTCAGAGTGCACAGCGACTAATGATTAAACAAAGCCTAACTGCATTGCATTTGGGTTTCTCAGCAATGAAGATATGTGAAGATCACGCTGGATGATGGGTAGATTCAGCCAGTAGATGTGTATATTGTTAGCCCCAGCTTTAAAATCCACCACTCGCTAACAGAAAGTAGTTTTATCACTATCTGACCTCTGTCACTGCTCTCTCTCTCTGTCTGTAATGTTAAGCAGGTAGTCAGTGGAGCGCAGCAATTAGTCTGACCCATCCTCTGCACTGTCCTGTCCAAAAGACTTGGTGTGTGTTCGAACTCATACTGTACTGTCTGCGCTGCAGGCATGGCTAGGTTTTGATGTTGACACTCATGGACGACTTCCCACGTATTCATGGATAGTTCTTTCCTTTTTCTTTTGTTGATAGATGTCCTGTAATAAAGGGGATTCCCGACAGTCAAACAAAGAAAATCACTTCCAAGTAAGTAACTGATGATGGTGCCACCATACAATATGTTTCTGCTGCCCCCGGAGTGTCACACCCAGTGTCCATCCAGTCACCAACACTCACCGTCTCATCCCCAGATGTCTGAAAACTTTCTTTTGTTTCCCTAAATTCTCCTGTTTCATTGTGATCTGCCTGAACTCCTGAGGCACTAGTTGTTTCAGGGAAATCACAGTGAAGACTGAACCTCTGTAAGTCCTGTCAGCGTTTGAACAACACCTGTCTCTCCTTACTAACCCCTGGCGCAGGATGACTGTAAAAAGTGAGTTGGGAAATGCTACAGTCACTGATTTCATTCAGTGGAGGCAGTTTAAACAAACCTGATTAAAAGACTCTTCTTCTGGTAAAATTTGCTCATCTGGCTTGAATTTAAATGAGTTGAAGTTGAAAACTGAGGGAATTCTATTTGGAACAGACAGTACACACTGTACCGAAGCAACAACCAAATCTGTAGCAACATTAATACAGTATGTTCAGAGAGTCACTGCTGGCAGCCTGGAGCACTGTCAAACCCCATACCTAGTGACTGAGAAATTCCTGCATCATGTGATCACAACCCTTGACCCTCACATTACCAGGCTGAATCACAACTCCCTGTCGTGTCCTCGAGGTGAGGTCATCGGCCGAGATAGCCGCTATCTTTCCCCCACTTCCCTTCCCTCTAATCCAGCCTTCGGTTTAGCAGCGAGGCTGATGCAGAACTGACCCCGTGTCAGTGGCTCAGGGTAACTTGCGATCCACCTTCTCGAACTGTGCTGTCTGGTCAAAGTAGATCCTATTTCCTATTTGGATTAGATAGGTTGGCACCGCACCATAGTAGCACTCTGACAGATGCACTGTGGATGTAAGTGAATAACAAATGACAGCAACCACTAGATGTACTTATTACTAGAGGTATTTAACTACAGAAATATCCAGGTATAGTGAAAATGTTAATTTGTAAATTCTCAAATAATGGCCTCAACTGCAGAGAGAATTATGCCTTTAATTTAAGTTTTTTTTTAAAATATGCCTTCAAGCCTAATTTTCCTCGTTCACCTGTTATAAATTCCGGACAATGTACACTCTTAATTTCATCAGCACAACAGCAAAGTCACGTTATACTCACCACTAGGGCTGCAGGCCGTAACGTACGATTAATTGCATTATCGATTCATCTGCTGGTTATTTTCTTGATTGATTGTTTTTTCTGAAAAAAAAGTCCAAAAATAACAAAGAAATCCCCTTCAGAGTTTTACCAGATTCAGTGTAATGTCTTTAAATGGCTCATTTTGTTGGACCAGCAAAATATATATATTTTAATCGGTTATCAAAATAGTGGCTGATTAATGTTCTGTCGATCAACTAATCATTCAGTTGATGAATGGTTTCAGCTCTGTTCACCCCTCTGCTGCTCTGAGTTCCTCATTTCTGACAGAAATACTGTTTCGTCAGTTAATTATTCCCAATGGCTTTCTGTTTTGCAGTTTTTCAGATCGCTGCCATCAGTGAAACTAAAGACATCCTGCCCAGATGTTTCAACTTAAAAGCCTCCTCGTCCGTTTTTAAGTTGAAACATCTGCATTTAAAGGTTTAAGTTTCATTAACGGTAACTTAATGAGCAACTCAGTGACATAACAGTGAACGAAAGCAGTAGTTTTGTTAAAAGGGGTATTATTATTACTCTGTTGTTGGAAATTAGCGCCTCTGCTTCCCAACCAAGTATCACATCCGTTACAGGCTGAATATCCTAACAGTAGTTATCTAATAGTTAGATTTTTTTTCTTTGACTAAGAAAATTCTGTACAAATATTAGGAATGGAAATGGAGAACAGATTCCAAAATAAACAGTGGAGCTTTTGCACGCCTGAGTCACATGTATGCCTTTTTCTACTCTTGTTTCTACACTTTGTTCAGAGATAATAAAACAGTTGCGTTGATGCTGAAAACCTGTGTAGGCCTACTTTTTTCCCCACACAGAAAAGAATCAATAAGGGAACCAATAAAGAATTGGGCCGATAAACAGAGTCGATACTGGCATTGGTATCCATAAAATCTAATCAACTCCTATCTCTAGTGTTAACACACTCCATGCTAACACCAGTAGAGCTAAACTCGCTCTAAAATATGCTGCATGTATCTTAGTTACACTATAAAAAATGTTAGATTATGTGACTGTGTGTGTGTATATTAAAAGATTATATGTAATGATTTGCCTTTGCTGTTGGTTGGTGGGTATTACATAACAGTATGTATTTATTCAAGTCCTTATCGCTGTCCTGCAGATAGATATATGGAACAAATGGGTCACAGAGGTTCTGTTTAGTTCAGATGGAATTGCCCAGCCTGGACTATGCTCTCACTGCTCTATTGACACACATAACAGAACAGATAAGTATTGAGGTTAAAGCAACAGCTGTCGGCACAGTGCACCTGCTACACCACTTCCAAGGCCAGCCACTAAATACCTCGGTGCCGAGTAGCAGCACTGATATGAGACCGGTGTAACAATCGAAATGTAATCAAATACCCGGAGAGAAAATGGTCCCAGCTACTACATCGGCTGTCAAGGCTGTGTGCGATACGGAGATTAAAATGACAGAAACAGGAGGACCTCCCATTCATTCAAAAAGGATATTCTGATTTACTATAGGAAGCTTCTGTTTCCTGTCCCATAACAGGAAATAGTGGGCGCGAGGGTGCTTGTTTGGAATGTTGAAATTCTGCTGTGTCTGAATGGTGCACTGGTTTGACATCTATGACTTGCTGCTAATTAACGTGTCAAGTGGAAGACTTGTCTGAGAGAGTGAGCCAACTCAAACAGAGTGCTAAAACACTGGCATTTAAAATAGGTCAGAGGAAATGAAACAGAGGTTGATGGAGGACTGTCAGTATGTGTCCACCAGGGTCACTGTGTGGGATGCTGTGACAGCCTATAAACAAGCAGGACAAGAGATGAACCCGTTCATTAACATAACTGGCATTTGAATCAAGAATAGGGCTTTAAAGGTCCTACAAACCTACTCACTCAACTTCTTAATACAAGTTATGGGGTCCTGCAGCATATTCTACCCAAGTTAAAGCAGTTTTTGGTTATTTCACATGAGAGTTGTGAATTTCTTTTTTCTCTCTTGCCAATATACAGCCGTAGCTCTGTCTGAAAAATATTATGTCGCAGAAAGAGCTGTGTATTGGCAAGCATATCATACGTATCACGATACAGGGGTTACAGTTCAATATATCGCGATACTGTAAGCAAGGCAATATATTGTCGATAAAGTTTTTTTTTTTATGTAACCACAACAGTAGGATCTGCATTTATATTTATCACTGTCCCTTGTTTTTTGGGGTTTAGACAAAAAAATCAATACAGTGTTTTTGAGAATCGATTCAATATCACAAAACAAAATATTTTGATCCTCAAATGTATCTATATTTTCTCATACCCCTAGTCATGTACTCGTGTTTTTTACATTGTCAAATTTGATCAAACCACACCCACCTAGTCGTGATTATATTGAGAAATATTGATAGAAATACTTTAGATTTGGCACCAAGCTTTCAGGGGCTTTAATGATTTTCAGCATCATTCCAGTTTACGTGGTAGCTGTCTGACCGGCACTACCAAACTCACAGTCAATGTATCTGACGGAGTACAACTCTTGGTACACCGCATTTGTCTTTATCACTACGGCTATATTTAAATCAGTGCACTACACAAGAGCACAGACAACATTGTTATCGCTGGCATATGTCTAAATTAAAGTGATTGTACAGTCCTTTTCTTAAATAAACAGGTCGAAGCAGGTTTGTAAAGGTTATCATTTTAATAGAGATTATGCACAAACTGCATCCCTGACTTGCTCCTTTGATCTGAACTCAAACTGTCAACTGGGCACATAGAAAATGTTGGATAAAACAAGCCAACAGAAGCTCTGCATAAACAAAAGGTTAGTCCATATGAGGGCTGGATGCTGCAGATTTAGGTCAATACAGCTATAGTAACCAAGATACTATACTCGCTGAGTCACTGGAATATTGCTGGAGGAGCAATATATCCTATAAGCTGTCCCTGTCAGAGTTTGAGTCTCTTTGCTTTATGCCGAGGGGGCCAGCTGGCTTGTTGTCTGGCAGTATGTATGTCAAGATGATTATGGTAATGTGGATAATTCACGTTGGGGATTTGGAAGGACATGTGATCAGCATTCTGCAGAGAAGGCATTGCATAACTCTAATGTCTAAATGCCCTGGGAATGAAACAGAATGTGTGCACGCTGTTCAGGAGACAGACATTTCATGTGTCCAACATGTTCAAGCATTTCTAAACTGCTCACTGTGTCCTTATGTTATTATTATGCAGATAGGTAGTAGGCTATTTGCTTTGAACACTGTTCATTCCGTTTGTCTGTCAGCAGGATTACTGAAAAACTCCTGCCCCGATTTACATAAAACTTGAAGGGAGGGTGTAGTATAGAGTGGATTCGAATCACACAATTCCAAAATTTCTCCTCTTAACAAACTCACATGTACGTAATTGAATGTGAAAGTGCAGTTTGTTTGCAGATGTCAAATCTCTGTTCTGAGAACAGAAACATCAATTAATTGATTATTTGATTGACAGAAAATTAATCAGCGACTAGAATCAAGTAATTGGTAGTCACTTTTAGAGTGAAAAAAAATGCTGCTTTGAGTTTCTTGAATGTGAGGATTTGCAGCTTTTTTTTTTCTTGATAAATGAAATGATAGTAAACTGAATCTTTGTGTTTTGGACTGTTGGTCAACAAACAAACAAATTGAAGATGCTGCCTTCAGCTTGGCCATTTTCAAAATTTTACAAACAAATGATTAATTGATCCATAATGAAAACTGGAGTTGCAGCCCTATTCACAATCATTTTCTTTGAGATATAAGCTGAACATGTATTCATCATGATTTCAGACACAACCTGTGATACAGGTCAATGGAAAGGTCTTTATCTTCATTTGCCTGTTTCACAACATGGTCCCTTCAAAAAAGGAGATTGATTAGATTTCTTGTATCTATCAATTATACTCTCTAAATAAAAACAAACTCATTATTACATTTCTACCTTCTATTTAGAGTATATTTAATTTCCAACATTATCTCAAAAGTGATACCAGTGTCAGGGTCAAGGGTCAAGAGTTCAGTACTGAGCTTCTCTGTAGGTGGTGAAGTACAGTTTTGTTTTAAGAAATATTCTTGCAGTGTGGATCAAAATAATGTGTAACATCAAGGAGGCCACAAAGCAGGCAATGTTTCCTTTGAGCAGGCTTCCTACTGGGCGGTCAGTTTGAAGCACATTCCATGGCACGTAGCCAAAGACCCCAGCATTCAGATCCAGATCTCTTTTCTTCTGCAATTTATCTGAAGGTTATCCACTTAAGAGGGATAAGATAGCAGTATATATTATACTGGTTTCTATTGGAGCTATTTGGAACTAAATTGAAATGCAGCAGATTGCAGCATTAGCTGGTAAAACCCTAATGGGATGAACTTCCACTGACTAATATATGTAGCTTTCATCTCCAAATAGATTTAGTTTACTCAGTTGACAACTGACAATTAAACTGAACAAACATCTATTTCAAAGGTCAAGTATAGGGCGGCAACTGAAAAATATTTTTAATTATATTCAATTAATAGATAGAAATTTGTTGGTCCAGAAAAAGTATGAAAATGGTGAGAGATGTTGATCACTGTTTCCCAAAGCCCCAAATGACATCCTCAGTATACTAAAGAGGCTTAAGACACCAGAAAATATTCACATTTGAGAGGCTAAAATCCGAGAATTTGGAATTTTTTTCATAAAACAATGACTCAAAACAATGAAACAATTAGTAGTCGGCGTTTAATTTAATATTCGACAACTAAACGATTAATCAACTAATTGTTGATTAGTTGCTCAGGCTCAACTATACTGGTGTAGTAGTCCCTCTTACCTAGTAGATCAAGCTCCAAAACACTGGATCCTATATTTCCCACAATGCAATTCAATGGGATCTTTTGAGTTTGTAACACAGGCTCTCTGTCATACACTTTTGGTCTTCAGCCCAGACGACGATAACCCAAATGGCATCCCTATGACACCACCAAGGTTGTTTTGTCAGACTTGAAAAAGCTCCTCCAGAGCGACGGAAGACATTATACAACTGTTTATAGCTGTAGAGAGAGTTGAGACCCCATAGTGGCAGAAAATGACATACTGCGCATTTAAACCAAGAAGAGACAGTTTTCTGGAGCTAGTTTTGAGCAGGCATTGTTTTCCAGCTGGCTAGTATAAGAAACTCTTGTCAGAACATGAATAAAAATATAAATGGCAAAGAACTTTCTTGCTTGCTAGTGTACTACTACAACTACTTACTTGGATGTCACTAACAAGCGTTCACTTTGGTAAAACTTTGAATCCTCTCGACTAAAGTCAGCCAGTGTACCAATTTCTGTCTTCATTGAAACTCTGCCATCAAGAGATGCTATTAGAAACAAAACTTCACAATTTGGAGCTTGTGTTTGGTTAGGAACCTGTTTTACTGTCTTCTCCCCACAAAACCGACTGGAGCTGAATCAAGTGGGTGAGAAGCCAGAGCACAGCGTTAGTCTTTCAGGCCCCGGGACTTGTGTTTGTGTTGGTATGAGAGAAGGTCTCCCAGTTAACCTTGAGCCCCTGCTGGGCTCCAGGCTACGTGCATTGGTGTGGGAGTTTTGTGTGTCTCTAAGATAAAGGGAGAAAGACAAGGCTGCCCCGTCTGCCTCAGTAACTTCGACAGTCACTGGGTCTCTGAGTGGGCCAACTTCTTCCTGGAACTTTTAATCTACCTCTTGTGTTCTCCTCACCGCTCTGACAGGCAAACCAAACTAACCCTAACCCCACAGCATATCTCCTCATTCAAACTCCTCCATCCTTCTCCCCCACCCTGTGATTTCCACTTAAGCCCCTTTCAGGCTTTAACTTCACCCTGCTAATGTCACATCAGACCTCTGCCTACTTAGAAACCTTCAAAATGTACGTGAATCTTAATCCAGAGCTTTACACAATTATACTTTAAATGTTAACTGTTCACATGAAGGCACTGTTATTATTTTTCTGGAGGATCTCAATTCTCAGATTACCAGCTAAGCCCCCTGAATTTTCATTCTTTCCAACATTCTTCGGGATGTAAATTTAGCAGAATGCTTTACCTTCCTTAAGATCTCAATCCATACCTCACTCTGACTTTCACATTTTTAAAACGTGACCAGAAAAAGCTCTTTGTCTCATCTCTCATGCTGTTCTGACTGCCTTTTAAAGCACTGATGCGTGGTGATGGTGGTGTGGACTGCTCTCATACTTTTAATGTTGAGCTTACTGTTGTGTGTTTCCAGGGGGCCGAGGCCATGGTGTTGGAGAGTGTGATGTTTGCCATCCTGGCGGAAAGGGAGTTGGGACCTAAACTCTACGGTATTTTCCCTCAGGGCCGACTGGAGCAGTACGTCCCTGTAAGTCACCATGTTGTTGTTCATATGCACATATGTTTACTTGAAAGTACAGTACTATAATTTTAAACAGGGGTGCACAAAATAGTAGGAACACCCTATGCTCTCCATTACTGTTTTTTACATTGTGGTATCGTAGTGTACATTGGGCTGGGTATCAAAGGCATGAGGCAACCCCTGTGGACAGAAGTGGTATCAGTTTTAAATTGAGACTGTGTCATTACCAGTGAAAAACTCTCTTTTAGTACATATAATCACTGACAGCTGGGGACTGAACGATGCAACATGGTGTTGGTGTGTTAGTGTACTGTTCAATGATGCATCATTGATTGATGTTCAGAGAGAATTAATAAACCATAAAACATCTGCTATTCAGTAGCTAAACAGTTCTGTGTTACACAATTCATTTTACTGATGGAAGAGAAAACAATTTTGAGCTCAGCTGACTTTATGTAGCTCCCATGAAACTGAAAATCCAGTACTGCAACACAGTGAAAGCCCTGCAATGATCTAAAAGCAGAAAAATAAACTTGTTCTTATGTGAGGCATGAGTTCCAGGACATTTGTAAACTGCACCAGAAATTTGGCATTGAGAGATATTTATATTTACCAATCAGGCTGTTCTGGTTGCTTTAAAGCAGATCTAATATTGGTGTCTCAATATAGTAAATAGTATTAATAGTTTGGATATCGTTTTAGTAAAAAATTAGGATGGGATGTGTTTTCCTGTATTAAGCCATTTTGTGATTTGGGCTAATAGATAAAGGACCAGTGTGTGAGGATCTATTGGCAGATTTGGAATATAATATTCATAGGTATGTTTTCATTAGTGTGTAATCACCAGAAAATAAGAATTGTTTTTGTTACCTTGGAATTTTTATCAGGGTGTCCACGGGGTCTTAGAAAATCCAACAACCTGAATTTTAGGCCTTAAAATGTCAAATTACATTCATAATAGTCTTAAAAAGGTCTTAAAACATCTGAAATTGAACCGGTTGAAACCCTGCAAAAACCCTGTTTATCTACAGAGGGAGCGGGTCCTCTTTCATGGAGGCCGCCATCTTGAACTGCCGTGTTTCAACAGTAGCCCAGAATGGACAAACCAAACACTGGCTCTAGATAGGGCCGTTTCTCGTTTCTCCTACACACTTGGACGGATGAACTATCTGCCACTGAGACCTACAAAATGGTTACTGTATGAATACAGTAATGATTTATAATATCTTGTTGACAGAGCCGTAAACTGGACACCTGTGAGTTGAGCGACCCAAGCATCTCAGCGGAGGTGGCCGAGAAGATGGCCAAGTTTCATGGAATGAGGATGCCCTTCAACAAGGAACCCAAGTGGCTGTTTGGAACCATGGACAAGTAAGTCATTCCCATCCTGACCCACCTTGTGTCCGGTCTCTTTATGGATATTACTTTATGGATCTTTTTATGGATTTATGGATACATTCTGTGTGTTATCTGGCTAACACCTATTCACCAGGTCCTAAGTCAGTAAGTGGAGTTTTAGAATCCTAAGAGAGTAAATTTCGTCACTGATTACTCACTCATTAAGTATGAGGTGGCATGTGGCTTATCATAATGCACTTGCGTTTCAATTAGCATTCAAGTGTATTTGTTGGGTGTTTACAAGGTTTACATTGCACAATGTTTGTCAACGTGTGGTGATAAAGTCCATTGTCCTGCTCCACTGGTCGTTTGTACTGGTTTATCACTTCCCGGATTATGTATTTAAAGCATTACTCATTTGTCCTGACATGTGACTGATTTTGTACATTTCCACGTCAGAAAAGATCAGAAACATAATATGTAGTATGAGTTTATCAGGAATCTGACTTGACTTTTTCAAAGAACGTAGAAAAGATGATTTGATGAAAGTAGGATTCCCTATCATCTGGACCGTGAGATATTAAGTCTAGTAAAGCAGTTTTAACTCTTCGATAGAGATCCCATTGATTTTAGTTTTTTAGACCTGAGTTGAAACAGAAGCTAAACCTTTGCAGTAACAGCCAAATCACACCAGAATTTGGTTTGTGGCTGTGTTAAAGTCCTCAGCTGAGAGTCCTTTATCTCTGTCTGATGATTTGGCCTTGAAGTTTAGTATGCCAACAGCAAATGGACCCAGGTTGTTGATTTTATCTTTGCAAAGTGACATTCAGTTTAAAAGAGAGTTTATCAGTTTTATGACTTAAAGGTTTTTTTCCAGGTATATCTGTTCACTTCAGTGCTCATAGTTACACATCTACAAGAACTTATGGAATTTAACCAGATTATAAAGATTTAAACCTTTACCTCCATTTTAAAAGAAAGAATGCAAGGAACAATATTTAAAATAACCCTAACCCTTTTCACATCGTCCCATCCCTATACAGAAATTACCCCTGTGGGATAAATAATTTTTTTAAATTGAATTAATTGAAAACCTTGTGAGTGCTGATGCATCCACACAGATCCTGAATCATACTGAGGCTCCTGAATGCTGCCTGTTGTCCCGTTGAGATGACTTTAGTGAATTACTCTTCATCATGTTTTAGAAATCATGGTAGAGTAAGCAGGAGCTGCTTCTACACCAATCTCACCTCCAGCTACCAGTATATGCGTTGTTATCACAAAAATAGATAAGATGTGAGAATGGCAGTAATGAGGATTTAGCTAAAGCTTGTTTTGAGGTATCTGACTAGAACAGACAAATACTCTTTAAAGAGTTCAAGTTCTTGAGAAAAGGAGAGCACAGATAGGAGTAATATTTTTGACTACATGGTGGATGCATTTTTTGTGCTTTTGTTTCTCTTCTCTGCACACACACACACACTCTGTTCATACAAACTGCTATCAATCCTTCTACTCTATTATCACTACTGCTACTAATACTAATTAATAATTGATTGTTATTGCATTTGTAGAAGAAGGAAATGTACATTAACACACAAATATTTTGCCTTTAGTTCCTGTAAGGTCATTATACCCTCTGATTCTCATTCATGGAGTTTCAATCTGTGACATCGTGCTTATCAGTGAGTCAGGTTGACACTGAAGTGTCTCTAAAGGGACACTCACTCTTTCACATGATCCTGACTTCACTGTGTGTCACTTTCCTTTATAAGACACAACTCAAATGTTTCTGAGGGGAAGGGTGGAGTATAACTAAATGTGTGTGTAACCCTCTCTGCAGGTACTTGAACCAAGTCCTGAGGCTGAACTTCACCCGAGAGTCCCACCTGCGGCGCTTCAACCGCCTGCTCAGCTACAACCTCCCGCAGGAGATAGATATGCTCAAGTATGTTCCTGCCACACACACACACACACACACACACACACACACACACACACACACACACACACACACCAGTACAGAGGGGATAACATGTGACTGCAGAATGGAAAGTTTCCAAACATGGTGTTGTGCAACAGAATGTGTCGGTCCTAGAGAGCACAGAAAAAGCTCAAATTAACCTGGCTGTGATCAAAGCAAACATGATGTCATTCATATCACAAAGTTCACACCTGCTCATGTTCTAGACATTTAGAGATAAAGAAGAGTAAGTCAGTTAAGGAAACTCCTACATGTCAAGTTTTTATGTTAGTTTTTGTTCCATAACAGGGATCAGGCCACAATGAAAAGCAGCAACATAAGCAAACACCAACCCTATTAATACACCTTATACTGTATATCTTATGGTCATTTTAATCATACAAGAGTAGTGGAGGTTTGGCTCTTAGTCCTTGGGATCAAACCATCTATTTGTTCCAGCTGCTTTGTTGTAAGCCATTAATGCAAAGGAACCACCATCTGTTGTTTCTAAAGAACTTTTGCTATTTTGTAGCTTCATGATAATGTATAGGGAACATTGTGCTCCATGTATGAAGATGCACACAGTTGATCATCCTCTGACGTCTGTCCTTTTCAGGTCTCTGCTGGAGTCCACCCACTCTCCTGTAGTGTTCTGCCACAACGACTGTCAAGAAGGTAAATCATATAGACGCAGTGGCCCCTAAATGCTGCACATTTGCTTTTCTCTTTCATAAAAAATAAAATTTCTTTGTGTTGCTTTCAGGGAACGTCCTGCTGCTGAAGGGTCGCCAGAGCTCAGACAAACAGAAGCTGATGCTGATTGACTTTGAGTACAGCAGCTACAATTACAGGTAAGTTAGCAACTACTGTATCACAGATTTCAATGGATGGCAAAGCCTGAGATATCGTATTCCTCTGTGCCAGAGAGCTTCATTGTTGTCCAAAAAAACATTAAGAACACATGAATGAGCCACACTGTTGCACTGGATGACATGTTCCTTCATTACAATGAACCTGGGCACTGTAGTTCATTGAGTCTATCCCAATTACTGTGTCCTGGTGGTAACCATAACTTAAAGAACACGCAGCTGAAGAGAAATGGAAGAATTGGAAAATGTTTAAATGAATATTGTGCAGTAAAATATCTTGCCTCTCAGTTGTTTATTTTGTTGAATTGACCTCCACATGAGAAATGAAACTAGAAGATTAAAGGAAGGAAGCCAATGTTGGTGTTGTTCCCCAAACGTGTCCTTTTGTCCCCTGAGCTGCTGCCAAAGTTATGTTTTGCAGAAAATACACAGCGTGCTGTTGTCTGACAGACGGCAGTTTGTCAGTAAACAGAATGGATATTTTTATTGTTGCTGGTATTTCCCGTTTACTGTGAACAACACGCAGAAATCCCCTGGATCTCAGCTTCTATCAGCTTCTGTCAGAAGTGTTCAATAGTGAATAAATACAGACATTATGTAATTAATAATCACATGAATAGTTCGGGTAAATTACCCAATTACTGTGTTTGTGAAATAACTGAAGGAATTATTAAACTGGTAGGTAGAGCGGTTGGGTTCGCGTCCTAAATCCAGTGCACCGACACAGTACCTAAACGTCTCCTGCACATGCTACCTACCTAGCCAGCTAACTAGCTAGGGTTGTTAGCTTGGATTATCACTCAGTTTCAATGAAGTGAAGAGAGAGAGTATTAACAGCAGCAGCTAGCTGCTTAAGTCAGAGTTACCTTGACACCATTTTGATTTTAAAGTAGTTCCTCTGAGAAAGACTCAACCCTGTAAGGAAGAGAAACACTCTTCCTCTGTGGTTGTTCTAACCAACGGGGGCTAGCTAACCCTGCTAAAACTGGCTCTTCCCTTATGTAATAATAATAATTTGTAATAAACAAAGCTCACCACTAAGCTAGTTTAAGCTAGATTTGAGTTTGAGTGTGCTGTTGCTATGGCTAACAGGAGCTAACTGGCTAAAGCTGGTGGTAGCTGAGTTTGCTAGCTTAAGAGAGCCGGGGGGCGTACGATTGGCTGAAAGGAGAGAGGGTGCTCACAACACCGCCGTCATGAAAAGTGAGGCAAGAATACAAGCGTTACTGGAAAAAATGCTATAATGAAATAATAACAGACTTTTAAAAAAAGCCCTTTTTGAAATAAAATGTCATGCAGTAAAAATGTCTTATAAAACTGAAAATAAAATAAGAGTTTTATTAATTTCTTGAATTATTTCAGAGATTATTGTTTCATTTACACATTTATGTGGTTATTTATTTCAAAATGATGTATTTGATAGTGAACAACTGGGCTCCATACTTTGAGCGAGTCAAATGGTCTGAATAAGAAGTGGTCCAGCGGTAGCGTCTGATCCAAACCCTCTCTCCAGTCCAGGCATTTCTGATAAATCTCCCTCAGTTGCAGCTGCTGCGTCACCGTCCCGCATCCTCTTGCCAGCTCTTTACCTCCCAACTAACCTTGGCTCTGCAGTCGAACGGCATGTGGAGAGGGCTGGGAAGGCAGGCTGATAGTGAGGCACAATGTGAAAGAGGGAGTGAGAGACAAAGAGAGACAACCCACATATTGGGCCAGAAAGAAAGCAAAATCTGAGTAAAAACGTGAGGAACAAGATTACAGCCTGGCTTGTGTCCTTGTGTCTGCGTTTCATCAATGTTTCCTTCTAGCCGCCGTCATTTATGGCCCCCTCCCTGTTAAATTATTCACTGCAGCTGTTATGTAACCAGAATTTGGCAGGCCAGTGAGGACGCACTGGAAGCAATGGAAATACTTTATCCAGGCCTGTCAATGTCACTAATGGAGACACTGGTGCAGTAGATTTTCACTACAGTCGTGCACAAAGGACTGGGAATAGAATGGATGAAATAATGGGGTTGTACGTCTGAAGGAGCGCTTATTTTTATCACCGTTGAGTGACTTCAAATGTGTTGCCAAAAACCTGTGTGTGTGAATTCCTGACTGATTCATTTCTGGGAAACACATTGGCCTTGGCTCACTGCTGATCTCAAACAAAAGTCTCTCTCGCTCTCTCCCACACACACCACACACACACACACACACACACACACACACACACACACACACACACACACACACAGTAACACTCCCACCCCCATGCAGTTCTCTTTAGCGGGGCCCCTTTAAGTCTCCTCATATGTTGCTCAGCAAACACGTGATCCTGCATGTGTACACAAGTGACACACTGCACACACTTTTCAAACATGTGAGCATGTGTCTATCATGTATGTACAGTAAAGAACACGCCCACAAATGGATGCTCGATGTGGAAACAGAAGGGGATGACTGTGCTTTATACAATAGGTGTATGTCTGTTTGTTCGGCTCTGAATCACAGAGCGAGTAGTTACCGTACATTCTCAAATAGTTCATTACAGTGAGAGACAAATAGAGGCTTTATTAGAGACAGGTCTTAATTCTCCTGCTGTATGAATATATTTGCTACTTAGTTTGAGCCCCTCTTGCAGCGGGGTTGGGTGGATGTGGACCACGTTGGTCTAGACCACAGGCTTTCAAAGTCTGACACCATGGCCCCCCTCAGGCAAAATCGAGACAGCTGCACAGAACAGTTTTGTTGTTTTCTTACCCACTAACATTTGTTAACTATTATTTATCCATTATTTAAATGCTGTCTTTAATTGGTTATTAATTTAAATACTAATAGTGTTGGTGATTTTTTTATTTGAATTTATTTTTATTTTTATGAAATAAATGTCACAATTACTGACAGATACCCATTTTCAGATACCACATTGATGTCTTGTAGTTTCTTACTAGTGTGTCCAACTTTAGTGAAAACTGAATTGTAAAAAAACAGCCTCTGATTCATTTGACAAATAGTTACAGCAACCCTGCTGCATTCACTTTTTCATAACATTTCCCAAAAGAGCAGTGAACCATTATTATTTTTCAACTAAAGCCACTTGACAGCAGTCGTTTCCCTCACTTGCTGGGCGTCAGCTGGAGAAGAATGAAACATCATCAGCTGTGTTTTGTCCCTTTAACCCAAAACCAGTGCGTCAGTGCAGTTGGCTGGAGAGCACAAAAGGCATCAGGGCTGGTTTTGGATCAGTAGTGAGTAAACCTTCCTGATGACAAGATCTCTTGTTCACCTATGCAAATCAAAACCAAGAAAGGGAACAATGGAAAGTTTCTAAGAAATGTTAATAACTAGCTAGATGTGAAAGCCACATCCAAACACACATGTATGTCTTGGTCTGATTGCCCAGTAACAGTCCTCGCCCAGTGGCAGGACTGAGGTAGAAAATAAGTTCACATTTGAAATCCAAATACATCATCTCTATATAGTCTACTTCCCTCCAGAAGACAAAACAATCAAACTCTTCCAAACACATTCAGTTATGAAGTACAACCTGATAGACACCACTGGATGTAGTATTTATTAATGTAAAGGCATTGTCAGTCATCTCTAACTGTTTCTCGGTCTCTCTCCATCTGTAATCCTCACAGGGGCTTTGATATTGGCAACCATTTCTGTGAATGGATGTACGACTACAACTGTGAAGAGTTACCTTTCTTCAAAGTCAACGCTCAGGCCTACCCTTCAAAAGCCCAGCAGGTGCGCATAATATGTTAAAATACTAAACGTTTAATTTATTTGGTTTTACGTGTCGACCTCTGACCCGTGTTAACCTGTCCTGTCTCTGTGCAGCTCCACTTCATTGACAGCTACCTGCGTGAGTCTGACCCAGGGTTTGACAACCTGAGTGAAGAGGATCAAATGAAAGTGAAGGAGGGGCTGTACGTGGAGGTCAACAGGTGAGTCCAGATGTAGGACACAGTACAAGACAATGGAAAGGTAAAGAAAGAGCACATAACAGTGACCATGTGTTTTTGAATGTAGGTTCTCCCTGGCATCCCACTTCTTTTGGGGCTTGTGGTCCATCATCCAGGCCCGCCTCTCCACCATCAAGTTTGGATACCTGGTGAGTACAGGTTTTTTTTACTTTCATGCTTGTTTTGAATTTTAATGGCTTCTATGTTTGATGAGAAAAGCAAATGTAAAAGGCAGCTAGTGAGACGTAAGCAGTGTTATCCTGGAGGGTGATGCAATGTCAATATTTACTGTGTAAAGAATAGGTCAGAAGAGGTCAGGTCATGGCAGTCTGACAAAATCACAGCGACAGACAGAGGAAGGTTATTTCTGCCACAACTGTCTCACAGTTAATCCTTCCTAAGTCCCGCCCCTTTTTGGTCTGTGCTCCAATAACAGTTGAGAAAGCCTCAGTCAAAACCTCGGTCAACAGCCTCCTTTCCTGTACTCAGATATGCTATATGCTAGGCTCGGCTGTGTTCAAAAGACAACTAACTAGCTAGCTAATCTACATTAGCTGATGATTGATGTAGACTAGCTAGCTGTTTAGCTAGCATTTTGCTAACATTAACTAACTTAAAGGTCCAGTGTGTAACATTTAGGAGGCTCTATTGGTATATTCACTATACTAACTATGTTTTCATTAGTGCATGATCACATGAAAATAAGAATTGTTCTGTCTGTTACCTTGGAATAAGCCTTTTAGATTTTGATGATATTCAGAAATTTACTTGAATTTCCCTCAGGATAAATAAAGTATCTATCTATCCATCTATCTATCTATGTGTAAACATATGTCTATATATAGTAATGTATACTTGACTGTATTGTAGGAGTATGCCCAGGCCAGATTTGATGCCTACTTCCAGCAGAAGAAGATCTGGGCTGTCTAATGCAGCAAGCTGATTGGATGGATCGACAACATTCAGCCAAACAGCAGATGGAGGACATACGGGCTGATAGACTCCACGATCCATGCTTTACTTATACTCCCTGCCTCCAGAGGATTTGCTGGCTACTGTTGGTGTCGTGTTGCCCAAAGCCAAAACTTGATCACAAGGCTAGGTGCTTAAAAGTACGAAATCCATTGCAGCTCAAAGTTTACACTGCGTAACTCCTTGAGAGCCAAAAAAAAAGAAAGAAAAAACATCCACTCGTACTAACCTTCATCACCGGTCAGAACTGCTCTCTGCTTTGGCCTATCACTAACATGAGGGTTACGTTTTGAGCAGGAGAAGGGTGGATTTCGGTTAAGGTTAGATTGGAAACATTGCATCAATGTTTATGTATTGATCATTCCCTTATGGAAATGCTCTGTTGGAGAGAACCAAAATGTGAACTTCTCTTCCTGCTTACAGCAGTAGCCAGTTGCTAACTATGTATATTATATATAGATCTCAATGTGCCAGTAACCTGGCCCTGTCTGTTACTGATGGGCTGACTTGTTGGACAGTGGAATCATGACCGACAGGTCAGATTAATGTCCACACTTCTATTACACCCTCGCTTTTTTGAACGGTTGTATATGACATTTTCTTCAGGCCTGGGTAAATACAGTTATGTTGTATTTTCAAGTATGTGAATAGGTGAGGTTCCTTTTTCTGGGTAGCTGGTTAAACTCCACCAAATTAAAATCAAACACATCAGACTTTACAATTACGTTCCAAACTTTCCACTACAATTAGGTCTCAGTCTTTGTGGCTTCCTATGCAGTTGCACTGATCAGCTGAATTTGCTTAAAGTGTTAAATTTTCACTAACAGAAGTTTGGTGGGTTTAAGGTATTCTTTTGGATGCACATCTACATGTAGTTTGCACATTGAGTATTAACATTTGCATTGTCTGATTTAGCCAAAAAGACATTCCAGCCATGCTTTATAAGCCTGGGGAATGGTTGCTATGCTCTCTATCGGACACAAGGGAGGGAACTGACCATATTTTTGCTTTTTTACTTTTATATCATCACTGCGTTGAAGAAAATGTCACACAGTACACATGGCTGTGGTTCCTTATTGTGGTAGTGGATTCTTTGGTGATGTCTCTGGTTTTTTGGCAAAAGAGCCTACTGCCAATGGGCCTCATCATCGTACCCATAATCCAGAATAACTACACAGGTTCACATCATACTGCACAGCTGAATTTTTCATAGATTACTTATTTAAATAAATTGTAGCTGAACAGTATCTCTGTTAAAGCGGCATTTAGTAAAATAAGGCTTTTACTGTATCTATCAGTGGACAAGGCTCATATTATGGCCACTGTCTGCTCTAGCATGATGAAAGTCTTACTTAATGCACATTTAACAGAGGAATTCAGCACTGGAGCGGTAGAGCACTGTGTCCTGTGTGCGTCAGGCTTACGTCATAGGCTCTGCTTTTAAGCTTTCTCCTGTGGGATAATTGTTTAAAATGAGAGCTGGTCAGAGTGATGCTCTGACTAATTCGTCCTGCTGTCTCTCATCCAAACATCCTGAGACCAGCTCACTTCTACCTCACCCATGAGAAGTCATGAGAAGTGCACCAAATACTCAAGAACTATCGTATTGTGCACAGGTCCACATACAATTGACTTTAAATGAGACTTTGATATCTTGAATTTTTGTTTATTTGCTAGGCACCTGTCTCATTTTGGTTTAAAAAAAAAAATGGTTAGCATTCCCCATTCCACTGTAATTTGTATCTGTGGCTAAAATCTAGCTTCTTAGCTCACCACTACGGTAGCAGTGCCTATTAGACTTAATTAGAAACGCTAACACTGACAGCAAAGCGTTACATGGCAGAAATACATTTTCTAGATACACTTCTTTCACATTGCCCACATTGGAAGGGAAGAAGAACAGACTGAAATTGACCTTTCGCTAAACCCGCTGCCTCAGTTACTATTGCTACATCTGTGAATCTCATAGGCATTTTACAATGATTTACCTCTCAAAAGTATTTTTAAAACAATAGGCCCCTGATGTCAGACAGTGGTCGACAGAAGCATCAGTTTCAACAACTGTGATCAGTTGCGGCTAGCTAGCTAATATTGTAGCCACACAAACTAATGGTCAACTACCAATTAATAGTGATAATTAGGTACTAAGCTAGTTAGCTGGACATGCTAACAATTTACATTTATGTTGGAGCAGACAGCACACTCTCTACTCCATTATTTTGTCTTTTATTTAAGTTGACAGGGACCACATATAAGAAACATAAATTCCAATACTTGAAGTCTGATGCATTATACAGAGATGTAGCTAAAAGCGAGCAGGTTAAACAATAATGCAATAATTTGCTCACGTGTTTCTGGTTTTAAAAGACTAAAAGAAACAACATCATTCTCCAAACTCTTTAAATGCCGAGTATTTCTCTTACTACAACCCCATGCACAACACGCCTGTTAGAGTTACAGGTGCGAAGCCATGATTGGACAGTCGCTGTTGGAGTAAGGGTTTAGCGAAAGTCAATTCAAAAGCTGTGAGTAGTAATACATGATACCGCTTGGAAACATTTTATTTGATCCTTGTTTGCCACAAAATGTATAATTCATAGTTGCTGTGGAAATATACATAAAGAAATGCAGCTTAAAAACACATTGCACTGTACTGTGTGACTGTGCTGCTACACATGAAAGCTGTGCAACCACCACAAAGGCTGACATGCATATCCATATTCCTGTTAGGTTGTAGTGGGTTTATACATCCCTGTTTACCTGTGAGCCACTGGGATTTAGCGTGGAAGCCCCCAAAATGAATATGTGACTCTGTGAAGTGTACAGTAGGCATTACTTCGCACTTCTTGCGGGAATGGCTACACAGTGATATACACTGTACACAGAGCTGAGGGAACTGAGCTGGATCATAATCTGATCACTTGCAGTCACTGATACTGGAGCCATCCAGAGGTGTTTGAATGTCTACTGTGGCACTTTTGATCTGAGAACACCCCACAATATATGTATTTGAGCGTTTTCATGTTTAAACATTTGGGGGTTGTTGAACTGTGACTCTTTAAGTTGTTGAAATGTTAGTTTCATTGTATTTTATTGTATATTTCTATTGTTATATTTCCTTTGGAATGTGCTTCATGTATAGTTTTAAATTTATTTTGAGATATAATGGGAAGCACCAGCAGAATGTGCGGTGAATTAAACTGGACAACTATTCAAAATTGAAAAGTGTAATTGTTACATCCCTTGTGAGGCAATACTTTACACCCTTTTTATTTCCAGAACCATTCGGAGGGTGTTTCTTCTATTGAACCTTTATTCATAAGCTTTGTGTTTGTTTTCTTGTCTTGGATTTTCTAAATGTATCACCTTCCCAGTCCTTTCACTGCAAGCAATTTCTAACTAAATTTTGTTGTCCTTTTCTATTGATCTTTTTTATTGATTGATTTTTTTTTTTATTTGTCATAGAAAAAATGGACACAGTGATCTGTAACAATAGCACATTCCATAATTGTTACTTAACCTTCAGTATCATGTACACTTCGGACCAGAGGAACTAAAATTTAGATCTAATTGGTTCTTCAAATAAAATTGTAATTTGTCCCCAGTAGAGAACAAACAACCTCGATTCTGTTCATACTTGTAATTTAATGTATGTAATATTCACTAACAAAAATATAGAGGGTCATCAACTATCCACATATAAAGAATGAGAAACTTGTACCATATCATTCTTGAGAATGTACATTGTGTTAATGTAATACACTTATGTTTTTGTCGAAGAACACATTCTGTTCTGTGATAGCACTCACAAAGACACTATCATGTGACTCACAGCGATAATCTTTGCTATCTATGCAGCAATACCGAATGCATATGTACTAAAAAAAAACTTACGTTTTCATTTACAAGGTTTCGGGTGAACTGCTGCAGCATAGAAATGACCCTGGCTGTAAATTTCCTTTTTTTTTGCTTTGCACAAATAAAAATGTCAAAGAAAACAACTGAGTGATTCTTTTTCTTTCTCTTGGACATGTATTCATGGTAAATATGACATGCTGTAAACCTTTAATTAAAAGCGGGGTCCCAGTAAGAGGCAGGTCTCCTTTACTAGCCTGGTGTGGATTTTATAGAAGTTCTTTGGATGTATAAAACATTTACCCTTTTACCTTAAAACACACCAGATGGCCCACTTTTAAGCTGCTTAGATCGCCTACACAAATTTAAATGTTTAAAATGTTGTCAATAAGGACATGTTACACATTGTTAAATCCGTTAGGTGCTCATGGTTTTTGTAAAATTAACTGAACAGTTGAATTGTGGAGAATCTGTTGAATTGAATTGAATGAAATTGACAGAAGTCCAGTACCAATAAGTATTAAGATCTGAAATTCCTAAGTTATTGTTCTAGAGGTGCGAAAAAAGCTCCCCCTATTGACTAACAACTTAACAAAGGATGTCAGGAATAACCTGCGCTGTAACCTCATACTTACACCAATTTGAAAGATTGTAATGGATTTGTGCTTTGCACAGAAAGTACTTTAAACACTGAAAGAAATTCTAAAATTCCACTGTGGACATTTATGGTTAAGATCTCCACAAACTTGGACATTCTTCCTGTTTAAATGCAGTTTAAATGGAGAAAAGCACAGCAGTCATGTACACAGCAGGGCAGTCAATACAGATTTATATGGAATGATTGAGATAATGGATGCTGAGACGAATGAGACGCTGGAATGCTGCAGCGATGAGTCAGACTTGGCTTGGTGGAGTGAAGCTGCGGCCAACTGACCTATCCACACACAGCCGACAGTATCACTGTAGCCAACGTCACACTGTTGCCAAACATAGCATGCTTTCACATTTTGCTGTCCGAGACTTTGCAGAAGCTCTGCAGTTTGACAGCACGGCTGCAGTTTATCGAATTGTATCAGTTTTTAAATGTATGTTTGCTGCTTCGACAAATTGTATTTTAAAAAATTAAGAAACCTAGAAACCTCAAGAAGTCCTGTTTTAACTCGCTGTTTCAGACAGCCAGCTGAGCTCATTTGCTTAGCTGTGCTCTTTTATTTTTCGGCGTGTCGTGGCTCTGTGATACTGCCAACAATCTATAAGTGTTGTGCAACAAAGTAAAGTCGGAAAAAAAGTTTATATAATGGTGTGTAACATTTTTACTGATGTAAGATTACTCTTTGGAGCATTTATCAGTGGTTTGTTTTGCACTTTGCCCAGTGAGGAAGTTCACAAACCAAATACCCATCATACTCAGTTGCTTCACACCACTTCAAAATTAAGATAAACGGTTTATTAGCTCCATAGTACAGCCACGTTTGAAAATAATTCATGGATTCTAAGAAAATATCGGAGCATCTGTGACGTGACCACTGAAGCTTGGATTTCAAGGGTATTACTCGTTGCCATCTTAGCAGGTTCTAAAAGGTTGGATGAACAAGCAGCAACCACCACAGCTGGTGCGGTAGGCAGAGACACCTGTCCATCAAGGAAACATAATCATCATCCTCTTCTTCAGGGGAGAACTATGGAGTCCCCTACTGGAGCCCTATACAAGACTTCATTCATTGGAGACCCTGAAAGAAAACATAATCCCAGAACATATTTCTCCTGAAGTCAATATAATGTTGATTGTTGAATGATGTTACAGTGAGGTTGTAGTGGTTGCAACTGAAGAAGGACACTATTAGCCAACTGGACCCACTGACTTCATCTCTGCTTCAGGTTGTCTTATGGAACAAAGTAGGATGAACTTAGACTTTAGAAACTTAGTGGTTCAACATGGTGGACGACTGTAGAAGAGGACCTGTTCCCTCTGTAGATAAAATTGCTCATTCTAAGGAAATTAAAAAACAACAACATTATACACTAATTAAAACATACGGTACCTATATAAGAATATTATATTCGATTTCTGCCAATGCATCCTCCTAAATGTTACACACTGGATCTTTTTAAAGGATCAGTGTGTAGAATTTAGTGCCATCTAGCACTGTTCAGTTAGCATCTGTATTTGAGGACCTGGGAATTGTGCAGGAGAAACTATGGTGGCTGTGAAACTTAGAGCCAGTGTTTGGTTTGTCTGTTCTGGGTTACTGTAGAAAAATGGTGGTTCAACATGGCAGACTCCATGGAAAGCGGTTTGTGGAGTGCAGCTTTTTAGCCTCTTTTAGCTTATTGTTTTGGTATTAAATCCATAAATGTACTGTATACTTCTGTCTCACTGCTCTCTTTAGTGTCAGTACATATCCATTTGTAAAATTGATAAACCAAGCTACCCGCCCAGCACCAAACAGCAGATAAAGTTAGCAACTAGTATGCATTTTGAGTGAAGCATTCCTTATTCCATCCAAAAGTGGACAACTATGTCATGCCTTCGCCATTTTAGGAAAAAAAATCAGCAGTGTTAGCCACAGCAACAGTATCAGTGATGGTGGTGGCTGTCTGTCATTTTGTTATGATGTTTTTCTGCCCCCTAGTCACTAATAATATATGAAGCTTTAACTAAATGACTACTATTACTATAACCAGTATTGCAGTATTCGCGATCTACAAAAACCTACTCTAATATAAAGCACACCATGGTACCCACTTGAGCAATGGTTGAGCAATGCATAACCTGTAAAATGTGTGAGGAAGGTTATAGTTGCTGCAGTAATCAGAGTGAGTAGTTCCCACAGGAGCAAGCCAAAAAATATTGGATTAATGGAATGGACCTAACACTTCATCACAATATGCTTTCCTCATCAGTACCTTTACATAAATGTAAGGAGTATTTCGCTGCAGCCAGGCTATTAAGATGTATCGAGTTACCTCAGCCCAAACCATGAACTTAGATTTTTTTGTCACATCCCCCCTTCGTTTTCTAAGGACTCCTATCCCTGCTGATAATAAAGCAGTGAGTCAAAGGTAAGCGGGAAAAGAGGAGGCAAAGTTTATAAATAGGTAAAAGTGAGGGGAAGAAAGGGGGGGTTTATGGTTGTGTTTGGGACTGAAAGGAATGCAAAGTCACAGCAAGCAGAGGCTGGGGGGAGGGACGGAGCTCAATGAGCACTGCTTAGAGGGCTAGAATATTTCTTAATTTCTGTGTGTGTGTATCAATAGCTCAGCATCCTTCCCTTTGTTAGCAAATCCATGAGAGAGACAGAAAAGTGGGTCATGGTCAGTAAATTTGCCATTGAACTGTATGTTCATACAGCAAGAGCATTGAGGAGGTTCTATGTTGGGGCTTGTGTAAAGAATGCCAGAAAAAAGTGACATAACCAAACCTCTGTTATGTGATTCTTTCAAAAGGAATAACGCCCAGAATCTCTGACTCAGGATAATGATCATTTTTTGTGAAGACCAAAAGTAAGCGAGGAAGAATATCAGCATACATCACGGAGTCAGGCTGAGTCCTTGGTTCCCACTGCTGACACAGAGACAGACAGAGTAGCAAGAATGCAGTGCAGAGGAATGTTAACAGACAGACAAAGAGTGGTGGCATGCTCAGCTAGGGGCTTTTGACCAGGCAAGTTGCTTGTTTACATCTATGTGACCTGCCTGCAGTTGTGCTTTTGCTAAACTTTTGCTCATGGACTCCATGCACCAGAGGACTTGTTACACAGAATGAAATCTGAAGTTGTTGGAAACTGTTAGAAAAGGGAAAAGGGCAGGCACTTTCAAAAAATACTGATTGGATGTTACTGTCCATCAAGGGCGAACTTCAACCAATCAGATCAATGAACCATAAAACGTAGTCAGACTCTCACAGTGAAAACATATTTTCCATTGAGTAAAGCCTCCAGTGCTGTTCTTTGCTCTTCTTTTAATGAAGATATTGTCATGGTATTAGATCATTCTACTGCACTTCCTGCTCTTGCGTGTTTCCTGCCAATTTTGATTGTTTGGCCCGCCTTAACTGTGTTTAATTAGTCTCCTTTACCACATTGTATATTGTCTGTGTGTCTTTCTGTGTGCCAGTTTGTCTTTGTCCCTTGAGTCAAGCGTCCCAGCAATTCCCACTGTGTTGTGTTGACAGGATTCTGCCTATTTATGGACTGTATTGACTCTGCCTGTGCCCTTTGGATCTGTTTGCTTGTGCTTTTGGACCCTTTTCTGGCAAGTAAAGAATGTGTGTTTGTACCTATCCAGTATCGTGCATTTGGGTCCTGTTTGCTGTGGGTGCTCCAGTTCTGATAGAACTGATGCTAGCAGCATCTACGCTAACCTCTACGGGAGCAAACAGACATTTCTTACACACTGAACATTAAACCACGCCTGTAGCTCATGAAGTAGCTGCAGGTGGTTCCTCATAGAGCACTGACTGGCTCTGGTTCAGACAGCGTAGCAAGGTAATGAAGTTGTTTGTGCATGTAAAAATTTCAACTTTAAAAAATCTATGGAAACACACCGCTGTGTCCAGGCAATCATAAATCACATCTACTTTAATACTGATTGCTATTGCGCAAAAGTGTTAACTTGTATCTAATTTTTTGGGTAAATTCTTCACATTTTCTGCTGCCTCTTTCCTGGGAAATTCATTCATTCAAAGGATTCAAATTTAAAGGAAGTTGTGTAACTTCACAGATGACCATGTCCAAAGCAACATTAGTTATATTCTCCTGCAGTTTTCTCCTTTGACTGCATAAACCAAGCTGTGCACATTTATCGTTGCAATATCACAATAACCCATTAGTTACTAGTTTTGGCCATCAGTGGTGATATGGGAGGGGGACCTCCAAATGTCAGCCACGAATGTGAGAGGTTTTGACTTTGGAACAGAGTTGCGAACGTGTCTGAATGGTTGCTCATGCAAAAGAGCTTTAACTGGGACATTCTGCATAAACATTCCTGGATTAGTGAGAGCAAATCTGTATTTTGTAGTGAGAAGTTGTTTGGGCACAACTAGAAAGTGTTGGTGACATGTGAGTTAACGTTTTGTGGGAGTGCACAAAATGAAACTGAAGTAATCCCAGCAATGCAATACAAAACTACACATATTCACTGTACA